TTGTAATTCTCGGCCCTGAAAGCCTAGGCGAGCTTTCTTCAAACATTTCGTGGCATTGATACAAACGACAACAAAATAAAAATTTATTGAACTGACTGCACAGGTTCAACAGATGCCTGGAAGAAAAACTAAGACACAAGCCGTATCCAAGGAGCATCAACAGTGTTTTAAAGAACTGATTATAACAACGAAGAAGAATAAGAAAAAGATCGAACTCAGTCTAACTAGACTGCAGTCGGTACCGATTACTTTTTGAGATTACATATCAAATCAGTTAGAAATAAAATTGAGTCAAGAATTTAGAATTAGGATTAGCACTGAACAGATAAAATATTAGTTCTATCTATCTCTCGGGAAGTGTTTCACACCCTATTACTGAGAAAGGCAACAACTCCTGGAGATCTTAAGATGTGTATTCCTTCATTCATCATAGCTTTTAGTGCTTTCATACACTTCAGAAACAAAGAAAAAAAAGTAAGAATACAATACTCGCTTATACATTTAAAAACATATTATATTGAGCTGGGTAAGTCGGTACAAAGAATCCAGAGAAACGAAGAATATTAAAGGAAACTTACAGTTCCTCATACTAGTTTGAACTGGTAATCAATGAGTGGAGGAGGAACGCTTTGGATTGGCAATAGAGCACATTAGCTCGTCGTCAAGTAATAATCACTTGAACAAGAACTTTTTTCTTTCAAATTAGTTGCTTTGTAACAGATAGCATGAGTAATATTTCTGGTTATAGTCAGTTCTGGACCACTTATGAGGAAAAAATAGATGATTTATGAGATCACTCAACTAACCTCTATACTGCATGTCCAGCTCCTACACAGAAAGGTTATACAACTGAAAGAACATGCGCTTCAGTGAACGAATACTTCTGCCATGACTGAGATGATGCATTGGAAACATAACTGTTCAATTCAAAAATTTATTCTATTTTCGCATTCAATCAAGCTTTCTTCAAGCATTCAGCAATCACGGAAACAGTGGTATCAACATCTTTCTTGGTTATGCACATTGGTGGCTTTATTCTTAGCACATTTCCGTTTATTCCTCCTTTACCAATGAGAACACCCTTATTCTAAAATCCAATGCGTTTTGGAATTATCATCCTCATACAACCTTAGTTTCCTCAAACACTGCAGCTACACGTTCTTTCTCTAATGGTTTACCATTCTCATTGATAAGTTCCACACCAATCATTAATCCCTGCAAGAAGTCGCATGATTAGATGTACTCTGGAAATTGCTAACCTTTCCACGTACATCTCCGATGAACTTGCTATCAATAGCGGCTAACTCTTTCAAGAAGTATTCTCCAACAACATGACAGTTTTCTTGAAGCTTCTCTTCTTCAATAACCTTCAAAAGAAAACGAAGTAAGTTGATATTGACAAGCTCATAGATAGTTCATAGAGTGAGGTCTAATTGAATCCTCACACAGAACTGTTAGTCGGAAAGAGCTAGATTTAATCTAAGAAGCGTCAACAGGCACGTCTATCCTGTTTGAAAACCTGTCTCTTTCTATCTCGCTTGCAAGGTATAAACATTCCTGTATATCTCTAATCTATATGTCATTCAGACATATATTTATATTTCTTTTTTTTTGTCACAAAAAAATCACCTCCAGTACAGCTTTTCCTACACGAGAAGCCAGAGGATTGCCTCCGTAAGTGTTGAAGTATAAGGCTTTTCCGAAAGAATCAGCGATTTCCTGTGTTGTGACGACAGCTCCTTCAAACAGTTATACTAATCAAGCATACGAGTTGACAAGCCAAACCCATAGGAAAACCGTTTCCAATTCCCTTCGCCATGGTCACAATATCAGGCTTAGCATCTTGGGCTGCAACATTTGGTTATGTCTGATTTCACATTAAGATTTACTTTGGAATCCCCAGAAATGAGATCCTAAGCGTCCAAAGCCCGTTTGTACTTCATCACTTATGGCTATACCGCCAACATTTTGAACAGCCTCAAAAGCCTTCTTGAGAAATCTATAAAAAAATTCTGAATTAAAAAAATGATGCGTTGACCGATCGCATCAAGCTTTTAGCAGCAAAAATAGTTGGATAATTGAAGACGGGCAGAGAAAAAAGAAAGAGAACGAAACCCGTTAGTATATTGTGTTGTTCCTCCAACACCTTGAATTGATTCAGCAAGGAAAGCTGCTGGACCCGAAGCAGCTGGAAAATCATGCTTCAAAGTTTCCGCGAACTGACCCAAATATCTGAAACATCCAACAAAACTATTACAGTTTCGTTGCGTGTTAGCCTACTTTTCGTTGGCTTTGCACTCGCCGACAGAACAATCACAGTTTCTTTTAGTTTGGATGGGAGAATCGCGACAAGCTTTTCCTCCCCATGGCCCGTTATATGGATCGGGACTCATCGCTTTCAGAATACCGAAACCGGCTGGCATCGGCTGTTTCCAAGTACCTGAAAAGATGATAAGAAAAGGGTATGATACATCCAGTTTAAGCTTCTAACCCAAGTTTGTGGCTCCAAGAACAGTTTGTGTCATTCCATGATATCCATTTCGGAGAGATAACATATCGAATCTTCCAGTGTGAACTCTGGACAAAGCAATAGCCAAATCATTGGCCTCTGATCCAGAATTGACAAAGAAGCACACCTTCACATAAGAACATGAACATCATTATCAAAAGCATAAACAAACTTTAAGATGAGAAGGTAAGGTACTTGTTAGTTTCTCAGCATACTCAAAGATAGGCTCTGTATAATAAATGGAAGTCGTATGCCAGAGCTTATCAGCTTGTTCTCTCAGAGCAGCATTAACCTTACTGAAATATACAACATCACAAGCCGATGAAAGAAGCAAGAAGAGACTAACGGATGACAATGTCCAACAGAAACAGTAACAATGCCTCCAAACATATCCAAGTATTTCTTATTATTAGCATCATATAGATACTGTTGTTTACCACTGGTTATAAGCAATGGCTCCTTATAGAAGGTGACCATAGACTTTGGTAACAACGATCTCAAAGCATTAACTCGTTCCATCTTTCTTTATTACCTAAACATATAATTAGAATAAAGAAACTGAATGAAGAGTATTCAATGCAAAATCAAAAGTTCACAAGAAAATGTCCGACAAATGTAACAAAATGAACCAATTTTATAGCAACAGCTGACAGTCACAATCACTGAATTTACACTTTTCATCCAACATTTCCACTTCTCTAATGGAATATATCTTTCCTTTTTCCTTTTTTTCATCATTTTTGCTTCATCTTCATCTTCATCAATCAATATATGAGCTTATTGTATGAATATGAATTAAGTTATAAAAAGTTTTATTGGCATCATCATAACCATCATCAACAACAACAACAACAACAACATGCAACAATCGATGAGTAGAATGGTAAGGGTTATAGTTGTTTCTTGTCGGTTATCGAACATTTTTCTTATCAAATGAAAGAATCAATATGATCAAAATACATACATACTCAATACAATACACTCCATTTACGTACAAGGCATCCGATATCTCAGTCAGGCCGGGGCGAGTGCAATATTCGTCAAAGCTGAACATGGCAATCGACACGACCTAATTGAGAGCGGAATATCAATTAAAAGCATCTTTTTACTACTTTGTTTTTACAAAGCTACCAAATATATATATAACAATAACATGATAACCATTTATGGAATTGTGTTACTGTAGAGAAGTACGTAAAGACCGATGAAGAGAAGAAACGACGATGTCAATCTGAATAACCATACATACTGCTGTTCAACATATTATATTTTATAATAAAAAAAGACGTTTTCATCAATATTTTCCTAGAGTTTTGAATGAGGCAGACCGTAGATGGCGCGATGGTATGGTTAGGAAGCTAAGCTAGCTTGTGTAGAGCTTCCATTCAGCCCTAAGTACTCCCAGACTAGGCGACGACCAGTTTACGCTCCGCCCTTAAGCTGTCCAATGACAGTCTTAATGCTAAAGAAGACGAATAAGAAAAAGAATACGAATAAAGAGTAACATATAAAAAGTTTGATGAGAAAAGAGAGAAACAAAGAATTATGAAGAGGTTTCAGGGAGAGAAAGAAAACAAAAATAGAAGCATGTAGTTAGAAGCTGAAGGTAAAGAGAACAAGAAAATGATAATAATGATTGAAAAATCTTCTTCTCTAATCTCTCTTCCTTTCTTACTCTGACCCTCTCTCTCTCTCTCTCTCTCTCTTTCTCTTTCTCTTTCTCTCTCTTCCTCTCTCCCTCTCTCTAACAATCTCTTTATTTTCATACTAATATAACTAACAAAAAAAATCTGTTGTGGATTAAAAAAAAAGAAAACAAACAACATTGGCTAAATGCCAATATCATCGTTGCAGATGGTATCCCATTCATCCTCTGACTGGTTGAAGATCCAAACGGAACATGGAAATTCTCATTGCAATCCGGTTTTAGTAAACGATGGACAATTGCGATGGTCAGTGTGTTGTAATGTAGCCTTAAAGAGAAAAAAAACTAAAAAAAAAGTTATTTAAATCCCCTTCAGTCAGGAACTTCTCTCCTTCTCTTGTCATAACACGAAGCTTCTAGCTGTAGCTTGCGACAAATGAGTTTTGTGATATCCTATACAGCAAGAACCATGGAATCATCTTCGAATCGTCTTAAAAATTGATTAGCATTCGTTAATTGGATAACGGCATAACATCTAAATATCGTTAACTGGATGAATCCACGTGTGGATGGATCTTCATCATCGAGATAAACCCACAAACAGACCGCTACACCAAGTGAATTAGCATGAACAATCTTAACGTCACGTGGTCATGTAAGCATTCTCGAAGAAACAGAAGCTAAGAGCAGTTATGTTGTAAGAAAGCTAAAGTAATGACGATTAACAAGCTTTCCGAACAAAATTTCTCGTTTTCCAAGAAAAGTTTCTAAAAGGTCCACCCAGTTAACCATCTTATCTCGAAACTTCCATCTAAAGTCCTCATCCATTCTCATCTGTTAGAGACGCTAAAATTCAATATTTTCTTCAAAAATGACCAATTATACTTATTTTGCTTGTACATTCCAACTTGTTCATATTTCAGATTTAGGAAAACATGTCATCATCAGCTTATTCACGCAAAACTCTTAAGCTATCTCAACAACGCGGACAACACATTCCAACTTTCGTATTATTAGCACTGCTATTGATGAAGATATGCATTAGCTATCAATATGTAATAGGAATTCATGCAATCTTACCTCCATGTTATGAATTCCAGGTTAAACCTAACTTCGATCATTGGAGACGGATGTTGAGGGTTGTAGAGAATGTGGATAAGTATTCTAAACTCGTTAGCAAATATATTTCATTATTATACAATCGCTTTCATCATTATAGTTACCTCTCAATACAATCGATGAACTGCCACCACCTTTCGAAAGATTCATTGATCTACTCCGTAATTATCAGAACCCTCCATATATTGTTTTCGTACGATTTTGAAATTGATTTTTCGAAAATTTCAAAATTACAGTTCGATCAATCAAACTATGACGTAACTCTGAACTTTATTTGTAATTTACAATACTTTGACGTGAAAGAACGGTAATCATTGATATTTTGAATATTGTGAAATTATTTTTAAAAAGTTTGGTTGCCATCTCATTTGATGCGTTAGCAGAGAAAGCCCTCAATGAAGCTTATCCTGAAATAACAACGGTGACAGTGGACTTCACCTATGTATCGGTTTGTTGATAAAGTATTATGATCTTTGGAATTTTATTATTGTAGTCTCTATTATCAACTGATTTGGAAAATAGAAATTATCTGATTTATCAACTAATTTTATTGCTTCGCTCTCGTATATCAGCAGCTTTAGCGAGGAATAAAATAGATTTCTGGGCTGTTCAGCAGGTTAAGACGCTTACAAGTCAGCTATCAAACATCTATTTTAGGACAGTTTATGGATAAACAATGTTGCCAATTTGAATTTAGAGGATATGTATTCAAACTCTTACATGATGTTTGATATTGTTGGAAATGATCACGTAGGCTTACATTTCAAATAAAGCTATCTAATCTCTTAAGATTCCAATATACGAAAGAATGAAGGGCTGGATATGCGGATCAACATATTTCGTTCGAGGCAATGATATTACGGCCGATTTCTTTGATAAGGTATGTTTCTTGCTTGCATGGCATGAGCTGACACTTCTAACCTTTCCATCGCTATAGGTAGCGTTATTCATGACGCGACGCTTGTCACCAGATTCAGCTATTATGACGTACTTGTGTGGACGGAAGTATTATAAATGCGCTAAACTACCTCGGAGGCAAATACATTTAACATGAATGAACTGAACGAGTCGACTTTCAGGATTGCATCCAGCTCCGATTACTTTCTCGGAAGCAGAAACTTCTTACCTGCTATGCTGCAGGTAATATTCGTATGCAACCGCACCCAACACCTGCTCATCAGTACAAATGAGTACGATTTAGCAAGTCGCATATTCTTTCGGAAAATTAATTAGCATACGAACGCGCGTATTACAAGCTTGTCCCTGTTTTTCAATTTTATTGAAGTTTTCTTGTTGAAGAAACATCATACTGTGCTTAATTGGCTATTTAGATCGATCATAGGAGTAAAATATCCAAAATGGATCTTTTCCGAGCCAATAATTTCAATTTTCTTTTGAATGATGGATCTTGTAATTACACAGCTGTTCAGAAGCTACGGTAAATCTCTCATTTATTAGACAAATGATTGGAGCCTGAATGATCTAAATTTGTACATTTACAGACATACAGTTCCAATAGCATTACGCGAAGTCAGATTACAGCAGTTCGAGGAAAATAACAAATTAGAAGATATTTTTTATTTCTTTAAAGAGAACTTCGGACTGGATCCATTCAATAATCGGCGGTTTCTACATGTACACGATACTCTTGTGTAAGAAAAATTATAAGAAAAAATTTACGGGTTAATAAAGAATGTCTACAGATGGTTTATCAAATAAAACACGCTTGGTCTACAATTGAAATATTTGAAATGTACATATAGGGTAGGTACGGAACAATACAATCACAAATGAACAAAGGGATCAAAAGAATTGATAATATCGTATAAATATACACATGTTTCTGCCCGGAACCTATAGTTCATTCAAGGCTACTGGTAAGAATGGACCGTAATCTAATCTATGAAAAGGAAAAAACTTAGCAACATAAGTAACCTTCAAACAAGAAGTTTTTGGAATTGATAAATGAATAAAAAGAATAAAAAATAAACAAACAACTATATCCGAGGATATTGACATCCGAACACAAAATAACAAAGTCAAAGTTGTTAATAAAACAGAATGCAACTATGGCGAGTATGTTGGAGAGTAGAAGATGAGAAAGAAGATAAAGCACTAACAGCGCTTCCCAGAAGATCCAATTAGAAATAGACCAGTGAGAAAGAACAGCGTGATGATTTTGGTACGCTTGACACGATAATCAAGTGAAACACAATGGAAAATTCTGACAGACTAAAGAATTCAGAAAGAAAACATCAAATATTCTGTCCCTACGATTCCATTGTCATACACGTAATAGGAAAACAGTCGATATTAGGAAATCAAACAGCCGACTAGCTTCAAAAAACTGATCGGAAATTGATTGTTCGTTCTAAAGAACAGTGGATGTTTTGATATTTCAAACACCGGCATCTCAACGAGATAATATTGCGATCAGATTAACAAGTTATCATGCTCATTCAGAAACTCTATGGATTAAAAATTATTTCTTCCCGTTCTTTTTATATGCTTCCTGTATACGTTCTTGGAATTGTCTCATAAGTTGCGGGTTCGCAAGCATAGCTGCTGAGTTCATGTTCGCTGCAAGTTAGACATTAAGCATCTTTAACGAGTATAATATCCTTACCAAAGTTCGTTATCCCACCTTGAGCTTGTGCTGACATCGCTGCATTCAAGAGCATAGCCGCCATGTTCGGTTGAGCGGCCTAAAGAGTATCCGAATATGAGAAAGCAAAAATTAAACCACTATACCTGCTGGTTTCCTCGTGATTGTTGTTGTTGTTGTTGCTGTTGTTGTTGCTGAGCAGCTAAGAACATCTGCATGACGGGCGAATACATCTAAATGAAGTAAATTAAAAACTAAGTTCATGCCAGTAAATACCATCATGTTGGTGACTGCTGTATTCAGACTAGCTGAGTTAGCGGGAACTCCATTCATGAGGCTGGCCATCATGGGGTTCCGTAGGAGCATTGCCATTTGCATCTGGCTCTGAAGTTCATATTGTACATCCACAAACTAACGAAAGTATCAAACCATATTGCCAAATGACATTCCACTATTTTTATTCTTAGTAGATGCTGAAGCGGAACTAGGCGTCGATGGCGTTCTAGCCGAGGAGGTAGTTGAGGGGGTTGAAGGTTTAACAGTGTTGGGGGTACTACTAGTGCCATTTTGTTTGGTAGAGAGGGATGGAGTTGAAGGAGCTGTAACTGCTATAGAGATTAATTGCTCATTATAAAACTGAAATGTACCTGCTTGGGCAGCGGCAGCCATGACAGCATCCAACTTGCCCTCTGCAATTTGTTTCTCGAACTCCTGCAAAGGAAATAGTGTAAATAGAATCCAGTGATATTGAAAACCTTCTCTTGTATTTGAACTTTATTGAAAGCTTTACGAAGATATGCTGTATGATCCTTTTGGATTTTCTTCTTTTGTGTTGCGTGTACACAACGCTCACAATATAAATGTAAATCATCAGGAGATCCTAAAAAGAAACGAACAATAGAATGGCAAAAAAAAGAAAGATAACGAACCCATAGCTTTCCATGATGGTGAGAAATCAGTATGACACTCTTCACACTCATACGGCTTCTCAGACACATTTCTGAAAAAAAAAAACATTTGAATATGTAACCGATATATTAAGATCTTACACTGTTGACATTTTATCCTTCAACAATCTCTGCACAATTAAGTCTAAAGCAACTAAGTGACAGAAATCGGGTTGATTAGGATTGGGCACAAAGTTGAAATCGACAGGATGAGCCTTGGGTGTATTTAAGTTCTGAACAGTATCAATAGAACAATATTAATAACTAGGAATTACCTGAGTTAGCTGTTTATCAGCTTGGAGGCGGAAAGCTTGTCGAGCGTTTGCGGCTCGTTGCTGAGGTGTCAATGCAGCGAAGTTCTTAGCCTAAAAGGGTATTATGAGTGAGCATGATTAACATGAGAGAAACTAACAGCGTTGAGTTGAGCATTCTGTTGTTGTTGTTCTTTCATAAGAGCTTCTTTAGCTTGTTGGTCCTTTATTTGTTGGTCCTTAAGCTGCTGGTGCTGCTGTTGTTGTTGGGCGACAAGAGCGGCAACAAATGATTGAAGTTGCTAAAACATATCACTCAACTGGTTGATCATCATATAAGATTCTCATACCTGAGGACTCTTTCCATTCTTAGCCATTTGTAATAGCTGCTGCAGCATCTGAGGATTAGTTGATGAAAGCTTGATCAATTCTGCTTGTTGTTGTTGTGTTAAACCACCAGCTGTATTTGGTCTCTGTGGAGTATTAGCTAGAAAAGGATAAAATGTATATGTTTCAACTAGAGACAAGAATACTTCGCTGAGCAGAAGCTCCATTCTTGGGAAGAGCCACAGCAGGCTTGTAAGCGCCTCCTGGATTGTTCAAAGCTATATTGGGTGTCATGCGTTTAGCTTCATTTGCCTGAAAGAAAAAGTATAAGCTTCTGGTATTTTGTCTGAGAACTTGCCTTTTGCTGAGCAACGGTTTGGCTGGAGTTTATTTTCCTTAACAACAACAATCGGGCTTCTTCTAATCTCAACTCAGCTTCACATCTTTTGACGATAATGTTTCTCTCCTGAGTTTGCTCATCTGAAAGCACGTCAGCCATCTATTTAAGAACTAATAGTATGAATTACTTTGCATATCTGTTTCTTCGCAAGCCTTATCATAACCCGCTTTTAAAGCTGCAACTTCTCCAGAGTGAAGAGAAGAAATATCACTTTCTTCGGATACTTCACAAACGTCTCCTGTATTATCTTCCTAAAAAATCAAAGTTATGAGTTGAAGCTCGTGAAACATTCATCCCACCTTGATGTAGAAAGTATGAGAGGATTGGTCCATATCAGTTCCTGTTATGAGCTTTCTTTTTTTGGAAGCACTGGCTCCGTCTTCTTCGTCCTCAGCTGTATCAGAAAGACCACTCTCCTGCAAGAACTCTTTGTTATACAGGCGAGAAATTAACCTTACCGAAGGAACATTTTCAGGGACAGGTAGTACACCATCAAATTTAATTTTCTCCTGGGCTTTAAGAGCAGATGCACGAGTACTTCTCCTTCTAGCCGATGTAGGAGACAGTTGCATCAGATCACCATCAGGAGAAGCTTTTGATGAAGAGTCATCATGCTTCTGAAAGATATGAATAAGCTTCGAAGAGGGTACAAAAAGCTCACGTCGGTATCCAAGGGCTCAATAGTCAGTTCATCAGTTTCCCCGCATCCATTGGGTATGGGACCGGTCTAACGAAAAGAGCAATGAATGTTAAGGAAACTGAATGACATACCTGATGAGTTTCTGTCACAGCTTGTGACATAGTCATAAAAGAAACTTAGAAATTGAATGTATCTATGAAGTTACTGAGAAGCCATTCCATGCAGTATCAAACCAGGAACGCTATAATCATAAGAAAAAATGTAATCAAAATATGAATGATAAAAAGATTGATTAAGAAAACAAAATAGAGAATAAGTTTGAATATAGCGAAATCAACGAAAACTCATAAGAACAACTAAAAATTCACAAGCAGAAAAAAGCAGCAGGAATCAATACATAAACAACCACAATGACGACGTCAACTACTTGGATAAACGACACGACCATCATCAACTTTTAATTAGTTTGAAATTTCATAACTTTAAAAATATTAATTAAATACAACAGATCGATAGCTTGCTAAAATCTCAAAAAGAACATGTGAAAAAGCGTTCCAAGGAATTGGAAGAGTAGTAGTGGCGCCCATCTGAGTGTCCTGAGTCGCATTGTTGTTATGCGTCCGTGAGACTTACTCAATCAATACGGCTAAAATGGGTCACTCAGGTTTGTTGGCTCCATTAGGCAATCGCTGATTACAATGCTCAAATAAATATTTCTTAAACATTCCTATGTTCAGGTCTACAAAAATAAGCAGAATTAAAAATCTATAGAAAAAATTAAAAATTAAGATTGCCTATAGTGTCACATCATTTTAAACAACGGCGCGACGCTAGAAAAGCTAGCTGGGCCTCTTTCATTGTGCGCTTCACAAGATAGAAGTCGAAAAACTGTTGACGTCATACAGTCTTGAGTGGTGATTTTGAACTTATTAGGAAATCAATAATTATAAATCCAAACATTTATTAAGTGTAGGCTTGTGTTTGATGCCGCATAAGAGTTCGATGAATTTGACTGATGACAGTTCGTAGTTAATATGAGATCAATCTAGAGACAATGAGGTTTCGAGAGAGAAGGTCGGTTAGAGAAAGAGAGTAAGAAAGAAAAACAGATGGAGGAAGAGAGGAAGAGGTGATGAATCTAAATTCAGAGTTGAATCTCAATGAAGCCTGAGGATGGAGGATGGGACTGCCGGGGATGTTGTGTGCGTGTGAGTCGGCACACTATGAAGGGGCAACACACCGAATTATCGATTTTAGGGTTGTGTGGTGGGTGTGCTCTCTTGTTGGTTGGAGAAGAATTTGTATGATTATCGGCGCCCCCCCCCCCCCGCCAGGCTGACTGACCGCGAAAACTTAGCCCCGTTTTGCGATAGAAGATAGAACCTTAGGCAAAATGGATGTCATCCTGGTACCCAAGAAATGCTTAATCTACTGAGACGCATTATATGCGTTAATTTGATAACTATTAAAATATCTTAAAGTAAAGAAAAAACTATTTTCTAAAAATAAAAGTTCAAGAAAATCGGAGAGAGAGTGGGAAACGATATAGCTTAAAATAACTTAATAAAATATTCTCTGATTGATGCGGATGATAAATAAACGAGAAGCAGAAGAAAGGATATTTTTTGAAACTGCGAAACTGCGAATATTAAGGTAATTTATGTACGTGCGAAGACGTTTTACAAGTTGTAAAAAGAAATTGTTTTTGTTTGGATATTGAATAAAACCGCAGCAGAGTAGAATCTTAAAGATGACATCACAGACATCTACTACTCAGATTGAAGTTCTCTATTGATTGAATAGGGAGAGACAAATGAAATGAACGTATACATATATATTTATATATATGAGAGGGTGGAGGATAGTAAAGAGCGATAGTGGATTAGCAATATGAACACGTTGTTTTACCTCAAAATTAAATGCATTGAGAAAGTGTCAGAAGAAAAAACGAAGTATCGAAATACTATATGACTCTATGGAAGAGAGGAGGATGAAATATTTATGAATTGCGGCGACTAAAGTTTTATATTCTAGCTATCAAGCCATATTATTTTTGTCATTTTTCTAATGGCAAGATTGGGGAAGGTTAACTGGTTATAATGAGATCCGGATTAGATTTCTTCCTAACTGAAACTAATGTCCATGCTGAAGAAATGATAGAAGTAAAGAACAGGACGAGGGTTTGCAAAAGTAAATGCTGGGTTTGCAAATTTGGTTAGAAATGAGAATGAGAAAGCATATGCCATGGCGAGACGTCGAATCGAATAAAACTTCAGATAAACAATCTTAACTACGAAAAGGCAAATCTGCGGCACAGGCACATCAATTGTTTCATCTAGAAACTTCCGCTTCAAAACTTCAGAATAAAACTCTTGAGGTGAGCGCTCTTAGCTTTCGGAGTAGCTAAGACCTACGCAGAAAAGAAATGTTCCTAGTCTATTTCATCCATCTTTCCATTCTCCTCTCCGTCCGGCATCATTCCGTCCATCGCGGCGTTGGTTGCTGCGGCTTGTTATTTCTATTGAGAATGCCTTGAAATTGACTAGTGGCCGGAGGTGTTTTCGATCGATTTCCAGCCTAGCGCTGCCTTGCTTTCTTTTCTCTCTATCTGTCCAGGTGGTGGTCAGAATTACAGTGAGAGGAGTTTAGCGAGAAGTTATTAGAACTAGACGGAAACATCTGCAATGTTTTCGCTGCACGAAATGATGAGGCAAAATATCTAGATGGGGACGCTTCGTCTATCACAGACGTCCATCATAAAAATTAGACTAAGCACGACCATACAGTGAAAAATCGAATCGCATCTGACCTCATATGCTAATGAGATTGCTTAGAGCTGACGCTGCTGTTTCATTTTCAACATAACGCCTGCACAGACCGGTTGCATTTGCCACTAAGTTATAAATAGTGTACAGTTCTAATACTTATAAGATTAAGCAAAGAAAAACGATCAACATATGAGTAATATGAGAAGCAATGATTCTAAAGCAAACAAAAAAAGAATAAAAAGCTATGGAACATTTCATAAAAATGAACTCGTTAAGTTTTTAGCATATTTGGAGATTACCAAGTGAAAACAAGTTGTTCGAACTTAACCCTGGAAACTAAAGTTGATGTTCATATAACATTTCTAACTTCGTTTCTCGCTTTATAATTCCCTCACAGCATCGCAAAACTAAAATAGAAATGTAACGAACCTAGATGATATAAAGAGCGACACAGAATAGAGGTTGGAGAAAATTGATTTGAAGTAAGAAAGAAAATTGATGCTGGAGGGACTACTTGTCTTGTTGTTGTTTTCCATGAGGCAATCTTATTTGGATATTGGATAAAATTATGTCTGATGAAACAATAGGACATATCGAAATAGAGGATGCGCAAAACTTCATAACTTATGAATCAATTATTTGAAGAACTGAACGTCAACTAACCAATAACATTACTGAATATCAAATCTATTAATCTTGTCTTCGTAGATCTGATGTAATGTTGTTGCATTAGAAAAAAGACATTTATGCAAAACCTATGGTGAAGAATGAGGGACTGAAGAAAAGTTTTTCAACAACTTTCCAACCCCCCCTCAGCCTATTATTCAAATTGCTACTTAGAACCTAGAGACATGGCCTCAAAGAAGTAAAGAAAATCACGATGTGATATACTCGGAAACTAGCATAGCGGCATAAGGCATATCGAATGGGCTGCTGACGGACGCTCCAAGGATTGTTTGTTCTCAACAACTCGCTCGATACTAGGCAGTGCAAGATGAATTTGCCTCTTCCCTCCTTCCAACCACAAGCAGGCTAAGAGAGTCACCTTGTGTAAATGTGTTGAGTTACTTAAGGGGGACACGGGGACCAAATGGTAAGCAATCCTAAGTTCTCAACGCATTGACGGTGTAAAGTGAGATATACATAGTCTTCTTAAACTGTTAGGAAAATATGATGTGATAAGATTTATGTAACATAATAACTTTTTCATTGATACATAAACTCATTCACAACATGGTGCTTATAGAGAAACGAATTTCTCAGAATATAATTTATAAATATTGATTTGATAAAAGCCATATAAACAAAAAGCATAATGAACGCCGAAAAATATTAAAAAAACATCTTTAAATTTGAAAAACAGTCCCGCCGCGATTGTTTGTTGTCAATAGAGCGCTGAAACAAATTACATGGAGAGTAAATACTGCAAAAGCTTATACTTCAATGAACTTTTATAAGCCTTTCAATACTAATTTAGCATATTTTCATATTTTAACTCAGGTAGCAAAGTACAAGATTCATGCTTTTGTTGTTTCAGATTAGAATGTCCGAAAAGAAGTTGACGTACAAGCAGAAAGCAGCCATTTCTTTCATTCAGCAAGATGATCCTCCATTTATAAAGCAAATGAAGCTCAAAATGGGATATAAAGAGGGTCCGAAGTTGGAAGATAAGGTGGGTATTTCTGATTCTCAATCTTTCTATTATCTATGTTATATAATCCGAAACTGAATTTAACATAAAACAGTTTAAGAAACGTTTCATTAGCGTTCAATAATTTCAGTTTGTCGACGAAGATGCTGTTGAAGAAGTTGAAACAACGGAAGGTGAACTGCTACGCCTGAAGGAAGAAGATCGACCTCAGGTTTCCTCAATCACATAATAGTTTTGATATTTTCTCGATTTTCGGTTGTTGTGTTAAATCCTGAAACTGATTTGAATCCAGAAGATCTGAAAGATGCTTTAGAAGCCAAAAAAAAAGAAATCGATGGTACGTTCCAAGAATGTCTATCGTAGTAAATTCGCTTGAATTCAGAGAAAATGATTGCTGATGGTAAAATAACTTTCAAAAAACCAGTGAAACGGTTAGCAGAAGAAACTGATGAAGAAGTATTCCATATTTCCGTTTTCGATAGCGTTCTCATTGTTTCTTTTTAGGTGTCAAAGAAAAAGCTCTACAAAGAGAAGAAGGTAATAAAAGAACCCGAGAGTCGACTACTATCATTCGGGGAGGACGAAGAAGAAGACTAACAAACACTTTTGTTTATGAATGTATATAAGAATTAATTATAATATGGGATCTCTTCATCTCATGCTTCATGCGGGTAGAATGCCTCCCAACTTGCAAGAAAATAAAAGATTCTTCTTCAATCAGTTTTTACGAACTTTTTCGCATATCTTGTGAAGCTTGTGATTCCCTTTCATTAGCGTCATAATTCTAGAAGTGAAAAGCAATTTTGAAGCTGCTTTTTCGCAAGATCCACCGTCGTAGATTACCAGCAGATAACTATGCTTTGTCTATCTGCCCAGCTTTTCTCCTTTTTAAAATTGGACTTCACGACCTTGGTACGACAAGGGTGAAACCAGATGTAGCACCCAGGCAATTTCTGTCAAGATCTCCACAGTGATAAAGCTTGGCGATGAGAGATGGAGAGGTAGGCATACCGGATTACGATCTACCTCTTGTGCAATTTTCAAGGAAGTTTGGATCATGTGTGGTAATTCGTAAGATCTCGTTCCGGTCAGCTTCATTCCGATCATGCTGAGGTCCCAGCCATAAAATGAAACTATTTTATGGACTTTGCCGATCCCCTGAAATATTTTATAAGAAAAACTAATAAAAGGAAGCTTCCCTGTGTTGATAAGTGTGCTTGTGTTGTTTGAATTCTTACATGGTTCTTTCAATTTCCCTTATACGAAGATGACTAATACCTCTTTCATCAGAACATTTTTCGGACATTTTTAAGATATGACACTTTGAACAAAAGGAAGGCTAAATGTCTTTCATAGATGTTGTTAATCCTTTCGTGAAATTTCGAAGGAGCTGTGAAATGAGCCGAATAAGCATAAGAAACCGGTTTTACTAAGGATAACCGAATGTACCAGGAATCTAGAAAAGCAGGTATTAAGGCTAGAAATTATTAACGGGCAGTTCTAATCGCTTTCTCAAAAAAGGTGAACAACATTTCATTTTGGGTATGCGAGAACGAAAATTGCAAATATAATTTAATGTTCTTTTTTTTGTTGAACAAAGAGCATGTAATGATGAATTGCGCTATAATCAAAGATTAGCTTGCTTCCGAGGATTTGAAATTTTTCAGAACAACGTTCAACAACTATCTGTACTCTTAGCAGGTATTCAGTCCGGAATGGAATTTGTTTGAAAAGTTTATAAGAGAAGTATGATACTTATGGTAAAACAAAGAGAGTCAGACAAATGCTTATCAATTACAAACGAGATCTTGTTCTCTTAAGCCTACGAAAAAGGATAGCAGCTAGATAGAACTTAGCCATGACCGTCGTCAAACGTCGGCAACGAGGCGAAAGAGAAAGGGATATAAAACAGGATTTTTCGTAAGCATAGTACTAAGAAATATGCTAATGATTGAACAAACTAAGTGCTAAAAGCAAAATCAGGCTAAAACCATCGTCGGCGTCATTGTCATAATCAAAATTTCCAGATATTGTTCAAGAGGATATGATTTTATTGAAATAGAAAACAGACGTTTTGTACAAGAAAGTGTCTTTTCATTGTTTGAATGAGATTGACAACCGAGCCAATAGCCAGATTCTGCTTTATACACTTCAGAACTACAAAAAAGAAAACTTTCACGGCATATACAATTAATGAAAGATTTAAAAAACATTATACACATTTCTCGGATTTGAAGTGTTGAAAGACAATGTTCCCGGGACAGCAGTGACATTCCCTTTTCGAACCGGGCGGGAAAACTTCAACTCCGGGATTATTCTAAAGAAGTTGCCACGCATGTTACTCTTGAAACTATTTTCTTGTTTTCTTGTTTTATCAAATCAGATGCGGTTGCTTTTTTTCATTTTCTACGCTTCACGTTGTTTTCTTCGTTTATTTCAGATTGTATTGAAACCGGTTGGATGTTCAAAATATGGATTCTTCTCATCATTTGAATATGCACTTTAGTGATTGCATAGTATTACCATAATAGTATCAGGGAGATTTGAGAAAACTTTAATGAACTTAGAAATTCACTTTCTATCAAAATCGCTTTACGAACGAAGATTCCATTCGTGGCAGATTATGCTTTTTCCCTTCTAAAACTAAGCTACTTCTCCCAATCTTTTATATTTATTTTAGTCAATCGAAAGCTGACTGATAGAAAAGGGATATGATTGCAAAGAACATTGAACATGCCAGTAAAGTACAGGCGGTTGTATCTCCGTCCTTCCTGGCTAGGGGTGGGGTTGACAGGATGAAGATTCCAGATAGCCTCCTCCCACCCACCTGTGGGGTGGGACGTTCAGCACTATAAAAGAAGTAACATCGTGATATCTTCTGTCAGTTGTTCGTTCACTCAACAAGCCTTCTATCAAAAATGGTAAGTCTTAATTGAACTTTCTACCTCATAACAGTTAACTAGCTACATCAGCGAAATTATCTTGTTATCTTTTTTCTGTTCCTGTTCTTGATCTTGATTATTATAGCTTCGCACCGCTCTTCTCGTTGCTCTTTCTGCCTCTCCTCTCATGGCCTGCTTCGGAGGTTCAGGAGGTGGATGTTGCGCTCCATCCAACCCTGGATGCGGAGCTGGTGTACCACCATGCTCTAGCTCCAGGTAAGAAAAAGTCTTTCATTTTCTTCTATTATAATAATATTATAGCTACGCTTCTGCCCCACCAGCTGGCGGTTACGCTACTGCCCCAGCCGCCGGAGGATACGCTACTGCCCCAGCCGCCGGAGGATACGCTGCCGCTCCAGCTCTCGGAGGATACGCCGCTGCCGCTCCAGCCGGAGGATACGCCGCTGCCGCTCCAGCCGGAGGATACGCCGCTGCTGCCCCAGCCGGAGGATATGCTGCCCCAGCTCCAGTTTTCGGAGGTGCCCAAGTTGCTGATGCCGGATATGCTGCCCCAGCCCCAGTTTTCGGAGGAGCTCAAGCTGCTGATGCCGGATACGCCGCTCAAGCCCCAGCTCAAGGATATGCCGCTCAAGCCCCAGCTCAAGGATATGCTGCTCAAGCCCCAGTCCAAGGATATGCCGCTCAAGCCCCAGCCCAAGGATACGCTGCCTCTGCCCCAGTCATCGGAGCCCCACAAGGAGAAGCCTCTTATGCTGCCCAAGCCCCAGTTGCTGAGGCCCCACTCGCCGCTGAAGCCCCACAACAAACTTACCAACAAGTCGAACAAGTTCCAGTTGCTGCTGCTCCACAAGAGATTGCCCAAACCTACCAAGAGCCAGCTCCAGTTCAAGCCCCAGTTGAACAAGTAAGATTTTGAATTCGTTGCTCTTTAATAGTTTACACTCTTAGGCCACATACCAAGCTCCACAAGCTGTCCATGATGTCGCCCAACAAGTTGTTGATACCAGCTATCAACAAGCCGCTGCTGCTTACCCAAGCCACTAAATTGCTAGATATCAATTAGCTTTTTTCTGTCTTTCTAAGTATTTCTTGCGGAAGAGGCTGTCTTCCCGTTAGCCAGCTCAAACCTTCCAAATTGACCTCATGTTGTTTGTATATATCTGTTGCTGGTGTTCTTGACTAGATACATTCAAGAGCTTTGTCTTCTCAAGTAAATTAATTACGTTTATAAATTATTCGCCAGTTCTAAATATATGTAGTGAATATTGGAAAGAGATGTATATTCAAGAACAAATCATTGAAATGCTTGGAGAAAAAGATGAAGCAGGAGGTTATCGATAACTTGGTAGACTCTTAAAGTCAGAGTCTTATATGAAAAGAAAATTTTTGAATAGTCAAGCTAGTTTTAAATGAAAATATCTAACACGATCCTCTGCGAGTAGAAACAGGAGGAAGTTGTGAAGGCAAATAAGTGCTGGTTGTGGACAAAGAGGTTTGAGGGCTTACGACGCTGTGCGCTGTGGAAGCCATTTCCATCTGAAACTCAAGGCATGCATTCGAAAACTTTCACTTCTTCTTACTTTATACGTCGGACTCCTCGGAACAATATAGACGAATTCTTTGGCTTTTGTAGCCGATGGAGGTGTTGGTAATGGATTGGAGAAGATTCTATACACATGTTGAAGAAAGAGAAAAGAACATAAAGAATACCTTTTAACGGGAGTTTTTGATGCGACACTTGGTGCTGTTCCTCCATGAATTGTTCCTGCTTTCCGTACAACACGAATCGTCGTTCGCCTTCATATTATGAGGATATTCATTGGTTTAAAAAAAAAACCAACCTGTGAACAGCCTTTTCAACATCTTCAGATTTTCTATGACAAGAGAACAATCGGCGTACGACTTTGACATTCTATATCCAGCATTATAATATAAGATGGAAAACTAATTTACCTTAATAATCAAAATTAATCCACCTATAACTCCTAAAGTGAGAACGCTCAGAGCAACTATAACGTCCAATAGGTCATCCATTTTTCTGAAAATGACATTTGATCACTAAATTATCATTGATAAATTTCAAAATACTTACTTGTCTATGGAATATCAGTACGATTAAGCGGAACCTCGTGAATGATGAAGAGCACATGTAGAGGCAAGACAGGATTTTTGATGTCAAACAGTGAATTTCCGAATATATAAACGTGTTATGAGGTTCGCAATCGCATTATACGAAGGCTTATGAAACCAACGATCACTCAATGAATTCTCAATTATTAGACTCTTGAACTATGATAAAGCCAACTAATATAATGATCTAGAAAATAAAGAAGATTTATTACATAAATAAAGAAAAGAATGATGAAATATCACTTATACCGATCTATACAGACAATTCAGATCTATCACAGGGGTGTTAGTTACGAGGAAAAGAGGATTCACAGAAAATAGTATCACCCTAGTCATCAACTCCCAAATCACATTTCTCCAAAGAAATTATACACCAAAAATACAGAAGCGGAAAAAACAATTCAGGAAACTAACCATTCCTTCATGCTTTCACGATAGTTAGGTTTTATTTATAAAATAAAACATTTAACGTGCAAGGTAAATAGTAAGGCCAATAATGAAAATTAGAATTGTGAGAAAAGCAACCAACAGCATTTTTTTCTGTCTTGCTTTGTGATTATAATATACAGCTTGCTCAACGTTAGAAGCTCCCTAAAGACATTATGAAATTCATGAAACAGACACTGTCCAATTACCTGAGTAACTCTAATTTGAGCTTGTTCAACATTCGCCTCAATACTGTCCACCAACTCCCCTTGGCTGTGAACTATTCTGGATAATTCAGCGAATATTTGGTTTACATCCCCAATGTCTTGTTCCAATTGACGTAGAGACTGCATTAAGTGAATAGAATATACAAAACTAGCACTAAACACACCAGTTGTCTTTCTTGCAATTCCTTCATGTCGATTTGCTGTTGCTTTTGTACTTGAGCACGTTGCTGACCTCCAATAGGATCTGATTCGATACTTCTGTAAGCAGCTTCGTCTTGAGCTACAGCGTCGCGAGCCTATTTTGATCAGGGTTACAAGTGGTAAGCAGCATGGTTACTCACTCTTTTCATGCTGCTCTGTTCGATCTTCGCAGCCTTTCTCTGACATGCTTGGAGTCTATTGAGTACGCTGATGTACTCCTCTTGGAGCCGAGCACGTTGAATACGGAGGGATTTCTCAATTAAAGCGGTAAGATATTATAGGACAAAAAAATAAACTTCGTTGTTACTTATATCGACAAGATTTTTCATCAAAGTATTAATTTCTTTCGACAAGCGCTGAGCTTGTTGAGCAACCTGAATTAGCTCGTAAGCATTAAGCTTCCAAAATAAAACTGATACCTCATTGAATTGGTCACGGTTTCTCTCTTCATTTAAACTTGATAGAAGTGCTTCCAAATTAATAACTAAAGGTGAACATTTGACTTTACAATTTGTTAAACTCTATGTTTACCTTGCTGATTCAGTTCTTGTATGTTTCTTTGAATGGATGATATAACAGCGTTTCCTCCATCTTTGTCAAAATCCATGGTTACTTCAAATTCAAGAACGTCCCTGAAGATGAACTGGCTGTACTTATTCAAAAACACCAAAAAAAATGGTTAAAATGACAATTTGTTGATTAGAAAGCACGATTAAATAAATATTTCTGCCGTTTTATAAAAAAGGTATACGCAGACAACCCTCGTGCTTGACAAATATCACAATCTCTCAACTAAGCTTCTATTTTTGATCAATCTTTATTAAGCTTTATTAATAATAGAAATTTAAATAACTTATCAGATTCGAAATTTTTTTTTTGTTCAACAAAGAAAAAGTTATAACGTACATAGGGGTTTCCTGCATTTCTTCAGACAATAATGATGAAACGAACTAAGTAGAGAGTTAGTTATGAACGCGTTTTAATGAAAATGATTGAGTGTTCTAATGTTTTCATTGTTTATAGGATGGGAAATAATATCTTTTTCTAAACATTTTCATGTTTTGTGGGAGTATCTGTCATAATGCTTTGCATTGTAGGTAAATCGAAACCTGTTGGTTTAACTATGGGTATTCTTTGGAAGCTTTCAAAGTAAGTTTCACTCATTTTCGTTGTAAATTCAAACTGTCCCAGAGTTGGCATCAGAGTTGGTCTTGTTGTTGGGGCTGTTAAGTTGTCTTATGATCATGACATTTGGTCCCTCAATACTGTAAAGGCAAGTATGAAGTACACATATATCCATAAAAGGCTACACTCAGGGCTCCGATCTTTACAATCAAATCAAAAAGTACATTGTTCCCGGAACAATAGTATATGCTGATAAGGTAACAGTTTTCATCTTTCTGTATCATTTGCTTCGTTTAGCTTCCTTCCGTAGAAGAAGTACAAGTTAAAGTAGGAACCTCATGGAATAACGGTGTAACTAAGGTTGTTTCTAAACATTTTCCCCAATTTATGCTTTGATTTCAGGTCTTTGACTCTATTGAGACTGCCCCATCTAGCCTGAACACTGTAGCAAATAGACTAATTAACAACAAGTAATTTCTTAATTTGTATTCCCATAGTTCTAGAGCATAGTGCATTTACGTGCTATTGGAGAAATAAATCATATCCTAAGCAATGTTCACAAAACACAGAAATTCTTTATACTAAATACCTGAGTTTATATAAGGAAATAATAGATATTTGTCTTCATTCTGATACCAGATGTCTCTGAAGTATAAATTAGGGAGGAAACGCCAATATTGTTTGTTAAGAACTAAGAATATGCCATTGAGGACAGGAGAGAATGGACTACTGACCGTTACCTATTGTAGGAAGCAGTATGTATACAAACAGAGATATTTCTTATAATAGACTACTTGTTCTCTTTTCACAGCTATTGATATAACATTTGACATCAATGTGCAGTTTCTGTTTCTACACGTGCGGTAAGCGAATTCAGTTATTCATCTTACCAGCTTTCTCAAGCTTTTTCTTTTCCTGTGAAGCATCTGTTCAAATATTTTTCTCCTTTTTCTCATAACTTGCCAATCAGAGAAGCAGCTGTGTAGAGCTAACTTGACTTATACGTCATCTGGCCCACCTTCGACGATCTACCTCGTTCTAACCTTTCGACCTGTACCTGTCATGACCGTAATTTTATATTTCCGAAAAAACAACATCATCCGAATAATATGCTCTAACACTTTCATCATGCCGTGATTCATGAGAATTAAAAGAAAATTTGTAGACTATTAATGTCTGGTGTCAAATTTCAATGTAAGCTATCAAAGAGCACTGTCTAGTGTGAATTAGAATGTGCGCGATGCAGGTCTTGTTCGGCTTTTCAATTCAGATTGCTGAATCTTTTTTTTTTTTACTATACTACGTTACATTTATAGTATCATCGTATGGAGCGTTGATTAATTAGCATATGTTGTCAGTTCCATATTTGACCTTTTTATGCTGATCCTCATGAATTTCTCCTCCCCTTTCATGATACTGTTGTTTCAGCATTGAACCTAAGGATAGAACGGTCATGATCTGGCTTACGATATCTTCACTAGTTTGTTTTCTCCTCGCTTCGTTTACAATACTACTTTTCACAGATTTTTTCCTCTGCCTTCGCTATAATAGGCGACAACTCTATCATAGAGAAGCCAGTGGTTCAATGCAACGAAGACTCTATCACCTTCACGATACGAACAACGAGCCCGTTCCGGTAAACTGAAAGTAGTATTTCATTATCAACTAAAAATCTACAGAGGTAGCATTTACGCTCAAGATCAGCATGAAACGGAGACTTGCCGTCATGTATTTCATGCTAACGAGATCGGTCAAGCGACGTTTGAGGTGCGAATTGGGGAGTGTGGGATGAGGCGTAAGAGACAGGTAAATGCAGTGTCTTATGTATAGTTACATTTCAACACAGCTCGAACCTTACGGAGTTACATATTCTATGGTCTTGGTTACAACATTTCATCCGCAGTTCATGACTAAGTTTGACAGAGTTTTCAATGTGAAATGCTTTTATGAGCATGCTGATAAAATGGTCAATGCCAATATGGATGTGAGGTACTTTCATGAAACTTTGCCCCTATTAATCAGCAGTTGTAAATAGGGGTATTCCACCTGAAACACTAGAGGAATCGATAAAAATCTTACCAGCATGCCAATATACCATTAGAGAAAATAGTGTCGATGGACAGACAGTTCGTGATGTCCAAATCGGAGCGAATCTTGTGCATCGCTGGGAGTGCAATAACCGTAAGTCTATTCATACATACTTCTTTGAATCGGTTGAGATCGGTATTTATTTAGCCCGATTTGCAATGCTCGTAAAAAACTGCTTTGTAACAGACGGAGCATCAGTCCGAATCAAGGTTATAGATGAACGAGGGTAAGCTGAATCCTTAATTAAAGAAAACTGACTTGGTGTTAAGATGTCCGTTGGCACTTGGTGTAGCTTCTAACCCGCTCATTTACGATCATTCCTTAACATTAGCATATACAACGATTGAAGCTTTCAACTTCCCAGATAGGAACAAAGTGTCGTTCCAGTGTCAGATATCAGTTTGCGATCAAAAAGTACACGATTGTATAGGAATCACAGTAGAACATTTCCCCCTTTTACTGTTACAGTCACTAATTTTTTTAGCCACCCGTATGCCCACGTCCATCCATAGGCGACTACCGACCTAATTCGATAACAAATGCCGGAATCAATCCCACACAAGTGAATAAAAAGTTAGGAATCAGATATTAAATTTTTCTAATACAGGTTGTTGCCACTTTCCAAGGCGCAGTGCGATCCAACAATATTGGTGATACTCATTTTATTGATGGAACAATAACACCTACAACAATAAACGACAATCGTCTCCCATTGGGTACAGCCCATAGTGGTGAAGTATAAGCTAGATTTGGATATATTATAGGCCGTATGGATAATATGCATTCCTGGCAGCGCGAACAGAATAGCATTGACTATGAGGAAACAAATGAAATAAAGGAACCCACACTTCAATTTGCTCAGCGACGAAACAGAAATGTGGTAAGTGAACAACTTTTAGTTCAACATGCAGAAAAACACTTTAACTTACCGGTAGTCATGCAACCGCTCTGTGTAAGCAAAACAATGAAAGTAAATAGGCAAATCAAAAGAATGCCGCCATTGCGTGATTGTTTATGCTAATTAAATGATGAAAATCCTGAATATTCAGACCATGGTGCCACAAACAGAATCAACTTCCATGCATTTCCAACCTCCATCGACATTGAACGAGGCAGTGACAGAGCCATCAAAACCTCTAGAAGTTTTCGTGAAGAGTAGTTCTCCAATGCCTACAACTCAAACGATGGAAAAACAGAGAGGTATTTCACAACTTTGTGACCTCGTATAAAGAAAGATGGTATTAGATTCTCGGCAAAGGAGGTTAGCAGATGAGGTAATGGATGTTGAATCCGATACTATTTATGTTCGGTCAGCTAGTGACATGTCTCCTAACTATGCAGGAGGTAGGTAAAGCACCCACTATGTAATACTAAGGCTGATTGCAGCGTCCACGTTAAACAATGCATCAACACTGACATGTTTGGACCAAACAGCCGTTGTTTCAATAGCAGTGTTATTTTCTGTGGCAACTCTACTATCACTATTGTTCATCACCTATCTATGCAGGGATATGTTTAAAATGTAATCCACCTAATGTTTGTTTTACATTTCATTTCATTTTTAGATGCGGGCGAGATCAGGAAAAACTTAGTGTCAACACTGTTTCCAGTAACGCGTCCGACAGCGGAAATACAACTACACCTATTTATATTCGACGCTTAGGCAACCCCAACTATGTACTACCTTTTTAACAATTGGATTGAAAAGAACTAGATCAGAATCATATAACGGTTATAGCTTTCACTTGAAACTTCGAATATCAATGAATCTTGTCAAACGTATGAACAGCGTAACCGAACCAGTTATGCTTGTTAAGTATAAGTCACAAGAATATCATATCATTTTTATCAATTCCAGCAATTATCGATTGTATATAAATTTAAATGTCTAAATAAATTAATGAACGTACATTAGTCAACCGGTTTTAGGAAACCATTTGTCAACATATTATTCATGGACAAGCTCGAGTGATTGCTATCGATCAAGATATTACATAATTTTGCACAATCTGATGACAGCATGTGTTACTTCACCAACAGCTTGATTACTCATCGCTTTTCGCCGCAAAACAGACACTCTTCTACTAGAATTTAATATATGTATAGAATAGCAAGTCTCAAAATGCTTAAGTTACCGATTGCTCAAATTTAAGTATACAGTCACATTGAATCACATCATCTTGTTACAATCAGCACTGCTTCCTATGCGCGAGCTCGGTTGTTAGATGATATCGGTGGGGGGACGGAAATCATGAGATGGGAAAAGCGCATATCCTCTGCCGTAAATTTCCATATCTCAACATCACAACTGATAAGCTGGAAACAAACCATCATAATCAAAATTTAAAAGTGGTAAAAAACTTTTATTTGAAAATAAAAAAATCTATACAGTAACCGGATATTAACTTACAGATACAGAACCCAAAATGAAGTTTAGAACCGAATGCATTAGAAGGCACGGGGACAACAAAGGGATATCAGCTGGTCTTGTGGAGAAAACAGTGAGAACCTGTTAAACCACATGCTCCGCCCATTTTAAATAAAAACATTTTGAATCGATAAGTAGTAGAAAGGTTGTTAAAAGATGTAAGCATTAATGAGGAAATATGATTAGTTAAGGTGAAGGACATCAGAAGCCCAGGTCTTCAACTCCATGAAGCGTTGGTGAGCTTCTTTCAACACCTGCAAATGTTGATGCTATTATACCCGAGAGATTCTGTTTACTAACCTCATCTCTGACTTCGTAAATAGTTTCAGTTTCTTTCAAGCTTTCTTCGAGGGTGAGAAGATAAGTGATAGCGCCATCAACATACGTGTCATCACCGAAGAGCTAAAAAAAAAGTTTTGTCTGACGTTTCATTGACTATTTCCACACCTGTTGCCCCATACTTCTTAAAGATGTGAGTTGAGCAACTAGCTGGTCAGCATTAGACTTGATAGACTTCATAAGCATTTCTTCAGGGGCAGCGCTATAATGACGGGCTTCATCTTCAAGACGAGTCTACAACATTGATTAATTATATACTCCATCCAAATCCGAAATTAATGACCTTAAGCTCAGAGAGAGAAGCTGACACATCCTCAACCTTACCACGAACCCATTCACCCTTTGATTTCATAATGTCCACCTGAGAAAATCAATTTTCTCACTGTTTATTAAAGGAATTCATACCAAAAGGAAGCTTCCTGATAACTGATCGAGCAAAACTTTTGTTTTGTCATTGATAGGGTCGATAACAGAATCATAAGCCTTTAACATGATGTTTCATAAATTTATCTTTTCCTGCATACCTTGGATCTCAAAGAAGAAACGATAGCCGAAGCGATTCCGGTTACACGTTCACCAACAGATTGATCAGGACTCTCCTTAATCTGGAGAGATAACGATTTCTCAACTAGGGCTCTTATCAAATCCAAAAGAGAATGAGTAGTTTCCGTTAGGTGAGAGATGGGAATCTAAAAACAGAAAAACATGAAGGGTCTTTGAAACTTGGTAGTCTTACATTGGCGAGACGTTGGACTTCATGAATGCAAGCCCAGATCCTTTGAACTAGAGCTTCTTCAAGTTGCTTGATTGAGTAAATAACACGGCGTCCAGCACCTTTGGCAGAGTTGAGAGAGTCTAATAGAATTTCAGCACCTCCGGCAGACAAAGCTAGTCCAAACTGAACGAGTAAGCCTCATTTATGTTTATAAGATCACCATTTAAAAACCTGAGTTGCAAGAACAGCAGCTCCAAGTCCTACAGTTGTTCCATGAACAGCAGCAACTTTTCCATTTTCAAGAGCTCCTTTTCCTTAACGAAAGAAAATGTGAAAAACATCATCAAAACATTGAAAACCTGCAGAGTAAACACCGGCTACAGCATTTCTTGGACGAACATAGAGAGTGTTGTATGTATTTGTAGCTTTTCTTTGAGCGATCTAGAGAATTTTTACAAAAAATAAAGGGTAAACAAGCCTATTTACCTCAGAGACACCGTAGACTCCCTTTTCAACAGTGTTAAGAGTGTTCTCTACAAGAGAGCAACTGTGTTTAGCCCAGTCGTAGGTAGCAAATGCCTTAACGAAGTTATCAGTTGAGAAACATGCTCGATTGCTAATGGGGTGAACAGACACGTCTCCTCGCCACTGTGGTCACTCTACTCAAAAAGAAGCTTTTCCTACCTGTTTAACCCATTGGTTATCTCGAACAGCATCATAATATGTTTGGTTTTCGTTATTTTCCTGAACAGAAGTCTCCATAATTGTCTGTAAAACTCAGAAATAATAGAAAGTAGCGTGATGAGTTGTTTGTTAGTAGCGTTTATCTGATGTAAGAAAACGAAACGAGAGAAAAGAAATGGGAGAAACGAAAGAAATGATTGTATCAACGAACAGACACACATTATAAAGTTTTAAAACTAATTGTTGTTGAAGCACAACAACATATCTACTAAAAGAAATAAACCTTCGCTTATGACTATGGTCCACTCAACGTTTTTTTTGGCGGGTTCTATTGATTATTTCTGTACGAAAAAAGATCTATCAAAACATGCAATTTCGTTCTTTATTTGTTGTACATTGAACTGTATCAGATATTGTGAATGATAAACTTCTTCAAATTATCCGTACGAAACATGGCAAAAACGAAAAATAATAAAGTTGGCTTTGGAAGTTCTCACTGATCTAACCTTACGTCTTTTCAGCTTGCTCAATCGAGTTCGAATTCAGTCGCTGCTGATTCTGAAACTGATAAGGCAATTTCGCTGAGTAGTCAGGGCTACATAAGGTTGAGAGTTCACGCTCGGCCAGGAGCCAAACAGAATATCGTAACAGGTGAGAATGATATAATACTTCAGTGCGTTTTGTGATTGTTCTTTGATTGTTTTCTTATTTCGACCTTCCAGAAATACGAGATGATGAAATTTGTATTGCAATCAATGCCCCTCCAAGAGAAGGTCAAGCCAACGAAGAGTTGGTTTCATATGTACGTGAAGTCTTAGGTTTGCGAAACAATGAACTGAGCTTTGATAAGGTGTTTGTTCGAAACTTATTTATTAACTCAATTTACTTGTTAAAGGGTGCAAAGTCGCGTAATAAAGTTCTTCTTATCACCTCAAATAGATTAAGCATAGAGGATGTGACCGATAAACTCAATGAAATTATTGGAAAATAAACAACAACATCCGAAAATCTCATGTTTCTTCAAATAATTTTCCAAATAAATCTATTCTTAACGGCTTAATTCATTATCCCATCATGATCCTAGCTTAGTCTCGTGCAGCAGCTTTCGAAATCATTCGTGGTTGAGATATAGAGAAGAGCGGTCGCATTCCAATCATCCTTCTCTTTTGAAGATCTGAAGGTTATTGATTCTAAGAAACATTCTGAAGTAATGTGTTAGGATATTCGCTTATTAATTGTTGACCCTAGTGGCCAACATGCATACTCATTAAACTAATTGAATCGGTAAGTGCTAGAGCATAGAAGCTTATAAGAATATGATTACAGCCAACAATCTAAAGCCACTACGAACATATTGTTCTATTCAACTTCTTCAATCATCTCAACATGTACTTTCTATAATTGAGTTAAAACCAACTGAATTTCAATTATATCAACTCTATTGGTCAGTTTTATTTCGACAAACCGTTTTATGAAAATGAAAAACACCTGCAAGTTCTTGCATAACTCAGTCTTTCTTTGAGATTAAAAAACGCTTTGCTTTAGTATAGGTTGAAAGCTATATAAAGCTTAAGTGGTATGAATGAGTTTATTGTTATTCCATTGAGACTTATAAGCTTCTATCAGTTGAGGTTGTGTGTATGAAGTTGTGAGAGCTTTGTGTTAGCCAATGTGGCCCATTTTTGATATATCTCAACAATAGAATAATGAGGAATATTTATTGTTATTTGTGAATAATCGATAAGCTAGCGTTGGAGGTAAAGCATACACACACACATTCTTCCTCATATCTTAATAAACTCATTAGTATCCAGGTGGTTTACAAGGCAATAGATTGCTTTCCAGACCATTGAAATATCTTTTCCACTCTCATAATCTCTATGATTTTCAATCTTTCACAAATCTGCCCATGAGCTATACATTTGACTGAATAGTAAAGCTTATTTCTTATTAACACCAGAAAAAAAGAAGTTTTATTCTGTTATTTCACAGATTTCCCACCAAATAGCTGTTTGTTGGCGGAAAACGAAAGTTTGTGCAGAAGTTTTCGTGCTTCATCTGACTGTCCATGTGGTCAAGTCATATAGGGTATGTTTCAAAAAACATTCTTTCCTTACAACCATATGCTGCTATTATATAAGTTATTACTTGCTTGTTAATAAGTTCTAAAAGCCTTTATACAACCGGAAAGTGTATGTTGTGTGAGCTTAAACACAATGTTGCTTTTGAATACAAGAAGAAGCTGACGAATAGAACGAAAACGATAGCACATGTTGTGAAAAGGGAACAGAATGAAGAACAATCTAAGGAAGCTTCATCTTAGTTAATTTCATCTAGCTCAAGTAGTATTTGGTATATCTTTTGGAACAACTATCCTTCTCCAAATAGTCTTAAAGTGAACAGAATTTCTCTACTATCCATTTCACCTAATTCTCATTGCCTTTATAGCTTTTTCTTAAAGCTAATCCACATCTATCTTGGTTTACTTATCTCATTTGACATCCTGCACCCTGGATGTATAAGCTTCTTGTGCATTTGACAGAGAATAATTTATCATCCAATTTTTGCCATCTTATTCATTTCTACAAAATGCCTTCGCACAACAACAGATGTCTGTTCCCAACAAGCTTTTCCCGAATTTTTTAACCCTTCTACTTCTCTCCATTACTTCATAAATCAGAATAAATTAATTAAAGGCTTGTTCTCCATCTCACTCATTCTTCTCCAATCTATGACTGCATGGTGTTTTTGATGATAAATATCCACGCTCTTTCCTATATTCTTCAAGCTTTTGTTTGCATTAAAAGCTTCTTGGGAGATCTTCTAATCTTTCTATAAATTACTTTCCATTCACTGAATAAGATGATAATTATCCAATAGAGAAATGTTAGAGCGTATTTCTTTAGTCTGTTCATGTTTTAAGATATTTGTAGGTATTGCTATAAAGGGAAAGAGAGAGAGAGAGAGATACTAAAAGAAGGAAAGAGGGAAATCGTATTGAAAAGCTTTCCATAGGGAAACAGAGAGGGAGCGTGTAATAAAGGAAATACATAATCACCTCCATTAAGTACTTTCTTTGCTCTTCCATTTGAGGTTGTGGGAGGGAATAGAGGGATAGTAGGAGGACCAAGTCCTTCCTTCTTCTCTTTTAAGCCAATCTCTTATGGATGACTTATCTTTATGAGCACTGAATGAGCTGATTGAAAAGAGAATTTTCGTTTTCTTATTCACTCCTCTAGCCAATCAAAGAATTTTTTAATTTTTATGAGAAAATAGAGCATTTTGATTATCTGAGAAGTATCAGAAATGAATTTTTCTTTTCTTTCTACACTCCAGCCAATCTCTCTTAATTCAGAAATGTGGCTGTCATAGGCACATTGCTACTACTTTCTATCTCACTTCATTCATTCTCTCACTTTCCTCTCTATCTCTCTCTCTCTCTGCCTTCTCTCTTTACTTTTCGCTTATTCTAATTAAAGAAAATTTGAGAATTTGTATAAGCAGATGAATGTTAGAAACGCTTTCTCTTTTCACCTTATCCATTTTACTTTTTATTTTTAAAATTTCATTTTTAAAGCAGCGGAGTGGTGGGAGGCACATCCAGGGAAAATATGTTTTTCCATGCAACTCTAGCTCGATCTTTCATCAATGCTCTCTCATTAAGAGGTGATGATGATTTCGTCGACAGGTAATGTTATTATTTTTCTCAATTTATTCAAGTAAATCTTCGATTTGACTTGATTTATTCCAAAACAGACTCAAATTCCTCTAATATATTCATATTATGTAGACTCAATTACTATTATACACCGATCATGCTGTCAATAGCTTGTTTGATCATCAGTGCTAAGCAGGTCTTTCTATACTTTTACTTTAGTTTATAGAAAAACATTGTTGTTTAGTATGGAGGTACTCCTATAGAATGTTGGGTTAATCCACACTCACGAGAAAGTATGGAAGAGTATATTGAAAGCTATTGTTGGATTCAGAACACCTATTGGATTCCCATGTACGAGAATGTTCCTGATGACCACACAGCTCGTGAAGGTTTTTGACCCCATTTCTAATGAGCATCAAATGTCTTTGTTCCAGAAAAACAAATAGGATATTATCAATGGGTTCCCTTTATCTTAATAGCTGAAGCTTTGATGTTCTCTTTGCCTTGTATATTCTGGAGACTGTTAAGTTGGCAGTCAGGTATGGATACCATCGTTTCAACAACTTATTTTTCTTTTTTTGTTAGGTTTGAATATTCAACATTTGATAAATGCTGCATGTGATACTCAAGCCATTGTTGACGCTTCTGATAGAGCTAAGGTTTGCCCTCTAATGGCTTCAACTTCTAATTATATGATTACAGGCAGTAGAGGCTATCACAACATGTTTCGTCGATAACTTAGATCTCCAATGTCCATCAGTTAACATACACCAGAGAAGTCTATTATCAAGAATAAAGTGCAACAGGCAAGTGATGAAGTATGAGACCAATTAAACAGTTATTTGAAGACTTCTATCTGGCCATTATGTGTCCGTCATCTATCTCATAACAAAGCTCTGCTATGCGGCTAATGTTATCTTACAATTTGTCATTCTCAACGCCTGTCTCAAATCTGACGATTATCTTCTGTTTGGCTTTCAAGTAAATTAATTTCATTTCTTTTGTTATAAAAAAAAGCAAACTCATAGGTGTTGAACGATTTGGTACAAGGAAAGCCTTGGACTGAGTCTGGCCATTTCCCACGGGTAACTCTTTGTGACTTTGAAGTCCGTTATGTCGCCAACCTTAACAGGTAACAAGTTCTTTGCGAAGTTTTCAAACTAATAGATAATTTTTCAGATATACTGTCCAATGTGCTTTATTGATAAACATTATCAATGAAAAGGTTTTTGCTTTCTTATGGTGTTGGTATTTGATATTACTGTGTATAACAAGGTTTTCTCTTATGTCAACGATTCATTAGAAACATCTTCTTTACAGTTTCTCTACCACTGCCTGGCTTCTCAATACTGGCGTTGTGAACGAGAAAGTTGATTATGTTCTAAAATATATGCAAATAGCTCATTCAAGTGAGCAGAAGAAGCTCCAGAAATTTTCAAAAGTTATTCAATTTTTTTAAATTTTCAAAACTTTTTTGTTTGAAGGAAACATCTGTGGAGCGTGTCTATTCAGTCATTCCCTTCGCTCCTCATTTGCTTGACCGATTTGTTCTTAATTTCTTAAAATCCGATGGGGTAAGATATTTCCTTTATTGATTATAATTATATCAAATATCTTTGAAGGTTTTCATTTTGAGGATGATGTCCAATCATGCTGGTGATATGATTGTAGTTCAAGTTGTCAAAAATCTTTGGCAAGAGTTTCGAGAACGAAACTGGCGGGAGTTTGAAGAATTTGAAGAAATTAAAGAACAACACTTCCGTTTTCCAAAATCAAGCCTAATCAGGTATTCATCCCAAGTTGTTTTGGAATATAAAATGATTTTCAGTGGACCAACCCATCCAAGAGTTGTCACCATAAGCAACCCAGTGGCAACGATGATGAGCGACTCGTTAACAAGCGAGAAAGCTGCCTATTTATGATAATTCTATGTTATATAATAACTGAAGTGCCTGTTATAGTTTAAGGAAGATTTATTAAAATATTTTTATTACTATAACTGTTAATACACAAAGGAATCTTCAACTGAATGAAGAGAAGGGTAGAGAGATAGCTCCAATAAACCGTTGACTCAATGAGAAGCTATGTGATCAAGTATGGAAGTGTGTTACATGAATGAAAAAATACGATCAGCCTTAAGTAATGATAGTCACGCGAAAAGAATGAAAACTTCACGTGAACTCACGTTATTGATTCACGTACATCATCTTTAATCAATTGAACTCATTTCACTGCATTGGGACGTTGAAAGCGGTTGCTCATTGAGAAACGTAATTTTTGAAATAAAAAAAGGTTTGTGATTAAATTTCGAGACTTAATTAATAATGAAAGAGAAATGATGATCATGTAGAGGATTATTGAGAGGAAAAGGGTCGGAAACGTGTCCTCAGAGGACGACAGTTCAATTCTATAAATATTTAATTGAACTGAACGACAGTTGATGACTTGGATATTCCTTTTTTATATCTTTCTGTTGCTTTTTCATCTTCCTCTCTCTCTCTATCTCTCTCTCTTCTCATTCAGTTTCATTCTTGATCAAATGTTTTTTTCTTTCTTTTAACTTCATAATTCTTGATATTTTGAAATGAATTTTAGTTCAGCTATGTGAAAGAGGACTCCTTATATGGCAGACGAAAAGGTTTTTTTTGTCTTTGTCGATTAAAAAAATTTTTTTTAGAAAAATTAAAATTATTCTATTGAAATCAATTAGTTTGAGGTTTCTTCTAATAAATTGTTTCAAACCAAATATGAAAATGTGTCAAACAATCTCCGCCCATTGAGCTTTGTGATTGGCTAAGGTCTGTGGTTTGATTGTGGCTCCGCCTCTGACTGCTCGGATAGCCGTTGCCTTAGCTGGAAACTTAGAGTCTTTTCTTATTTTAATGTTATTCCTTTAATCAATATAACACTAATTTTATTATTATTTTCATTTAATTTCTATCAAGCTTATCACAATTACATGGAACGTGCAATGATTTTCAATTTCAAAGCTTCAATTCGAAAATCTGAGCAGTTACCATGAAACTATGCATCTGTTGGAACTTCTTGTTCTGTTTCTTTAAATCTCATTCTTTTCGTGTTTCTAGAAAGAGACGTAAATCGTTTTTCGATATAGCGTGTTCAGTTTGATCTTTCGAACAAAACTTTTAAAAAACGGCTTCGAATACAAAATATGAAAGACGTTTCAGGTTGGAAAGAGGATAGATATGTATGCCAGCAAACGTCGCCAGCGGAACTTCAAACGGTGAGTTTCTTGAGATTCTAGAGAATAAGAGAATACTATATACTGTTAGTTGTTGTATCAACAGTAGTGGATAATGGTGAGAAGTGTATTGTTAAATTTGGGATTAGAGAGATTGTTACTCCTTAGCTTCTCTGGCGATAGGACGAATTAGAACCAAAAAAAGTTTTTGTCGACTCTTATGGTGATTTCTGGTAGAAGCGGATTTCGATCAAAACAAAATGTTTGAAATGCAGTTGATGAAGCTTGCAAATGAAAGTTCAGCATAGAGTGGAACGCCATTAGTGTCAAAAGATAAGGTGCAACAGTGAGCGAGAAACGGAGAGCGAGAACAGAAATCGTCCAACGGTTGCTTACCTTGTGCATTTACATTTTCACGATGAAAATGAAAAAAAAGGAGAAGTTGAAAAGCCAGCTGATGATGAAGACGATGGAGTAGAAGAAGAAAAGAAGGGAGGGCTGTAGAAGAAGGAGATGATGATGCGTGCTGAGTGTCACGACAACGAGCGTGACTAGGTATGTGCCCATCATTTTCTACAAACGGGCTTTGCCTTTTCGAAAACTAAAAAGCTTAAAACTAGTAGATAGCTGATATGGCTCCTCAAGGGCACGCAAGAACGGCCAGTATGTAACGATCATTTGAATTCTAAACTCTGTCCCTTTCATCATAATCGTTAGGTGCTTCTCAGAAATTCCTTTCTTACTACGTGTTTTCATTTTTTTTCTTCTCTCCTACTTGTATATAGTTAGTTTCGTATTTGGATGATAGCTTGAGCTGCTCATATATTCATGGCATCCAAAGTTTATGGAGCCATGATGGGAGGGCTGAGAAACGAGAATGAGATGAAGCCCATCATCATAGGCTACCGTAATCTCAGCTGCAAGTCTCTCAACTCTCTCTTATCGTAGACCTTAAGATATATTTGAAGAACGCCAGACCACATAAATATATTTTGTGTCTTTCTGATATAAATTTGGCAAAAAGAGGAGAGCGAGAGAAGGCAAGACCAGTAGACTAGGAATAGGAAGGAGGTGACAGGGGGAGTGCCATCGAATATGGAAATATCAGTTTACTTTGTTATTAATTATAACAAAATATTGTACTAACTATACATGTAGTTAATGTCTTTCTCTGTTTGACTTATAGAAATGAATAGCTTTTCTTCGGAATATGCTTCCGTTGCCATCATGTCGTCAGAGAATCGCGTGACGAGTTTCCATCGAAAGAGGGAGAGAAAAAGAGAATTGCCGGCAGAAGACTAGTCATCATTTTCTTCACGTCTCTCGTAGTCTCTTCTTGAAGTAGAAGACATAGAGAGGTTCTTGCACATTCTGTCTATATTTCTCTTTATCCGTTGAAAGGAAGGGGAAGATTTAAAGAAATCTGTGGAACTAAGGGACAACAAGCATCAGCAGTAGTGGCAGAAGCCTTACAGTATACTTTATAATACTTAACCATCTTTTAACTATTCAATATGAAATATAAGAAATATTCAAGAGGTATAGAAGCTATTATTCCATCTGTATTTACACATATAGTCTTCTTTATTTTAATTAATTGCTTACCGTATGTTTTATAAATGACATGGCCAATTATGGTATGATGAGCATCTATTAGCACCTTTTAAGAGAGAGCTCCTTCTGCCAATCGTCTGTCTCAAAATATAATATATATTAACATAGTATAGTTAATATATTATAAATAATAATTAAATATTCATAATATCCATTACGAGGACATATTTTGTGATTCACATGTCAATCGTCTGTTGCATTCTTCGAGAACACACTTTATCATCTTCTTCAATCAAACTACATATTTCATTTCAATTCTCATATGAAATCTCTCTTCAATGTCTATAATCAGACAAAATACATTATCCTTTTCAAATATAACATTATATCAACAAAAAAAAATAATTATAGTTGAGCAGTTTCATGAAAAACGGGCTTCTTGACACCTGCTTTGACACCCTCCTTCACAGTACCTTCTCACCTATCCTCTATAATACCTTTACAAATGACAAAAGCTTAAAAGGGAAAATGAAACAGAATAGAAAGCTTATACATTCTATTTAAGTGTTCGAGAGCCGACGAAGCCTTCAACTACCTCAAATCCTTCAAAACGACATCGAGAGCGACTGAATGGCGAATTGGAGACTGTTAGTCTATAATCCTGTTTTTGAAAACGAAACAACTACTTCATAGGTTGCTCAATTATTACCATATGATCATCAAACGATCAGTCGATTGGATAAGCTGAGTGTTCTCCGATTAGCTGTGAGCTTTCTACAAGCTAAAGCTCATTTCCAAGGTATTTACTTTGATACATTCTATTCAAACAACATCTGAGTCGGTTATTGCTTTCTACCCATTGTGACGTAAGACGATGTTAAAGAGAATATTCAAATGAAAGGATGAGATAGATAAAGAAAAAGTTTTTTGTTGTTATTTCAATTGTTAACCATGTCATCTGGCTAGTTAACTATATGTAATCCAATATATATCATTGACATATCATAAGGTGTCAAGTAGGTTGAAAATGAACTTGACTTGTCAATCGAAAGGTCACTACAAACACGCGAATCATATTATTATCCATTTTTTGGTCATCATCATATATATAGTTAAGATATGTCTTTAAATATTTAACTATAAGAATAATTTATAAGATGAAACATGTATTTTGAATGTAACAGATGGTTGACAGGGCACATTATAATTTTTGTCAAAGACGATCCAAAATGTCATAAAATTTCTTTCAAATATCTAATTGAACATCATGTTCTACTCTATTCATCTCCATTTTTGAATTTACAACAGGAAATGAGAGATTGAAATATTTAAAAAATTATGAAAGCTAACAGGCTGTCTATATGTTGTAGAATACGATCTCTAACGATCTGTTATGAGGGAAAGACATTGAGAGTGTATTGAGTCAGTTCATTTCAGCATGTCATCATCAAACTTCTACTTATATGGGTCAATTTCCATTAGCCACACATAATTATTCATTTGTTGCTCGTCCTGCTCTACCTTACTCATCAACTATTCCAACTGTTTTCCATCCACCCGTTGGTCATGCCCTTATTGATCCAAAGGAGCCAGACTTCGAGACAATTAGCATGAAAGTAAGAAACATGAGGGTTCTTAGAAGAAACTGTTCTTTGAAGGCTTTGGGAGGCTTTCTTTTGATCATCAATGACAATGGAGAGATATATTATGCGTCAGAGAACGTTGAACAGTTCTTGGGATTTCATCAAGTAACCATAAGGTGCAAATGAATATGATGGATTAATGATTTGCAGTCGGACATCCTTCATCAGCCTTTGTTTGATTTGATCCATTCCGAAGATCGCGATGATATTCGTCAACAGCTTGATGTTACCTTTGGATTGCCACCCACTACAACAACATCCTTAACTCATCAGGAGATATTTTTACCTGGTAAGGATAACACTGGCTTTCCCTCTACAGTACTTGATTTCAGAAAACTTGTGTTACTTGGAGAGGAACGTTAATGCTCGTTTTCGATGCTTATTAGACAACACTTGTGGATTTCTAGTAGGAAACATCATTTCGTTCCCCCTGTTCACGGTTTTGCTATTTCAGAGAATAGATATGAGAGGAAAGCTGATGGCAATCCATGGATTACCGTCTTCTTATGTTTTGGGAAGATCAACGACTGGACCTGTTCTAGGTTTAGCTGTTGTTTGCACGTAAGTTTTCTTTTCTTTTTTTTTCTTTCAAAAAAGTTCTAACAAAATTTTCAGTCCGTTCGTTCCACCAACATCTGAATCTCCGCCTGAAGATATGATCTTGAAAACGAAACATCATTTGGACGGAGCTCTAGTTTCCATGGATGAAAAGTATTTCAATTGACATGTGATTGATGATAGTATTTTGAAATTCAGAGTTCATGCTATGCTGGAATTATCAGAAAATGAATTGCCAATGAGCTTTTATCAATTAATACACGTTGAAGATGCTTTCTGTTTAGCTGAAGCTCATAAAGAAGGTTGCTTCCTCCTCATTCCTTCTGATAACCATCAAATGAACTTTTCAGTTTTGAAAAATGGATCCTCGGGTTTATTAATATATCGATTGATCAGTTCAAAATCTAAAAGAACTTATTTTGTTCAAAGTAGTTGCCGTATGTTTTACAAAAATGGAAAACCGGAATCAATCGGCTTGACACACCGCTTGCTCAAGTAACTTTCCGTTCTAGCATCGTATACTCATTAACGTATGGTATTGTAGTGAAGTTGAAGGCACGATGCTGTTAGAGAAAAGATCATCGCTGAAAGCAAAGCTTCTTTCTTTCGATGATTCATATCTTCAATCACCCAGAAATCTTCAATCAGCTGCTGCATTACCCATCCCAGCAACAAAAGAAGAATTTCCCGATGACGACAGGTTTTTTTTGAATTCTAAAGATCAATATTCATCCATCTACATAACAGTTTCAACTTTACTTCTAATATCAATCAGCCAAACTCAAATCTGAGAACAAAGAAACAACGAGATGATCAGTTGGCTGTGTCTATTGCAACGCCGACCGCTCTTGTCCCCAAGATTCCGAACGAACAATGGCATTTCATTCAACCGGTTGGTTTTTTTGTTATTTCTTCATTTCTATTTTACATAATTTGAAACATAAATTATGACTTCATGATTAGAATATACTTGATTTACGAGTAATCAAGTAAGACATCGTGATGTCACGTTTCCCTTGAAATTTGAGGGGAAAGCTCCTTATTGGGCACAATAATATCAAAAATGAATAGTAGCAGCTAAATTTTCTTATAATGATCTTGTAATTGCAGCCTGTCATGTCCGAATTCGCAACAGCTTTACCATTTCCACATCATTTGCATCCAGCAGTTGATCAGCATGGATGGAACTCGAATGATATGTGGAACAATCAGGAAATTTACTCATATCCTGCTCCACAACGTATATCCATATAAGATATTAGATTGTCATAAATGATTCATAATTAAGGGAATATTCCAATTGCTAATCCAACATATCCTGTTGTGTCGACTGTTCAGACAAGCGTTCCATCTATGCAGCTTCATCCATTGCATGGTTATACCGATTTAGACTATCAATGGCATGCGAATCAATCGATCAGTATGCAACGTGAGTTACTATGATCATAATGAGCAAACTATATATTGTTCATACTACAGCGACATCAACATCATTACAAGACATGCCAAACGATATGACAACTTCGGCTACTGTCTACTCTCATAAGATAGATCCTCGATATGGATATTTAGAATATGGAAAGGTACTTAACTATCCATTTTCATTATTATGCTAATTATCTTTTAAAGGCTCCAATAACAAACTATCCAGCAATATCAGCTGTGTTATCGGCCAATACATCATCAACGGGCTTCAACTTGATTTCGGAAGTAACAAACACCTTATTGGGACAATAAGCATAACTTCATTTCTTATTACTCTCTCCTCTCTTCCTCTCTTCCTCTCTCTCTCTTCTTATAAGCTCACTTCTTATCCGACTGTGATTGTGGATATACTTTAATTGATAAGGGTAATTGTATGTATCAGATCTCAAATAAACTATTCCTTCTTGCATTCTTCTTTCATGTTCAATTCACAACAACTGAATCATCGTCCCCCCCTCTCTCTCTCTCTCTGCGTCTCTCTTTCTTTCCCCTTTCCTCTCTACCTTTCATTCTTTTTTTATACATTTTTTTTCATTTAAAAGCAAAAAAGTGGGAAAATGATTGATATCTCAATGTTTTTTCTGTTTGTGATAGCTCTCGAATTGAAATTGAAGAATCCGGCTATGATGAAGCTCATCTTCAGATGACCTGTTCTTCACACGAAGAGAGATTGAAGAAACAAGAGAATACACAACTTGGAATATTCTCAGGCTTCATCTCATTTTCTCACATTCTCCATTCTATTTTTATTCTCAATTATACTATTTTTAATAGAACAAAAGTAAAAATCGATAGAATACAGTGTAACTGTGATGTTCAAGCCACCAACGAGACATCATCGCATCGTTTCTGACCATTTGATCTTCAAAACAATTTTTTATTTTTTTCTTCCATCAAAACTAGCTCAGCTCAAGATTATTTAATGTAAAACTAGCCTTTTTTATTAAAAATTATGGACAAGCTCTTCTTGAATGACAAAAAAATCTTTTTTTTTCCTTCTCATCTCTTCTCCTCCATTTGAAGCCATTAAATGCCTTACAGTCCGGAAATTGAAGCATCCAGGCTTCAATAGGTGCGGCGTACCGATGACAAATATCAAAAATGCTTCTTTACGCTGGCGCATCGCTTTTCCCATCTAAACCGGTCAGAAATGAACCCGGCTTACCGGACGGACACACACACCCCATACACACACAGACACACACACACACACATTTCTGGACGGGCGATCTCTTGATTGTTCATGTGAAGATTTTCGTTTTCCATTTTAATATCAACCGGTTAATAAGGATAGCCGGAAAAATATTTTTTTGTCTGCTGAACCCAATTAGATGCCATTGAAAATTATATTTATTATTCAGCTTCATCTCTTTTAAGCTTACATTTGACTATATAAGGAATCGGATATGTTTTTGAATTTCATTTGAGCTTCTCTCTCTCTCTCTCTTCCACATTCAATGAGAAAAGAAAGACGTTCTCCTCTAATTATATATTTCTCAATTATATTATTATATGAACTATAAAGTGAGTATACGTATGTTTCATATTCCTCCTTCTCTTACTCTTTCTCTCTCTCTCTCTCTCTATTACAGAAATCATCTTCTCGTGTCGTTTGCTGTTTTTTGTATTTAAAGCTTTACTCTCATTTTTCTCTCTAATAGTTTGGATTCTCTCTAATTCACACATCACTGACGATTAACCATCAATACGGCTCTAACGATGAGCTTCTTCTTCTTCTTCTCCTTCTCTTCTGTACACACACACACACATACACACATAATGAAATAGAGAAGGTTTTTGCTTTTAAAAACTAATTCAAAAAGCCTACTTGGTTAGCACTTCAGTTATTAGATTCTTACAATCGTTATCTCATATGCACAACCGTTCTTCATCTCTATGGTTAAACAAATAATTTCTTTTACATGTATATCACGTGTATGACGTCATTCACGTATCTTACGTGTAACATATATGTTTACAAATTATAATAATTTAGTTTCCTTTAGAGAGTTTTTCGTTTGTTTTTCTTTTTTCTGTTCAGTTAGACTTCTCTGAAAAAGAGAAAAAAGTTAAGAAGAATGTCAAAATCTCACTCAAACTGTTTGACAATCTGTCATCTTGAGATGTGACAGTAAGGAAGGTGGAAGTAACTTGCCTTCAATGAATTCATTTTGTATTTTCAAATGAACATAAACAATGAAATAAACCAATTGACTAGATCATGTTGTTGTCTTTAATGGAATTTCCTTTCCAACACCAACTTTGATGGTCTTCGATGTTGACGTGTTTTCCTTCTTCAACATCAATCACTTATCATCTTTCTATTTTTAATATTTTTTAATCATAAAATGATGTTCTTAGCCAAATTCTTCTTCCACTTCTCCTATATATCTTATAGTAGTTGATTATTGTATTTTAACTAGACGTATAGTTAGTTAATGGATGCTTAGCTCTAACAAGATTAGGCTTAGATGACTACTCATTTGGTACTCATGACAATGCAAATGTAATCACAGCTCTTACATATCTCTTCTTACACTCTCTTAGTCTATGTCAAATGTATCCAAATTCGTTTTTAACGAAAACCGTTTTTGTTTGAATATTCTAATATATGTCCTTGATAGTTAAAAGCTGGTTCTAAGATGTCATTTGATATCAGCTGATTATCATTTCTATCATCTAAATGACATAATTTGTAATAAATATTGACATTTCCCTTTTTAAATGCTTTTTTCCTTGTCCTTCTACATACGTATTGACAATAAGCTTCTGCCTAATATGGTTATATTTCGTGAATTTGCTTCGTCGATCCATTGCTCTATTCGGTTCTATTGAAGAGACACTTAAACACGAACAATACATGTGTCTTCCTTTGAGCTCCTTTCTTACATTTTGTAGCTTTTCCCTTCCTTTCTCTACTTTTCCTCATTCCTCTATGTTATCTTCATCTTCTTATATTTCCGCAATTCATCGCTTATGGCAACTCCTTGTTATCATCTGGCCTCTCCTCTTTTGGTAATATTGTGAACACACGAAAGGTCGGCCGTTGTTTGATCTTCTTCCTCACCTCCTTGTTCACTTTAATTGATAATTCTGGTATTTCCTACAACCATTTTTCTTTCCTCTCATCTTCTCTACCTCCATCCCTCCCTGTGTCTCTTCCTCTCTCTCTCCCTCTCTCTTTGCACTTTTTCTTCGTCTTCCTCCTTTTTCTGTTAAGAATTAATCATTTCATTCCAATTTTTTGTTCCTTTTTTAGGTCGGAAAGTCTTTTTTGGTGAAATTGCAACGTTTTTGTGAGATTTTCGAAATCCATTTCAACTACTTGACTATCTCTATTCAATGTATTTTATTTCGAGTTAATTAGTGAAATTAAGTACTTTGACCTTCTATTTTTATTTTTACGTTCACTCGTAACAGAATTGAAAATATTTGATTTCGTGCAATTACCTGAAGTCCTTTATGATATGTTGCTGTCGTCTGTCTGTATTTGTATGATGGTTAGGGTGGGGTAGACGATGATGTTCAGATAGCAGATTCATAATGACTTGAACAGACATTAAACTCCAAGCTTCCATAAGTTACGATCAGTTTTTTGTTGTCTCCTCTTAATTATATTCAGTCTAAAGACTAAAACTAATGGCGCATTAAAACGTTTGTCGCATTTTTTTGTTTTCTGAATTCCGGACTCTCGCTTCCTTCCTTTCCAGCTTTTTTCAAAAATGTTATAGACGATTGTCTTAACGGTTCTTTGTTTGTAAGATGTTTTTTTAATTTTATTTTCCTTTTTTTGTTCTTGTGGATGAAATAGATAGGACGAAGAAAAGCTTTACAGCCATTATCCTTTTATGGTCTTTTGGCATTCCGTTAAGGACATCTACCTTCGTCTCTCTCTCTCCCCCTCTCTCTTCCTCAATCAACTGGTTATTTTACTTTGGAAATAATCGTTTATTGATACATTTTCTACCTTCTTTTTCTATAATTGCCTTTCAATTGCAACATTCACTTTTCCTTTTTTTCTGGTCAGTCATTGGCCATACATGGGGATGAAGCTGGGCCTATTAGACTCATGAGATGCGTCCAAAAGATTAAAAAATGGCCATTTCTTAGTTAAAAGTGACGGTAATTACACCTCGAAGCTAGCTTATATCCACACGTGCAGAGGACCGGAAAGTTATCTTAACGGATGCAATTGGTTACTCAAGCGTCCAAATGTAAAGAAAAACACTTTTCATACAGATGCATGATAGACCCATATTGTCCATTGAAATCGTCCTCACATTTTGAGTCATTCCATGTTTTTTTTTCTTCTTCTTCTTCTTTCTCTTCTTCCCCTTCCCCCCCCCCCCCCCTTCTCACTCTCTTTTTTGATATTCAAACGTCTCTTTGATCCTTTTCTACCTGCGTCGGAACGAAATCTGAAATTACGAGAAGAAAAAGACGAAAAGGAGGAGGAAAAGGAGGAGAATTTCTTCCATCAGACTCCAAAGGAGATGACGACTGACCTCGATACGTTTTTCGTAATCAACACAACCAATCGTCGTTTTCCTATTTCTATTTGACTTTAATTTTACCTTTTTTCCTTATATTCTCATACGTGGATCGCGATTGTTACAAGATCTTCAGAATCATTCTAACGACCGCAAGCTTCAACAAGTCAATTCAGAAAAGCTCTCTGACTCTCTCTCGAAATCTCCCTCCATTTCTCTTTGTTCACTCTAATCGAGTGTCTTAACAACGAATTTTCGTTCTCTAATTAGTTGCCATTTGAAGTAAGATTTCATGAATACTAGCCCTTCATCAAGTAGTTTCTTCAAATTTTCTGTTAAAATATCCCAATTTTTTTATTTTCTTCTCTCTCTCTCTTACCCTTCCCTCTCACTCTACGTTCCTCTGTTTGTGTCCTTATCCTTCATTGCCATCTCTTTAAGCTAATTTGAGCTTTTATCTTAATCTGTTAATTGTCCTCTCCTTAACTTGTCCCTCTCTCTCTCTCTCTCTCTCTCTCTCTCTCTCTCTTCCTCTCTCTCTCTCTTCCTCTCTCTCTCTCTTTATACTTCTTTATACTAATTATTTCATTTTTGTTGTCTTCTCATCCATTTAAAAACGTGTTTCAAACTCTCAAATTTACAAGTTTTCTCTTCTTGTTTTAACTTATTTTTGAGAAAAAATTGTTTTTTTTCTGCACACGTTCCCAATGACTAATCATATATGTTTCTTTGATGAAACATTTTATTCTTTCTTTTGCCTTTTCTTTATTCAAATTTCTCTTTGAAACAGGCGATTTGCTATTGAGGACACAGCAAGCCTCGAGAAACCGTAAGGAGGCGAACGAAGAAAATCAGTGTTTTGGATCGTTTGACTCCTTCTTCATCCAAACAACAACACATTCATACATATAGATACATAGAGAGGGAGGGAGACAGAAAGAGAGTGAAAATGAGCGAGAAAGAGAGGAGGTGGTGCATTTTCAATTAAAAAGTCATGTCAGTTGCCATAAGAAGTAATCGTCCTTGAAGAATCAGTCAAAATGATTCTTTTCTCTTCAATTCACTGTTGTGGAGATAAGTTGTTGAAAACAAAAAAAAAGAATGAAAATGATGAAGAAAATCTTTTTTTAACCTCCCATTTACTAATCTTATCAATCAATTTCCGGTCATTATGATGTTGTTAATCATCTTATCAGATGAATAATCATCTGATTATTATTCTCATTTTCTCACATATGATTATACTAACTACTTCCTTTCTTACTATCTTACTACCTCCTACTACTGTCTACTACTGTGTATATCTCATATGGTCAGTTATCGATTGATTCATACCTTCAATTGAGTTCTTAACTCAGCTGTAGATCTTTTCATTTCATCTCCAGATGTTTCATTACAACCATTTCAAAATCATTTTTTTAAACTTTTCCAATCGTCTTTCAACAGTAATTATTTGCTCAAACACCTGTGTGTTGTCTTCTTCGTTTTTCCTCTTTTTGCAGATTTTTTTTGTTTAAAAAACACCGTCTTTACCTCACCGCTGTTGATCCATCTAAGGTAGTTTGACATTGACGTCCGTGATTTTCATTTGAATCAACCATCATTCTCTATAAATGAAATGCTGAAAGCGGTTGCATTCGAGAGAAACTCTCCTTACACCTCTCTATCTCTCTCCCTCCATCTCTCTCTCTCTATCATTCTTTTTTTGGCAAAAAAAACAGTTTTTGTTCCTTAAAATTGTAGTTTACAATCCATTGATGCCAAAACGCCTAAATGGTCATTTGGCATCGTTTTTGTGTTAACAATGGCGGATGTTTGAATATTTTCAAGTTTGAACTGGATTTTGTCATTGTTCAAGTCATTTATCATAAAAGGTTCAAGTTATCAACCTAATACTACCGTTCCATTGATAAATCTAGTTTTGTGCTGCTGTTGATTAGAAGCAACATCTTCATCTTCTACTATTGATTTGTTTGAGCTTTTTTTTAGTTTTCTTTTTGTTTTATTTGGAATTTTTTGTTACTCAATCAACTTTGAATGTAATAGATATCATCTGGCATAAAGTTGGTTGGACAGTTGTTCCTCTTCTGTCCACTACTAGCACGGAAGAGAGAAGAAGAGGTCGTCGTCTCTAAGATGGAGCTATCTTCTCATTTATTTTGTTAAAACTAAACCGAGTAACAGCATAGAACGGAAACAAGTAGAACACGTTCCTCCTTGTGCATCTCCTTCCGTATTCCTACTCCTCCTAGATGTCAAATGAAATTATTAATTCAGTTATCAATTACATTTGGATGTTTTTCATACAATTTTTCAATTCAACCATTATTTTATTACAACAGTTTTGCAAAATCGACACTGTCCAGTCTCTTCATTTTCGTTCTGCTCTCTCTCTTTCTGCCTCTATCTATCTCTCTCTCTCTTTCATATTCTGTTTCTTTCACATTCTGTACGAGAAAGATCGCCTGCTTAGATTTTATTATTTTGCTCGAACATGATCTCTTCACATCTTTTCATATCGACGTTTGTTTCAACCGTTCGCCACATCCAACCGATTCATTGAATATCCCCTCTCTCTTGCCTCCTTCTCAAGATCCATTTTCAATACTGTTTTTCATTTAATAATTTGAATATTCGATCAATCCATTAATGAATTTATCGTTCAAACAGTCATATTCCATATAATTTTACTTTATATTAACTGGTCAAATGAACCCAAAAGTCCTCACAGGGGTGGGGCAGGCGAATAGCCGAAGAGGAGCCCCGCCTCTCTTTCTCTCTCTCTCATCTCTCTTAGTGTACACTCATCTCACCATTAGTTCAGTCCTATTGCTCAAAAATAAGTCTTATAAGGAGAGTAAGACCTTATATTTAACTTTATAAATATAATTCATTATAGTAATTCGTTGTTACTCTTCATCATTAATGTCGTCATCATCATCGTTCTTCATCTGTTGTATCGTTTTTTGTTTTATTTTATGTCTTTTCTTTGCTTTTTACATTGAATAACTCAATATTCATCTAGTTTCTCTGAATTGTAGGTATATGTGGCACAAAAGATGAGATTAATAATACTAATTTCAATATTATTTTATTCCATTACTTCTGAAAGTCAGTTCAATCGACGAGCCAAACAGTCTGTCAATGCTGGTATGTTTACATTTTAGTTATTTTCTTTTTACAATTAATTATTAAAAAGTTGTGTTCTCATTATTGTTCATTCACGCTTATCTGAGATTTTGAGTGAGGTCAGAAGATAAGAGGCTAGAGATTTGAATCATTCGCTGTAGTTGTTTTACTTGACTTGACCATACACTCACGGGCTGGGGAGGAAGACGAGGCGAGTCATGGTTGTTCTTTCTCACTTTTTGTTGTTCTTCTTGTAATTTTCCTTTTTTTTTTCAACAAGCTTTTCGAGTTCTATTTTTTTATCTCTCTTTAATCTGTTTTGTAATTCATAGTGCCGCTATCTGGTGTTCATCTGGTCTACTAGGAGGTTAACACCCCCCTGGCAGTCAGTCGGATCATGTTGGCCATGAATCGCACAATCCGATACGGAAAAAAAGGTTAAAGAAAGGAAAAGATAGACATGCATATCGGATAGTTAAGTAGCGATAAGAAAAAGAAGAAGAAGAGAAGATATCATAAATGGTCATGTCTTTTCCTCATCTCAAATCATTTCCGATCTGATTGCATAGAATTTCCTCTTCAAATCTGGCTGTCATTTAACCATAAATGGACAATATAGTTTAAGAAAATGTGTTTATTGTTATGAAAGTGTTATAAACAAGAGCAGCTTTCAATGGGTTAGTTATGTATATAACTTTCCAACTAATTTGTGCATCATTAAAGCTTTGCCAAGATGTGTTAAATGAAGCGTCGAAAATGAAATTGAAGAGAAAAAAAAGTTTATTTGGGGGTCATCTTGTTCAGTTGTGTGTCCTTGAGATGTACCTTGTATGGAAAAGCTTATGTTTGTCTTCAAAAAATGCTTGAACAGATAAATGTAATGGAACGGCTTGCCTTTGAACGTTTTGAAGAATACTTGAGTGAAACACTACATATCCAGTATTCCTCTCTTATAAACTATAATAATATAGTTAAGACTTGATTTCAAAGATGACCTTTATATTTTGGAGATTCTTTTGTTTTGTTTTTTATTTCTCCATACTCATTGGCTTCCATCCATAATCCATATGACCCAGTAGTGACCTAGAGAGTAGCCAGATATCTTCAGAGAAGTTTTTAGGATAATTAAAGGAAATGCTTCATACATTTGTCAATTTACTTACTCATATTAACTTTAATTACGTGGCAAAGTGACTGATGAGATGGTTTCAAGCTTCATCTCTCTCTCTCTCTCTTTCTCTATCTCTATATGTCTACTTCCATAATAGGATTTTTATAATTTGAAATGAATCAGATGTTTACAGTAAGTGAGATGATTCTTTTCTTTCTGTTAGACAAAAGCCTTGTTCTTCCTTTTCCTTTTTTTTCTCTTTCCTTTCTTCACAGACTCACGCCTTCGTCTACTCTTCTTTCCTTCTTAGTATGGTTTGTATGGAAGGTAATAACAATACGAAACGTCAACAATCTTCCTCTCTCCCTATCTCTCTTTCAGTTTCTTTTGTTCCGTTAAAGATGGAGAACATGTTGAGATTGTAAGCTTCTTCTTCTTCTTCTTCTTCTACCCTTCTCTATCCCTTGTATTTCTTCTTAAAAATACAATTGTTAGTTTCATCTGAAATAAGCGAAATGCACCATCCTCAACCATCAACTAAGGCCATGATTGAACCGAAAAAAAGGATGTGAATATATCGGGGCGAAAATGAATGAAAAAAACTGAGAGAAAAGCCGAGAAAAAGCCTCATATAGCAGTTGTTGGCAAATCCGATTTTTCTCAAATTTCATTCCAAAAACGTCTTTTTTTCCGTCTCGTTTCTTGTTACAATTTATTTTTGAAAATGAAGTGAGAAGACGAAAAGCAAAGAGGAGAGAGGAGAGAATACATGGAATGAGCTGAGTATTAGCAAAGCATGACCGTTTATGGAATGTAAATCCCAACCTCAATCTGTCTATCAAACATTCATTTCTTTGCTTTGCTTTCCCAGCCCAATCAACAAAAAAAAAGAAGTTATTTCGTCTGAATGAGCAGAGAATTTGAAGAGAAAATGGAAAGGCAAAAACCGGTATGTGTCAAATGAAAACGGTTTTAGCACGAGTTGTTGATCTTAATTGAATTGGTAACTCGCGCGGTTCCTCCTTTTTTGGCTCCAAACGTCTTGATTGAAAACGATGGCTTGGAGGTCTTTATGGCCAATTGTTGTTCTCGTTTTGTGTGATTTTTCTTTGCGAAACGTCTTTGATCCATTAATTAGATGAATAGTATCCTCTTGTGATGAGTGGATTACTTCTTTCAGTTGACAACCTTCAGATAGAAGTGCCGTTCTCTTTTACCTCAATCCATTTCCTTTCTAATTGAAAAAAAAGAGAATATGAACAGGGTTCGTTCTGTTATTTCATCTAACCGATAGGTTGATTGGAAATGAAAAAATGTTTTTTCATACTTTGAGATGTGCTGGCTGATGGTTGGACGTTTGACATCCTCTCATCTCATCAGTTGAATCAGCTCATTATCTATTCTTCCATCTTGTTTTAACGTTTATTCCCAAATACCATAAATGGTATGGTCATTGAATTTCCGGCTCAACAACACATGCTCATAGAAATCGGTGAGATCAAATAGATGAAGCAATGAAGATGATATAACATGTCCGGCTTCTATTTCTATTGAAAGGCATTGAGGAAATACATGCGAACCTTATATGACGACTAATCCTATTATCCTTTCATAACCTGTGTCCACTAAACAATCTGGTATAAGGAATAACGCAACATCTTCGGCAGTGGCTTAAGAGGGAGCAAATACAAAAAAAATAAATTTGCATATCTCTTCCAGCACAAAATCTTGCATGTCCTTCATTCAATCGTTCAATCGGAACATAACGAAAAGGGTCATAGCCAATTGCCAAAAGTTGCGTATATGGAAGAAGAGAAACAATTCATTTGTGGTCATTCATGTTCCAACTTGTCTTTTCTTTCTTCTCACTTTGTCCATCATTCATTAACAGGTACAAGAGACTTCATGACCTTGTTATTTCCAACCTGTGCGTATTGAATGAAACATATACAGAATTCATATGGCAGAGCCAATTTACAAAAGTCTCGCATCGTACATTCTGCAACATCTAAGGGCTATGCTTGTAGTTGGAAAAAATTGTATTCAATTAATTAATCTTTGCCATCAATATACTTATGCGCCAGCTAATGTTACATTGAGCAATTTAAAAGAATCATTGAGAGAGATAAAGTGATACAACTACATCCAACAACTGCTTCAGCAACATATCATTTCTTCATTTATACACATCTTGCATATCTTAAAGCTATCTAAAGCTTTAACGTCTATCTGCTCACAAAATCAAATTGAGAGATTGTCTTATAAATTTTGAAAAATGAAAATGCTAGCACCTGCAATGTTCATGTGTGCCGCACAAATCGTACATTTACGTCAACCAGAGTCTGGGCCCATTTTTCATTTTTCAACCTCATACGCCACAGGAGGCCTGCTGGGAATGAGACTAAACAGTTTTTGAGAAGATTGAAAATATGATTTTTGACTGTCGAAGACATGTAAATGAATGAAAATTGATCAGCATTCAGCATACTGTCACCCAATTACCATATAAAGAATAGACAGATGGGCTCTGAGTACCGTGTGGACTGCTCCATTTTCATTTTTCAATTGATTGAAGTACTGTCTGCGTGTGTGAGAAAAGCAATCTGATCTGTATAGGCAGTCTGTTGCTTTTCTGCAATAGAAATGGCAGAAAGGAGAAAAAAATTAATCAAATTGAATTCAGAAGGGTTTTATGATCGAGGTCTCGGTGACGATAAGAATCATTTGTTCCTTCTCTCCTATTCTATCAATTATTTCCGTAACCATACTTGATGTGACAACTTCTTCGGGACGTAAACAAGTGTCATTATGAGTATCCGTTACCGTTGAAAGGAAAATACTTTATTTGCCCTATGAGTTACATATATTAATAGCGACAATTTTCTTTTCTCCGTCTTTCTTTCTTTTTTTATAAAAAAAAAGTTCCAAATACATAAGTTGACACAATTATTAGAAGACTAGCCAATTGAAATCGAACTGGTCTAGCATCACTTTACTACACAACCTGCATTTGTTCTCCCGTTTTGTAGAAACTATGAGAGAAAATGAAAAAAAGGTTTGTCTCTAGTTCAATAACGGGCATAAAAAAGGTTCACTCTCAAATCATTCTTTTTGTTCCTCATTTATATAAAAACGTTCATAACAATCGGCTATTTCGGACTAAAAACAGGTCAGAAGCCAAGTGACCAAGAAATTGAACCCAAGGGTCACATCAACTTTCGCTGTGTTCACTTTATGGACGGGAAACATCATAAGCTAAAAATCTCCCGCTGCTTTGACCTGTTGTTTGATTAAAAAAATGCTAATGTCGTTTTGGTACTAAATTTAATGGATTAGCTTATTCAAATGATGTTGATAGAATAAGATACATATCTGAAGTCCATTGGCATTTTTAGTTTGTTCGTCTTAAAGTCTCATGGGAGAAAAAGCAACACATGCAATATATTGTAGTGAATGGCCATTAAAATAGCCACTAGATGATATGCTACTAATCGATCATGATTCTTCAAAAATCTCTTGGGGGATTATCATGGCTACTGTGAGATTCTGATGAAGCAAGAGAATGTTTAAAGATGACTGGGGGATATAAAATGTTTTTTTATTAATCATTTGGATACATCTCGACCTAAAGTTCATCTGACTCATCTCATCTTCTATTCATGTTATTCAACGGAAATGCTAATTGAAGAAATCAACATCATGCCTAAAAATATTGAAACCTAATTAGTATATTCATATATTTTCAGTTGGCCTCGGATATCGTTTCGGTGGACGAGGAGCTGACAATGCTGACGAGAGCGATCACTTCAAATTACTGGCCTTAGATGGTGATAGTCTATTAGTTGGAGCCAAGTAAGTTTTTTTATGGTTCGTAAATCACTCATAATAGCCAATACTCTGCCATGATTACACTAAACATCAATTTATAATGAGGGAGTTATTGATAGCTCTATGATGATCGTATTTATTATTGAAGAACATTCAATATCTCACCTATTGGCAAAACAAGCAAGGTCAAGATGATTTGATGAGTTGAACAATCAGCTCAACTTTCAAATGAAGTTTGTTTATACTGAGGTCAGAGTCTATTGTTTGATTGTCTACTAGAGGTATCTACCACTCCTATACGTGTCAATAGCATAAGGGAGTGTAAGCAGATCTCAAAAAGTCATCTGGAGTGAAAAACTCGCAAGATCATATATGCTTAAGCCGTACGATATCATTCAGTTTAACCTCATAGTGGAAGCCAATTCAGAAATGCCACGGATGAGTTAGCTGTCAAGTAGCCAATGAATGAACGCATAATTCAACATGACATATTCTATCCTCTCGCTTAACCTAGGCCTAAGAAATTCGCAATCCTATATGATTCCCATCTGAGAATTTAGCACGAATTGAAGCTTGAAAGAAGTCAACATGTGAGGTCTTGTCACGCAATGAACACTCAATCCGTAATTCTTGTTTTCGTTATTAAGGTTTTAGCAATATTTTAAGAAATGCATACGAAATTACTCATAAACAAAACTTTCGAACTAATGCGCAGATGAGTTGGGGGACTCAATTTGTAAATCAGAAATGAACGTACCTATGACATACTTTTTTGCGTGTGTTTGTTTTCAACCGTGTATTGCTAATTCAGTTGAACAAATGAAATGATAAACAAAACATACACATGACGCAAGTCCGCATATGCTAATTAGCTTCTGGACGCCCAGTAAGTGTATACTTACCGGAAGTCGGTAATGCGTATTAATTTTAACACAAACGAACTAAAAAGGAAAGTATTCTATTTCAAAGTAAGCTTGTCATCTGGTTATTCAAGAGATAGGGGGATCGTAACAACCTATAAACACAAGAAGCACGATGAACTAACCCAAAATTATGGGGACTACCAAAACCATTTTTTGTCGCAATATCTCTGATTCCATTATTTTGCAGGAATGCTGTTTATAACCTATCACTTACAACACTCAAAGTCCATCATGTAAGTTTTGTAGAAAGAGACAGTTATTATATCTATATTTCAGACTATTAACTGGGCTCCACCAGCTAGCATAATAGAAGAATGTATGATGAAAGGCAAATCGAAGGTATGACTCTAAACTTCCTTTCTTCAAATAATTGTTCTATGTTCAGGGTGATTGTCAGAACTATATTCGTGTCCTAGCCTCACAATCGAATGGGAAGTGTTTAATCTGCGGAACACACGCTTTCTCACCCAAATGCCGCGAATATTCTTACGATGCTGTAGATGGACAATTAAAAGATCGCCGGCAATTTGATGGAGTTGTATGTTTCAGGAAAACTGAGAATTGAAACTGGAACTCAATTATTTCAGGGAATTTCTCCTTTTGATCCTCGCGATAACTCTACAGCTTTATTCTTACCGGAGTCCAATGAAATATTTACCGGAACTGTTTCGGATTTCATAGGAAATGACCCGTTGATTTACAAAAAGAATATTAACAACGCAAAAGATGTTGGATTACGTACGAGTAGAAGTGACGCACGTGTTTTGGATAGTCCGAACTTTGTTGGCTCATTTGCTTTTGGAGACTATGTGTACTACTGGTACCGTGAATGGGCAGCAGAAGCTATGGATAACAATGAAGAAAGACAAGTAATCTATTTACTTTATGACACAATGTACAAATATGGTTTTACAGATATATTCACGTGTTGCTCGAGTATGCAAACGAGATCGCGGAGGAGCTCGACCTGCAAATGAGAGATGGACATCGTTTATAAAAGCTCGCTTAAATTGTTCTCTACCATCCAGTACTCCATTTTATTTTAACGAAATAAGTATGCAAAAACGGATATCTCAATTTTCTAATGAAATCAATTGTTTAGAAGCAGTGTCCGATCCAATACCATCTGGTTCTGACCATACTGTTTATGCAGTCTTTTCAACTCCGGAATCAGCTCTCCAGATGACTGCAGTCTGTTCATTTTCCATGAAAAAGATCAACGATTTGTTCGAGTATGACACATTCAAATACCAGGTTCGTATTCATCATTGTGTTCGGAAGAACACATTCTTTTCTTTCCAGCGCGCACCAAACTCCATATGGGAACCATATTCTCGAAATGAAATTCCAAAACCGAGGCCTGGCAGCTGTGTGCCTGATTCCACTAAACTTCCTGAGACAACTATCTCCTTCTTGACAAGAAATCCTTTGATTCACAGAGCTGTTGAATCGAAATCTCTACCTTTGCTTATTGAGGGTTCAGATAGACCTGACCTTACTCAAATTACAGTTCTTAGTGGGGTAAGTGTTTTTCAATTTGGCATTTTATCTTTTTTCTATGTAGGTAAAATCAGTCAGTGGTCAGAAGTACAATATTTTATACTTGGGGACATCAGATGGACGCATTATGAAGACTATAAGTATCGATGGTAACTCTACCATCATTGAATCGACCAATGTATTCGGAAAAACCAATCCTGTGGTTAGTTTTTTATTTGAATTGCCGATCTGATTTCGTAAGTTCAGGTCAATCTCCTATCCAAAGAAGATCAGCTTGTTATTGTTTCTCCTGATGAAATCGCCGCTCTTCCTCTTCATCACTGTGGACAACAAACGTCCTGTAGTCGATGTGTGGGCTTACAAGATCCTCATTGTGCTTGGGATTTAAACACTGCACGATGTGTGAACAGTGCTAACTGGAACGGAGGACATTTCATACAGAACATTGAGATTGGAATGTCTGCTCAATGCCCTGAGGGAATAATTATACAAGATGCTTTTGCTGAGGATTCTCAGATTGCTGAAAAATCAGCGATTCGTGTTAGTTCGTTCTCCAACCAAAATTTGATTTTGGCTTGTGTACTTTCTACAACCGTGGCTCTGCTTATAGGAGGATTGGTATGTTTTACGATATTTTTAGTTGTTTCCTAATTTTGACTTCTCAGATCGGCCTCCAGTTAGGTAAAGCTAGAGCTTTATCTGATCAACATCACTCTGCATCTTCAACGAGTGGATCTGACTATGATAGCTATGGGAGGGCAAGATTAACGCGCCATGACTCTTTAACAACATCAGCTAAGATGGAGCATGTCTACGGAGCACAACAGAAAGCCGTAAGCGTTCAATTCTTATACGGAAAACCTAAGCTGTATTTTTCAGAGCATGGATGCCACTTCAATGGTTTTGACCATGCCTGGAGGTGGAATGAGCATAAGTCAGCATGGCAGTGGGATAAACACCCCGTCCAGAGATAAAAACGCTATAATGACATCGATTAACCAGAATACGTTGCCAAGAGATTATAAGGTTAAGAAAGTATACTTATAGTCGTTTCGTAGACTAACAATCAGCTCACTTTTCTACCTTTGCTTCATATCTCCCCCGGTACCGGTAACTCTCTCGACATTTCTTTTATGAATGCGCTAAACATTCTCTACAATTTCTTCACTTTTCTTCTAATAGTAGTTTAACTGTAATATGCTTGTTCTTATGTCTCGAAATCTAGTCCTTTTCTCGATCGATGTCATACTAACTTCGATCTTAATATTTTTTCTTTTCTTATCACTCGATCATATTTCTTCTTTTAGCTTGTTTTAATATCCTTTGAGTGATTTTGAATTCATTTTATGCTACGGGTTATTTGTCATTATCAACATCAGCAGATCATAATGATAGGCTATGTTATAAGTTTGATCTCGTCTTTTGAAAACATACCATAGCGTTTTTCCAATCTCTCGCTTATTAACGCTTCTTTACTAATTCCACGTTGCTATGGATAGATTGTGCTCATTCAGTATGATTTGATTTCCAAAATCTTCTTTCTGTTCAGAGATATAATATTGTTATGTTGTAAATACAAATTAAAAATATTTCTTTATGAGCCAGATTTAAATACCGACAGAAATAATCTTATGAACTGCAGAAATGGACAGATGACATAATCAAACTGACTACCTCGTTAGATGATTTAATCCAGTCTTTTTTAAGACTCTTGCGAATAAATTAACTTCTTTTGTACTGAACAAAGAATTTGGGAAACTGCTTTCGGTTGTAGCAAAGAAATCACAAGATTCTGAGGGGTCTGAAGAACAAAAAAATCAGGAATCACAGCAGAGGATAATTACCCAAAAAAATCAGCTGACAGTGAGTTGACATTGACGAGATCTCGAATGTTAAGAAGCAAGGTGTAATTGGTGCGAATCTTGACGAAGACTAAAAAAATACAACCGATCTCATACTACAAACTATAAAGCTACTATAAATGAGTTTTTTACTCCATCAAGAGGGAAACTCCGCGTAAGTACGCTTTTGTGTATTATCAATCTATATATAATTATTACCTCAACAAAAGAACTTCGTCCCTGAACTACAACACCATGCTCTGTACAGATCAATTGAATTGTTTCATCACGAGTAATTGAAATACTTATTTTATCTTCTCTATAAACAAACATTTATGAGAGGGGTTATTCATTCGTTTGAAAAATTAATACGAAGGAGAGTAGAGAAACTTACATATCGGTACGTTTTTTAAAATTCCGTATAGAAGATGTGTACACATTTAAAGTAGTACCATACGTGGCCTTGGTGATACGCAGCAACACTACTTCATTAACATAAACTACTCTGGAAGGAACAAGTTTGTTGAATGCTTCTTTGATAAGCGTGCCTATTTGTATTTAAAATGATCGGCAATTGTAGATTCCCTTCTAAAATTGCTTTGGACTGATCTAGAAACAGACAGTAAGATAATGTGGTGTAAAAAGGTTTACTAATTGTTGCGCGAAGATCGCGTACTTGACGATCAAATCCCAAGAGGGCTTTGCGTAATCCAGTTCCACCTGGAATGAAATCTATGTGAACTTATTCGTTCGTAGAACATACCACAATTGTAGTTTCCTATTTTTTTGAAACACCGAGAAACTCTGGAAGCCTCAACAACGAACGAATTCCATAAAGAATCGGAGAAAGCTGGTGAAGGATGATGTTTAAGTAAAGGGAATAAAGTTACTTTTGAATTGAACACTTAAAACAGTTCCATCTATCTTAATAGCCAGCCATCTCTGGCGATCATCATATGGTCCATAGAGAGAGGTGATTCCCTGTAACGTTTATCTGAATGATCAAAGGAAACAGAATATCACTTTTAGTATTCCATCGATCCCAAAATAAACCAGCCTTTCGTTAAGATCGTACATCAAAATTAGTTCAGATCCGATATGTAAATCATAACTGGGAACGTATAATTTTTTATTGCAGAACATATACGTTGTCCTGCAACAAGTGATATTTGACCTAGAGCTGGGGAAGTCGACGCTACTTGGGACGTATAGGAACAAAAGCTGGATCTTCATCAGTAAACCCAATCTCAAATCGTTTCCCATTATCCTTTCCAATTTCAGTTACTTTGATACAGACTATCTCGTTTTGTTTGACATCTCTGTATAGCTGTTACACCTTACGTTGTTAAATGTGCTAACCTGCCAGAAAAAACCCAGTTAGAACCGAACTTACTAGTGTCCTTTGAAGCTAAAGTGCTACCTGTAAATCAGAGGTAAGTAGTAATACAGCGGAACAAACCTCCACCCATTCGAATACTTCTTCCATGTTCGTAATGAAACTGAGCCATGCACACAAATATTCGTCGTCAGTAATATAGAAGTGCATGCAGTGTTATCGTCCAGTCCTCACTGATAAGGAACTTAAAATTACAAACAGACAACATAAGCATTCTCTGGTTTGTCATATAAAAAAGTTGAAAAAGCAAAACCTCAATTGATACTTCTTTATTCTTGAAACATTAACAACATAACAACTTGAAATGACTAGAAAGAGCTAAACTAACGAGAAATCTAATACCCGATAGAAGGCGGTGGGCTATCACTGGCCTCATAAATCCGAGATTTATAATATTCATTCAGTACTTTTTCTTTTATCAGGAGTTCAGGTGGCAACTCATTCCTAGCTTTCATTTGATCCCAACCAAATTTATTCAACGGATGATCTGGACCCTTGCACAATCTAAAAACAGTCATTTTCTATCTTAGACCTCCCTCTCGGACTACCTGACAACACCATTGTATGATACTAGATATATACCTACGGCTAAGAAGAATGCAGGAATCGTCTTATATTTTGGAACTCTCAGTGCTTGTAAAAATCTATGATACTCATGAGCTAATACTTATTATTTGTAAGTACCTCAGCTTGAAGGAGGATTGTCCTGTTGGTTTGGGAATGAACTGAGCCCTCTCATTCGACATTCGGCTATTTCAATTCTTATAAAGAGCAAGTCATATAAAGAAAAAATATCATGTTGGTCAACATTAGCAAGATAAGAATTCTTCTGATTGATAAAACGAATACGTTTATTCCAATTGCATTATAATACAAAGCTTCATAAAGTTATGATTCTTTCACTGTGATACAAACCAGTATCGAATTAAATATGATACAATTTTTGAGACTCAACCTTAGAATCCAAGGAACCGACTCATTCCCTTTGTGGGATTTGAAGCAGGAGAATTCCATTTACCTGATGATGCTCTTCTTCTAGACTTCTTTCTTTCAGTTTTACCAAAAATAAGTTCGAGATCAGGCTAAAACTAAATATTAAAACTTTACAAAAATATATATTACCGCAGGCATGAAACCGAACATCACTGTAGTATCCATTTTAGGATCAAATTGTTCTACTCCTGCTTTTCTGAGATTGCTCCAGCTAGCCCACTCAGGTACAGTTTTCCTTGGTTCATCCTATTATCAAACACTTTGAGACATAAAATGAAAATAACGAACTTCACAATCTGTTTCATCCCCACTGGATAAGTCTTCGATGTTATAGTTATCCTTCGATGAAGGTAAAAATATTTTATCGGGAGTCATTTCATACATTTCTACATTCTTCTGCAAAGTTACGTTTGTACGAGGCTCAACGTTTAATTCTTACTTCAATGAGTTTGTTCTTAGGTTTTGGAGTTGATTGAATTTGATTTTCTTTCTCAATCTCCTGCTCCTTTCTGAGCTCCTCTTTCTTCCTCATTTCTTCACGTGCCTTTTCCAGCTGCCTTTGTTTCTCAGCTTCAGCTTCTCGACGAAGTTGTTCAACTCGTTCCTGGTCCTGACGTTTCCGAAGGTCTTCTAACCTAGCGCGTTCCTCTTCATCTTGCTTAATTTTTCTTTCCGCTGCTTCAAGTTTAAGTTTTTCCTCTCGTCTTCTTTTTTCTTCCAATTCCTCAGCATTGCGTTTCTGCTCCAGGGCTAACTGACGAGCCTCTTCTTCCTTCTCTTCCATCATTCTTCTTCGCATGACATCTTGTTTAAGAAGCATCTCCTGTTCTTTCAAAACCATTTCTATTCTAAATGAAACATAACAGTGATGATAAACCTGTTGTTCACTAACTGTTCCTTCATATCCTCGTCTGAAAAACCAAGTCTCTGCTTTTCTTCGGGAACCACTAGTTTGTTGACTAATTTACGTTTGACCTCTCTGGCAGGCTGAATAGTATGAATGTATAAAGCATCAAGTTTTAATTTCCTACTGAAGCAAAAGTTTCTCCTTTAGCTGTCTCACCACCAGTTTGCATAAGCTTCGATGCTTTAGCTGCAGCTCTTCCAGGAGTTCTTTCCACTCCAGGTTCATCGAACAACTGCAAGAACTATCTTAAGCGAGATATTGAAGGAATAAAGTACATGCTGGACTTTCGCTCTGGGTGTGTATGTTGCAGGTCTGAAAATTGCACGCGAAGGGCTTGCAACTCTCGATGATGGGTTGGTACCGATTCGTCTAAAATGAAAACAACTTTTTGAAGCATGAAAAGATATAAACGTACGCAGGACTCTTCAACTTATTTCGGAAGTTTTTCTCACGCTCTTCATCTTTCAGACGTTTTTTTTCAATTTTCTCCTTTTCTTTAGCTTCTTTTTCTTCCCTGTTCCGTTGAGCCTGAAGTATTACAAATATAGTAAGATCACATTTTCAGTTTCATACCCTCAATTGCTTTTCTTCATGAGCTCTTTTCAGTCTTTCAGACTGTTCTTTAACTCGAATGTTTCTGTTTTGCTGAGCTATCTCCACTCGTCGTTGTTGCTCAATCAACTTCTGGTCAATATCTTGGAACTTTGCATCATTCTAAGAAAGAAATCCATTACTTCGACAAAATTACATGTGCATACCATACGGGCATGCATAGATCTAGTTGCTTTATATTCTGAAGGTGGTTGAGGAATAGGAAGGGCTGCTTTAGCGTTTCTCATCCGATCCTAATCGAACAAATGAATTGAACATTATAAAATCAGTTTTTCGTACCTGAGCAGATATTATTTTTTGAACTTGCTCTCTTCGTTCTGGTTTAGTAGGCGTATTTACAGTATGTTTGTGAGGTGTTAAAACACGTTTCTCACATTCTTGGTTGCGGATTCTGAAAGCAAGAAGTCATTGTTTCAACTCGGACTACTAGCGTACCTTTCACATCGACCAGCAGCCGCTCGCTCAGCTAACACCTTTTCAGCCAAGGCTTTTCCTGCAACCGCTTTGTCGGCTTCTTCCTGAGCTTTAAGCCTAGTCTGCAAAAAAGTTTGAGAATCATTCTCCGAGGGCATATGTACCCGCGAAGGTCTGGTATATTCCGGAGAGGGTGATATTGGTTCTGGTTTAGGCTGAAAGTAATAAATAGATTCATTTTTGAAACTAATTTTTACCTTCTTGGAGATTTTCCTACTTTGACTTCGAGTAACCCTTTCAGGAGTTTCTAATTCCTGTTTCACAGAAACAGAAGGAGTTTTTTCTATGACTTCCGATTTGCAAACAATAGCTTGCTCGGGGACTTCCTCGCAATTATCAAGAGAAATTGCATTTATATCAATATCTGGGTCTTCCGAATGTCCAGCGTATTCTTCATTTTCAACATTTTCAGGATGCTGATTGTCGTTGACGTTTTCAGAATGTCTTTGATACTCTCTATCCTCAGGAACGTAATCGACGACACGTTGTTCAGTTTCCTCAGATTGCTCATTGGTTTCAGAATTTCCATGATGTTCAGCTCGGTCAGCTGTTTCTGGTTCAAAATGAGCTGACGACTCGGGTTGACTTTCGGCTTCGGGTTCATTGTTCTCGCGGATACTTATGTTTTTGAACTGTTCATCGAGCTCCGTATGCGCATTACCCATTTCCATGGTTGATATTTCCTGGAATTGAGATATGAACCAAAGCGCTTCTCTACATTTCTTACCGCATTATCATCAACTTCATCGCTGAACAATTTACAAGGCTCAATGCTTAAACAGAAACTTCAAAAAATATATCAAAAACTATCATACTTCTCCGCTCCTGAAGATAATTCATCGAAAAGTTGTATGGTTCTGGCAATATTAGCTAAGGCTCCCAATCTTGGTTTTGGTGTCTTAGGAACCACAGAATCTCTGTACGAAAATAAGTAAAACTGAAAAATTGCTTCAAACTCACGATTCAGCAGCAAGAGTTTTGAGTAAAGATTTTCTACTCAACACACTCTTTAACAGCGCTCTCACTTCTCCGCCATACAAGGAGATGGCTTGTTCATGAACTTCAGAGATACCCTCAAAGTGACAGAATAAAAATACAAAAAAAAACTTGATGAGTTACCGGCAAAAAATTAGACAAGGGTAAATCAATTTTTATGGTACCCTGAAGATCACTTAGTGGCTCATCTTTACCTCTCCTTTTGCGCGTTTCCCCCCTAATTGCCTTACGAGCCGGAGGCATAACGCTGAAAAATGATAATTAGGTGTTTGAATCTTAATAAAACATGAATATTAGAGATAATTAGATATTAAGTACGGCTATTCCAGTGATAGATCACGCAGGACAAATAATGCTAGGATTTGAATGAGAAAAGGCGGGAAACGTTACAGTATACCCTCACCACAATCTCTCTATAGAGGTCACGCTGGACTCGCCGAGACTGTTTCCTTTTCTCTTTAACAATCTAATGCTTTGAGTTGATTAAGTGAGTAAAGCAGGTCAACAGTATCAAATTATCAGTAATGTACAAATTTCCCGAAGAAGTATTCATTCTCTCGTTTGCTACTGTTCACATAATGAGTGTGAACTGTGAAGGTTTTACAAAATGCGATTATAAGAATTGTTGTAGAAAGATCCGAGTTTCAGAAATTAGAAAGAGATATCTATTCCATAAGTCAACACTGAGGTAGCACCATTTTCTGAAATTCGATGCTCTGCTGATCTTTAAAAATCACAAACCGTTTCTGATCGTTATTTGAGTATAACATTCACGGGCTTCAATATCGATAACTTCATGATCGATACTTAAGGGTGCTGGCAAAGACTCTATATCCTCCTAAAATGAATTCTTTGTGAAAGCTTATTACTGCTACGTACGACTTCATCTCCTAACTGTCCTTTGATGTTCCATCCCCAAACATAAACGTCGTTAGAGTCTCAATTTCAAATGTAAAGAAAAACAACAGTCAAGTGATACCAGTCAAAGCAAGAGAATGCCATCCACCTGCAGCAATTTTTTTAATTCTTAGACCTTCGAAAGCATACACGATTGTGGGTTCAGAAATAGACAACGTATCTAACAATCCTAGCTCACCATGACTGAAAAAAGAGGTAATTGTTACTTCCACTAGTTATATGAATCATACTTTCCTGTACCAAAACTAAAGAGCGTGCCCTCGTTAGTGAGCAAGAGAGTGTGATCATGACCAGATGCGATCTGATTCAGCTAAGATTTTTAAGAAGAAAATTAACTGACTGATAGTATTGAGGAATCGTATGGGAACTGAACGAGGGAAACATTGAATATTCCATATTCTGCCAGTTCTGCATCGAAGAAAAGTCTGAAACATGAAAATCAGGATGCTCACTCAAAACTTGCAAATACCTTTTTATCACACTACTCGAACTATCAGAAGTAACCAAGTACGTGGCTCTGGAAGTGGAGGTTAATAGAGTTCCTTCAGGAGACCAAGGAACTTCCTGAAGGTTACAAAGATCATAAAAAATTTTCCAAAATAGTAACCTCGCGGACTTCACTGGATTCATTAACAAAGAGTGGGGAATACCGTATGAAAACTAAGTTGTCTTTCTCGCATCGATATGCAAGCTGAAAAGATTCTTGTTTTTCTACACACTTCTTGAACAGACTCTTGGAAAATCTAAGCGTAAGACATGAATGCTATTCGTAGTTGCCACAGTAACATAGTTATGTGAACAGCTGAAGTCTAGGATTTTTTCTTTCAAGTCTATTGACCACGACTTTCCGTTAATATTGTAATTTATTGTAAGTATACAACTTTCTCGGTCGAAGTTCCGCGCAAGAACATTACCGAACCAGAACTTCTTCTCGTGCATTGCTCTATAAACTTCAACTGTTGTTGTTTCGAGTTTAGTACACGCAAGGTATTCATGAATAGTAACACAGATGTTTTGATGAAATGATTTAATGCTATTTTATTATGGTATTAATAAGACCATTGAACATAATAAGTGTTTCGTTACGGTTTGTTCGAATGCAAATTTAATGTACAGGCTGCGCAATAATTGCAGTAGAGGCGGAGCTACAGAGTTTACATATTGAAGAAATAGATGAGCAAAACGAGTATTATGGAATGTGTTTCTGAAACTTTGATGTTTCCCTCTCCAGTGAACAATTTATAACATGAGTCCAAGTTCTCTGAACAGTTCTTCCATAATCGAATAGTAGAAGTTCTAAAATCAGGAGTTTTAAGCCAAAACTTCTGCTGGTAGATAAACCTCTTTCATTGAACTGAGAGAAGCTGCAACTGCTTCTATACATTGAAGCCTATGCTGTATCCGAAACAGTTTGCTGCAGGGACTTTTTCTTAAATGTATATGGGCTTTCCTGTAGTATTTATCTCGTTCTACTTCTGGTATTCTCTGAATCACTACAGTATTAATTCTAGCATGATCCCAACTTACCGAATTTTCGACTTTTCGGACGGTCTCGAACTTTGTACGGTTACTTAAAGACTAAGAATTAAAAAAATATATATACTAAGATCTTACAACATCACAATATCTTTTTTCTCTATTTCGAGGAAAAATGATTCAAAGTTCGCAACTTCGTTGATGTATTCCATGAACTTCTCTTTGAACTCATGAAGTTTATCAATCAAGTCCTTTCTACATGTCGCACTAGCGGAAATGTAAAAAATTTCCTTCCTGATTAAGACATTAAGTGAAACAAACACTCCTAGTTTCGAATCGACTGCAACACACATTTCTTTAATCAATTTATCTTTGATCTGTAAAGAAAAAGTTGAACTGCTTTTTAGAACTTTCACAACTTCTTGAATAGTCAAGTGCTGCTCCGGTTCTTCGTTGAAATCTGTGCTGCCACATTCTGCAGCTAAATACTCCACACTCCCAGAGATTAGAAAAGTTTGTCAAACCAGGTTGTGGATTATCAGACTCTGCTGGCTCACTCAGATGTAATCCTTGGCCATCTGAAGGACACACAATAAAACCATATCTACGTCATGCTTTACCTTGAATAGTTTCCTCCGAAGGGTTTTGCGAGGGCTGTTGCACTTCTACTGCGTTTTGTTCTTCTATAAAACATGAAATTGAGTATCAGAAGTAAACTGGTAGAGCCCACGTCTCATCGACTCAGATATTTTCAAGGAGGTATGCATTTCCAGATTATCATCCACACTCAAGTTTTCATCGTTCACGTTGACACGTATAGAATCATTATCTGAGCCATTCTCCTCCAGTTTGGGTGCTTTGAGCACACTCGAGTTTTTACAAGTTGATATGACTTTGTTGATTTCATCTTAAAACTTTGTTCTTCAACTTCTCAACTCTTAAGCTTTTAATACCAGTGTCATTAACAACATTGTTAATAGCAGGTCTTCTCCTAATATTCACTTTTTCTTTTCGTTCGCTGCCTGGTGCAGAGCTCTTGTTTGATTCTGAAATGATTTGTTGGAGTTCAGAACTGGGAACTAGACCAAATACCTAACAATTCCATATGCTTGTCAAAGATATCCATCTTTCCCATTGTTCTACATTGCAGCTTGAATCTAACATTTTCGTATAAATATGTCACTGATGAACCCGATACCTTTCTAAATCTAGAGGGATATTTCCGATTCTATGAATATACAGCTTCTCATCCACTGTTAAACTAGCATCGATGAGATGAGGGCACATTTTCTTTCGAAAACTGCAAAAGGCAAATCACTTATAGAAAAAAGAATAATACTGACTGTGATGACAAACTGGACACTGAACGAGACTCATCATATTTTTTAAAATATTCTGTCCACATTTGCAATCCCTTAAGACCCCCACTCTGATTCTCTGCCAGTTTCCTAGAAGTTATATTTTAATGCCAACGGCTATTGACCAACTTAATGACGAATTTCCACATTCGTAATTCATCCAGGGATGTATATGCAGAACGTGTGGCCATACCTAGTGTGTCACGAAAAATCGCTTTTCAACAACTTTTGAATACCAACTATTTTGGTCTATGGAGAAATAGTTGATTTCGAATAAGTTGACTATTGCTGGAAGTAGTCGACTGTTCTAGTCGACTATTTCAACTCTCAACCGACTATTTTTAACATATCTTTATTGTAAATTTTCGCAAAAGAGCGCGCTTGCAGTTCACAAAATTTATTTCATCAAAAATTTATTCATCATCAAACAGTTAGAACATCTTCATCATTAAACAATTAAAACATCTTCATCATTGAACAGTTAAAACATCTTCATCATTAAACAGTTAAAACATCTTCATCATCATCTTCTCCTTCTTCTTGTTGAAGGTGTTCATCTTCTACATTTATTTCTTCTCCTTCCTCATCTTCTTGTTGAAGGTGTTCATCTTCAACATTTATTCCTTCTGCTTCACGGATTTCTTCTTCGACATTTCCCTGCTCATCATCATCTGAATTATCTTCTGTAGTTGAAAGCATGTTTGAGTATCGCGCGCTGTAGGCTCTGCTTGAGTTAGGTTTCTTGGCCAATGCATTGATAAGGAGCAAAAAAAAAAAAATTAATTGTTTCAGGTATGGCCCATACCTGAAACAATTAATTTTATGTCTGGACATCTAGCGATAGGACAAAATACTGTAATATTTTCATCTCAATAAGTAACTATATCCAACTAATTATAAATCTTTATACGACTAACAGATCATGTTTGTTCGTAACCGTTTTTCGTTCCCCATTTTCGAAGGTTTAAACGAACCTAGTTTAGTTTTCTTCTTATTTCATATCTATTCAAATTGCTTCTCACTGGGAGCTAGATGACAGTAAACAAATAACACCTCGGAAATGAATTCATTGAACTCTCAACAGTTTAAATCTCACAAAAAAATGTGCTGAGAGGAAAAGAATATAGAAAGAGGCAATTCGCTATCGGCATATCAATAGAATTCCAGGGCCCTCCTATCGCACCCTGTTTCGGACTTAGGTCAAGTAAATAAAAAAACAACTTCATTCAATCATCTATGTTTCATGCATGCACTCAGGTTACTTCTCTCGACTCATTCATATACTGTTTATTTTATTTTCTTACTTCGACATCTAAAATGCAAAATATCTTTAAGAGTTCATAAGCCCTTGTAGATATCGCGCTATTTTGTCTGTGAGTCTATTGCAGTGTGGGCGTGGCTTAATTTGAATTTATCGTAACCTGGTTTCAGAACAAAAAAAACTTATTTACCAAATCCAAGTAAAGCTTTTATCAGAATGTCTTCGCAACCTGTGAAACTTGAACAAACTAATCCTGTTATTGGAACTTTGAAAGCGTATACCAAGCTTTGCTCGAAGCCATCACATAGAAGCGTTGTCATCTCGGTAATTTGATGTTTTTCAATAAATGTGCTTCCTCGTGATCTCAGGATAAAACGTTCTTGGGTCTACTCGCTAATGTGCTCAATGAAAATGATCCAGCTGTTATGATATATGTTGTTAAAGTCAGTTTATTTCTACTAACACATCTATATTTGTTACTTTATTCAGATTCTTCTGCTGCTAACTGAGACCAAAGAAGACTCTATCGTTTTATCTGAAGTGGCTGGCTTAGAAGCCTCTATTGGAGCTGCTTCTGAAAAAAATTTCTCTCCTTCTGTTCTTAAAAATTTGTTAATAGTTGCTAGTCGAATACAGACTTCTAAAACCCAAAAAAAGTAAGTGTGTTAGTGCTCTACCGTTTTGTTTACTCACCATCTAAGGCAAGATGGAGAATCAACAATTCCCAGAACAGGAGAGACACTATCTAAGAAGTTCTCTAGAAAATCAAAACAGCTCGTCTTCCGTTTCTACGAGTTAGATGAAGTAACCTTACTAGTTTTTCTGTGTGATGAGCATATGTTTCAGGCATTGAAAGCAGAAGTAGAAAAGAATTTGCTACGTACGAAAGGAGTGATCAGTGTTTACTTCAGAATGGATCTCAATCGAGTTATCATAAGAACTTTATTCAGCGTAGAAGCTGTGGTACGATTATTAATTCCATTTCACACGTAAACTGAACTCCTAGAACATTGCTGACGTTATCTTTGATTGTGGATGCCAAGAAATCGTGTATGTAACATTCTATGATGGAGTAGAGGAAGACAATGTGCTATATGCTGAAGATCGTTCAGAAAGGGTACAGGTGACATTGCCTGAGTATTTGGACGATCAAATAGAAGTATTGGATCCAAAATCTTGTGTAGTAACAAATGAATATGCTCAAGCCAAATCCACTGGTTGGTTTTCTTCCATTTCCAGTTTCGTTCGTGATACATTATTTTAAACTTCTTCCTTTCCCAACTTTTACTGTTATATCACATATACACTTTATATTCTACCGTGGAAACGGAATCATTCATGTGCGTTAGCTTCGCATCTATTACTAATTGTTCAAAGCTTGGTCTCCTTGGGATCTCTGTTTCATTGCAAGTTGGCTGTTGTTCTAATATTACAAATACAGTTATCGCTTATAAAAATGTTATGTTATGACCTGTTTTTTCCGATTTAAATATTCTAAAAATAAAATTGATCTATAGTCAAGAGAGGGTAGCTGTCTCAAGGCCAATATGTCGATGTTTTCGATTTAATTCTTCTAATCGCTCTTTTTGGATATACACAAGATGAAGGAGGAGTGAGAACGAGAGAAAGGATGAGAGAGTAATATAGATAAAGAGAATCATTAAGACTCAAAGGATTGGTCACGCAGGCGAGAGGCTGTCTCGTGTGGGGTCAAGTCATAAACCATAGATGGACACAACCCCCCCCCCCCTTTTTCGGCCCTCAACGCGTTGCTCGTCACCAATGCGTCATCGCGTTGCGCTCATCTCTTCGTCACCGTTTTGCGCATGCAACTTTTATTTGTATAGCTTCTATTTGTGAAATTATAATATAAGAATTTGATAAAAATTAACATTGTTATGATAAGAAAGTGATTTGCGTTATTATACAAAATGCGTCAAGGTGCTTGCGCATGCTAAGTGCTTGGCAGGCAGCTAGCAAACTATATTTCAAATTAATGTTTTGTTTTACATGTCTTTAAACACTGAAAATTTATTCCATTCGTAATACGTGACTTATCATATTCACACATTAATTATTGATCTTTTCACATTTTTCCTATTTTGATTTTCTCCTGCTTCAATCGGTTGTGCGCTTGTTCCCACTCAATTTTCTAATTAATGAATTGATTCTAGATTAACGAAGTTCTTCCGTTTGCGTTTCAAATGGGTGCGCAAAACGAATACGATCGCCTTAAAAATGTTTATCAGTCTTATAACGGTTTGTGTATTCATTATAATCCACCAACTTAGTTTTTTTTAAAGAAGCAAATGCATTTTATGCGGACACACGAGCATCTCGTATTAAAGGTGCAATGTTTGGAGACTTATATGCCTCCACCTCTACTGCAACACCATCACGCAGCACCATAGTGGAAAAGGTTTGTTTCAAGTTATTTTCTCTTATTTTTTTTTCCACAGTTATCAACAGTTTCACGTGAAATCAGAGAAACTGTCATTGATCTACTAAGTTTCGAAGGCAGCGCTGATATCAGTACACTTGGCGTACCTGATTTGATTCAACTCATGTCTGATGCTGACGAAGTAAGCTCTGCCTGATACACACGTTTAATCACATTTTTTAAGGCTATTGTTGCTCGAGCTGTGCATCGTGTATTTTTACTAACTCAGGAAGATCGCACAATCGCTACATACCCTCATTTGATTGAAGCATTACTTCATGCAAGCCGGTACAATCGAGAATATTGAAACTGTCTCAATCTTTATTTTAGAAGCTCTAACCCCATTGTTCAAAGAGATGCTGTCGGTGCTTTGAGTCATATTTCGGAATTCAAAGAAGGCTGCATGCATATATTCAGATCAGGCGGCTTAGCCGAGCTCATTAGAATGTTAAGTTGTAAAATTGAAGTGAGTTACAATATTGTTCTTTCAAAGCTAAATAATGTTTCAGAGTGTTGTACATTATGCTGTTATGACATTGAGAAATCTGCTGATGTATGTTGAACCAGTGAAGGTGCAAGCACGCAATCTCGGAGCTGTAGAAGCCTTGGTACCCTTACTATACAGAAACAATCCGAAACTTTTAGCCCAAGTTTCTGATAGTTTGTATATATTGTTATTGGGTTAGATATGACTCACATTCGCTATTTATAGTTTTGTTTTCAGATGATCCTCAATCAAAGTTGACGTTTTTATCTTTAGGAGGACCTAAAATATTAGTTTACATAATGAAAAATTACTCAGAGCACAGGTTACCCAATCAAGTATACATTCTTGACAATTGTCATTTCTAGGAAACTCATGTATACTGTTATCCGCTGTATTCGAGCCTTATCTGTTTGTCCTCAGAATAAATCAGCTCTTGTGAGCTTGGGTATATTTTGTGCTCTCCCACACACAATTGTCTTTCTTTTGTAGGATGCCTATTGTGTCTCCATAATGAGCTGTGCAACTCTTCGGATTACCGGGCCCGGATTGCCATTCTAGTATCAATGCGTAACTTATCAGATGCTGCTACAAACGAAGAAAATTTAACGAATCTGGTATTTTATTCTAATATTGCCATAATCAAAGAATTTTTTGAGATCATTCGTCTTCTGGATATTGTCCGAAATGAAGTAGATGAAGCTCTTGTTGCTTGTGCTTGTGGAATACTGAGTAATCTCACCTGTAATAATATTCGCAACAAACAAACGGTCAATATTCTCTGTAGATTTGTTCATTCATCAATTTTTAGGTCTGCTCGAAAGCTGGTATTGAATCTCTCGTTGAGGCTATTCGTCGTTTCCCTCATGTAGAAGACGCCACTGAGCCTGCTCTTTGCGCATTACGCCATTGTACTGCAAGACACTCTTTCGCGGAACAGGTAGAAATGACTCCTCTGTTATAATTGAAAGTTCTTCTCAGGCTCAGAACGATCTTCGATTAGTTGGCAGTTTTCCATTGTTGCTTTCTTTATTGGCTACTCTACGAGCTCCCGTTATCAAAGCGGCCCTCGGTGTTATCAGAAATTCAGCCCTGTTGACTGCTAACCTAATGGAGTTAACTCATGTATTGAACTATCACCTATCTTTTTTGTAAACGTTGATAATTTAGGAAAGATCTTTGCAAGGTGACTCAGTAGTTTCTTTGACTGTTGATATTCTTGGACGAGCGACAATTGCTATCCGGGAAGATCCTCAATCTGAGAGTGATGGTGTTCCCATGTGGGGTGTAGTTGAAGGTAAGAAACTGTTTTTCTTCCGTTGAAATGAAAGATCATATTCAGGAGCGATTTCTGCTCTCCATCAACTTGCACGAGACAGTGCTGTAGCATCGCTTCTTTATCAAGACCCCGAAGTGCTTAGCATAATAGTAGAGCTATTGGGGAGACCCGAAGTATCTGGATCTGATGACGAACTCATCGAGAGAGAGCTGTTGGGTTTACTTTATCAACTTTCTAAATCTGCTGAAGGAGCGAGACTTGTGGAAGCAGCTGGTCCTACTCCTTTGCTTATGGATGCTCTCAGATCAGATCATAAAGCAGTCGTTACTTATGCAACGGGGGTATTGAAGAATCTTGAAAACGACCGATCTTCACACTACAGACAAGTGAGTAATCTACGATTACAGAATCTGACCATCGCTTTCAGGACATTGATCATGATATTGGCCATGGATGGCAGAGAGATGGATTGGAGCCTGAGCTTTTTGGCGAAATGTATCCTGTACATTCTATGGAGTCAAACAATTTCCCACTTCCCCACAATAACAGTAGTTGGTTTGATACCGACTTATAAATGATATTCTATTTATTTTTTTCGAAGTTTTGACATATCTATTACGTTTTATTCAAATGTTACCATGTATATCTATTGCATTCATTCTACAGGCATGATCTTAACCAATACTGTTTTATAATTATATATTTTGGTGCAAATACTATGCACATTTAATGTTAATATCAAACTTATATGTACTAATTGATTAATAATAATAAGAATACTAATACTCATTGACTTCACTTCGGAAACGTTTGGAACGTTCTTCTATTATCTACAGAAAATGGTGTAACGCTTAAATTGTTGTTCAGATGGAAAAGGTTGAGATTGAAGAAAGAGGGGATTTAAAAGTCCACGGAGCTCCCGGTCATTCCATGGCAGTTCATAAGGACTTCGGTAAATTAGTGATAGCCAAGAAATCGTCGGAGTAAGCTCTCAATCAGCTTCTTTTCTTTTATCTCACTTGTAGTAAAACGATTATTGATGATGTGATAGAACAGTATAATATTTTACCAGGATGGATGTTTGTTCTCGAGAAGGTAAAATTCATCTACGACCTATTAGTGTACCATTCTTTTATTAAGGTGATCTGTCCCAGAAATGGTGGAATCGAGTGTGTGATATTTGTTGGAGAGCATATTCTTTCAACTCATTTGAACGGTTCTGTCACAATAGCCAATCCACATAACGACATCATTAAAGTTTTTTCTTAACTTTATTTTTGAAGCAAATTTCATTTTTAAGAGAACCCAACTGTGTGCGACACCTCTATGGTCTGCTTGTGCTATCGATGAGCATAATGCTGCTATAGTGACTCATTCTGCTAACTTATACTGCTTCAATCTTGAGGAAAACATCATTAAATCAACTCTAAACTTGGGTGTGGGAAACCGGTTATTCTCTGTGGCTACACGGAAATCAATGGTACTTAAGAATTTCTTCATTTAAGAGTCTTCTTTTCAGTTTGCTATTGGAGCAAGCGATTCGTTATTCATTGTAGATGGTGATAGAATCAAATTCAATAAAGCTGTGCCAAGAAAGGTAAGGTATTAAATGAATTGAAGAATATAACTTCAAATTTTTAAGGAAAAACGATTACCCACTATTGTTTGGTCTGTTATTTTCATAAAAGATGATGTTGTTGCGAGTGGTGATTCTCGTGGGATCGTTACTTTCTGGAACACGAGTAATGGGGTCGCCATTAAGGTGCTTAATAGGGGGAAGAAAACCTCTCACCGAAATTGTATTTTTTAGAGCGTAGAGTCTCATCAAGCAGATATACTTTCTCTTTGCTCTGTAGATGGTGTACTATGGGCTGCAGGAGTTGATCCTAGAATTATGAGCTTTAAGGAAGTTGTACGTTTATTTCTTGTTCAACTTTTCTGGAAAAAATTAATTAAAGAGTACCAATAATTATCAAGTAGTTAAAAAAATAAATGGACCCGTACGAGACGTTAAGGCTTTAGTTAATTACGAAGGAAGGGTTAGTTTCTTACAAAACTTTCAACACTATGAGCTTTACGATAGATTTATGCCTCTGGGGATGATCACAACATTTATGTTGGAGAAAATGGATGCCAAATCGTGAGAAAGCAATGGAATGTTTGTTGCTCTATCAGTGTCATTTAAAGCTTCACTTCGTTTAGAAAGAAGTTCTGTTAGCGACAGGCTTATCTGTGATAAGAGGCAATAATTATATCGATCTATATACTTCTGGTAAAGGAGAGAAACATGTGGAAGGCAAAGATGAAGTAATGTTCACGTTCTTTTTTCGGAATAACACTAAATATTTAGATCAATGTTGCTGTGCAGCCACTGTACTTGGCTAGAATATACAGTCCCTCCAAACTTCCGATTACAGCCTGGTTAGACGGTTCATTTTTAAACATTTATTTTTTTTCTTAGTGATGTTTCGGTTGATGGTACTCTCATAGCCATCTCCTCCTCAGAATCAACTTCTTTCTATAAGATTAATCTTAAAAAGAAGTTGAAGCCTATAACTAAACTTGGCATACAAAGCCGACCAGCTAATGCTATCAAGGTGACACTGCTCGGCTTTAAGTATAATATCTTCTTGTTATTCAGATTTTCAAAGATTTCGCGTATCTGGCCTATGACGATTTCGAAATAAGTCGAGTACCCCTCGATGGAACCGATTCCACTGTTGTTGTAGAGCAATGTATTTCATTCTAGTTCCATACAAAATATATATTTCTCTTGTTTCAGCTGGTAGTGGAATCGTTTGCCAAATTGATGCTTCATCTTGTGGTAAACATATTGCCGTTTTGACATCAAGATCTCAGCTATTCGCTATTGATGCTATCAAAGGCAATATTACATTTGGAGTTTGTAACAATATTATATTTTTTTCCAGGAGAGTCTCGAGCAGTACGTGCCGAACTACCTATAGATTTCTGCTTCAACGATGCTGATTCCTTGTTTGTCTTGACTGTTGCTCCTGGTTTTGATATTCCAGAAGAAAAGAAAAAGATTCTCTTCGAGGTCTGTTCGAATATAGTTGCTCTTAGTATTCGGATTTCAGTTCCCCAAGGCCGGAGGAGCAGCTAAACGTTCAATCTCATCTGCTAGCTTGTTTGGAACGGTTGGCGTTCGACCCTTATCCGTGTCTGCCGTCCCTGGAGACAGGGTTCTTGTTAGTGCTGTTGATGGGCAATGGGCTATTATTGATAAGGTTTTCCGCTTTCATACTTCTGGAAATATTTTCGTGAATTTCAGGCTCGCGGCCAAGTTCAATTATCAACAACCACAAGTAAAGAATCAACATCTATACAATTCAGGCCGTCATCCAGAGTTTGTTGTTGTAGGATAGAAGTTCCGATTCCGGAAACTAAACCTTTTAAATTGAAAAAGTTTGGTCACCAGTAAATTGTTGGACACTCTTCTCCTCGCTTAAATGTTTTCTTTTCCCTCTTGCAACGCTGTTTTTATTAGTCTCCCCCTATCGGCAACATGTTTGAATTTAGTTAGAAAGTTGTCATACAAAATTAGTTTCCTAGAAACTTTTGTTGTGGTTTTTTACTTGTTGACATTGTTATTTCTGTAATCCAAGCATTTCTATGTTCCCTTGTTATTGAAATTGCTTGACTTGTTATCACTCCTCTCACAGTAAACTTCATTCAATAATTTCTTATATGACTTTGGAAACTGACGCTTTCATTGAAGAGTTTATACCACGGAAAGAATGAGCCATCTGCTGATCGCTAAGTATAAGACTAGTACACGTTTGATTTCGAATAGAACCATAAACAGATCATTACACTTTTGGCTCTCTTCTTTTCATGGAAGTTACACAGCTTATTGGAAAGAAGTTTCCACCAATTGTTATCGAACGAGACCAGCATAGAGAGAGACAGAATGGAAGAGAGCATGGAACAGGCCATCGATTTCGAGGACTCGGAAAGCACTGAACAAGAAGATGGCGGGACTAGAAAGAAGCTTGAAGCAGAGGCAAGGCAGATGAATTAGGAGCAGACTTGCATGCATGGACCTTTCTCGACCGCCTGCTGTTCACCCTTCTAGTCTGACTTCTACGTCCATTTCTTTGGTCTCGCCTTAAACTTGACAACTTTTGAACTGCGCTGATAGACAGCATCTTTTGATTTTATACTATTTTCTTCTGCTCCATATAATTTCGTTTTTTCAGTTATCACGGCTGAGATGTGAAGGAGTTCCTAAACTTATTGAAAATATTGAACGAGTCCTGCTACTCTTTCCATCTTTTACGCCAAAACTAAAACAAGTGGAAAGCGGGTTCTGAAAAGGTTTGAGATTTTATGTTCCAATTCAGATTTAACAACATATTTATTATTTCTGCATGAGTTTGCAACCTATGAAAGAAAGAACCAAGTGAAGCGAACACAACTACTCCAGTTTAATATTTTTTTCTTTCTATCTTCAAAAATAAAAAAAATGAAATCTAACACAGACAATCCCAAAGTTTGAAATTTGTCCTTAAAAGTTATAAGTTACTTTTACAATTTATCACACACATCTCACAATTAACAATAGTGTGGCGAATGTCAGGAGATTGTGAACGGAGAGAGATCATGCAATCCCATAAGATATAGAGAAGAAGAGGGTAAAGGAAAAAACAGACATTCTCGTGAGAACGAAAGAAAATACTGACAACAGTTTATTGTTTACGATGTGACTATTTCTCGTTTTTTGCCTTAGGCTATTCTCTTACCTAAGTTTTTGGATGTGTGGGCGTCATTATATAAGAATTGTCAAAAACTCTTTTCGGAAAGAATTAAACCGCTTGATGAGAGATATTTGGGAAAATTAGAATAACCAAAATATGAGAGCTTTTCAAATTGCTTGTAATTCGATCATTCGCGCTCTATTATCATTTCGTTTCGGCGAGGCGTTGTGATCGGTTGCATTTCTAATTTTGCCTTAATCTCTCTCTCTCTTAATTTCGTGTACAACGGCATATATTTTGAGTTTTATATTTAAATGCAGCCATTTGCTCTTTTTCTGAGAACTGAAATGTCCATGCCCTGAAGCGATCTGCAAATTCTTCCTCAAATCTGCTAAACGACAAAAGTTTTATGAAGAGAGATGACAAAGTAGTTGTGCGGAATTGAATATACATCGATTTAACGTCTTTTTCCGTCGCTAAATTGACGGTCCTTCTTCTTCCGGCACCTGATTTACGCGGCGACCCACGTTGGCTTAACTTGTAATCTTGTTTCTTCGCATTTGCTAGTTTCGGGATCTGTCGTCTCTTCAGAAAGTTTACGACAGCTTATCCAATTTTTCAACTAATTTTTTTGAACTTTTTTCTTGTCATTCAATAAAGCCAAAAAAGGATGAAACTGAAGAACAAGGAATGTTGGCTCTAACGAGTTGCTCGCAAAATAAGAATTTTAGAGATTCCTTATATATATATTATTCACCTTCTATGTGTTCTTTTCACTCCGTTACTTGCATACTATTCATCTTATGAAATTATAGACGTGTGTGAGCTTAGGCTCTTACTGAAGGCTATTTTCTTGTGTTGTCGTCCTTGTATGCTATTACCCGTCAATGTGTCCTCTGAACTGCTCCTCTAGCCAACCAACTGGACTTATTATAGACTTATTGCTCATAGAGGATCCTCTTTACTTTCAACACTTCCGTTTCTCGTTCTATTCTGCTCTTCGTTTTTCTTGTTCAAAAACTATTTTCAAGCCTCAAAGTTTTGTGTAGTTGAAAAGATGCATTTCTTGGTGATTAACTCGTTGACTAACATTTCTCGTTTGAATCATGTTTGAGCCAAGGCATTTCTGTTTCCTCTCTTTTTGAATAGATTTTATACGAATGTTTGCATCACGTTAGGTTGATTTCTTTTTTTCAGCTCGTAATGTCTGATTAACAGATGATTTAAAGGAAGTGATGTCTGATGTATTCCAAGTGCATTCGGTTTTTGACTTGGACGACGATCTATCAAATCGTCATCGGTCAAACATCTACAGATTGTGTTCGTCACATCCAATCGTATGTGCCAACTACGGGTAACTATCAGCCATAATTGGGATCTATCAAAATATTTAAGGTATAATTGAATCTCCTGGTTTTCCACATCCATATCGATCTGGTATTAATTGTATCTACAACATTACTTCATCGCCATCATCTGTTATTCATATAAAGTTCTTAACTTTCGATTTAGCCACCTTGCATGAAAAAAGTCATCAATGCTTAGATGCGTATATCATCATCATCATTGTCGATCGACAAGGTTATATTAGCTTCTTTAGGCTTCGAACAAATTCTTTTAAGGAAGAGAACATGTTGGCGAACGTTTGTGTGGTCAAAATCTTCCTAGAAAATTAGAGACGATGCAGCCCACATTACGGATTCAATTTGTGACAAATACAGAGGGAGGACGTCATATTGGCTTTCGTGTTCAATATGAAATGCTATCTGAATGTAAATTTTTTTTAACTTTCTTCAGAAAAATTTTAAATCTTTTGCAAGCGACTGCCTTGTTTTTCATGATTGTTTCCTGTTCAAAATTACGATTCCAGCCTTTAATTTATGTTGTTTATTTGTTTTTTCTAAACATTTCCCTAACTTTTTCTGAAGACTCTTGCAGAACCTCTTTTCCAAAACATTGAAAATTAGCATGGCCTAAATCACTTGAAGTGTACTTCCTATTAAGCAATGGCAGGGGTAGGGCAATCGTCGTTTGACTAATGAAAATTTGTTTTTTTCATTGAAAGGTTCTGATGCTTGATCATTTTCCCACTTTCAGCAGCAATTCCTGAACCCAATTCGTTTATTGATCCGGAAGACAGTGAATTGACTCCTGCATGTGGGGGTCGCACTCAGTTGGCGCAGCTCACAGGTAGTAATATTCTTCTTAACGCCTATTTGACAATAATATTTAGGAGAGATCATATCACCTGGTTTTCCTCTGACTTATCCAAGAAATTGTACTTGCCACTGGTTGATTCGGGTAGAGCCGCAACAGAGAATATATATACGGATTGCAATTTTACATCTTTCTCCTAAACTGAGTAATTACCACTTTTTGAACTGTAACAAAGCTTTTTTTAAGCCGAATGTGATCGGGCTTCTCTAACCATTATGGATGGTTATAAACATCAACTGAATAGTGATAAAAGAGTATTGTTATTTAACTTCCTGCTAACGCTAATCTGTTTATTCAGTTAACTCAAGAGATTACTCCTGATGCGTCAGAGGCCAGGTTTTGTGGAAATCAAAATTACTATGCAGAAGAAGGAATGAAAAGTTATTTGTCAGCAGGGAATCGATTGATTGTGAAGTAAGTGAGCCTATTGGCTACTCATAGCGGAACTCTTTCAATTAACAATCATTACCTCGCCTAATATCATCATTGAAACTCCTATTACTGCTGAATTCACTATCCGTCCGTTTTTCTCTATCTCTTGCTTCAACCCTTTAGTCTACTTTAATCAAATTTTTACTTTCGCCTTTCTTCACTTCCATTTTAGATGAGAAGCATCAATCGTTTTCCGTTTGCATTCAAAATCATTTTCTTATGAGAAGACGTGAGTATTGGTTGTGTTCCTCTGGCTAATCAATAAATTGATACTCTTTTCTCAATAATTCTTTTTCTAAATTAGCTTTTTTTCAGATTTATCACAACAGATCAGCCATCAAGTGCATCTAAAGGAGAGCGGATAGGTTTTAAGGTTTCTTTTCATTAGTCTTGAAAACCCGACTAAAAACATAATTCAGATAATCTGGACAGCAGTGGAAAGCTTAGTTGGCGAAGTTACTGCTCCTACCTCTCTCCATTCAACTACACTCAGTCCTGAAGTAGTCCCTACTCAAAGTAACTTTGAAGACGAATGTGATCAGTTTGTGTGCAAGGGTGGTCAAATCTGTATTGAACAGGTTTTCTATTCGTTTGCATAAAAAAAATAAAAACGATTCCAGGGACAAGGAGCATGTGCGTCTCGCTCGCAACTGTGCATCCATTCATCTTTGGTTTGCAACGGAATTCCCAATTGTGTGGAAGGTGATTATAGTGACGAACAGCATTGTAAGTGAACGAACAAAGTTTATTTTATACTGTTCGATTAAATTTGCAGGCTATTCTCGAGAGATCGTGATTGTTACAAGTACTGGTCTTGTAGCAATCTTATTGATCATATGTTTATGCATTTGCTGTGATCAATTTCATAAAAGGCGTCGTTTACGCGAACTTATTCGACAACGACGTCAACAAAATGGTTCTTCTGTTAATCATTCGCAGGGCACTGCTCCTCGTCCTTCATCAACTGGTGATCGTCGGTTGTTAGTTCCATCCGGCACACACAACAACAACAACAACAACAACAACAACAACAGTAATAATAATAGTAACAGTAATAACAACTCTAATAGCTTGAATCAGCTACACCCATTATACCAAGGCAATAATCTTACGTTTTCTGTATCATCAAAATCTTCTTCAGCGGCGTCGACTAACCGTCGCAGTCAAACTTCTCTTACTAAGCCGCGGTGACAATTGGAGAGTCAGTTGTAATTTTGGAACCTTTTTTCTACAGTTCCTAACAGTTCGGAAAAAAGAAGTTTGCACCTGACTCACCTACGGCGTTTTTAGTGTTTTTTGCTCAAACAACTTTTAATTTTATCGTTTTACTAACCGAGTTTTGTAAAAACGAATGTGTTCTGTTTCAGTGTAGACATTACTTAGGATTATGTAAGTCCGAACTCAAAGTATTGATTCTCTACACTGAATATTGGAAAATCCATATCTCAACTTCTCATTTTTTTTCTCATATTTTCTTGTGTCTGTCTCTACAACTTAGTTTGCAATTATCCATACATATGGTTTTGCTCAAAACTTATTATTCTGAGAGCGACGTTATAGTTTTTACGTAGTTTTTTGTACTTCTCATGATGAGTTTAACCATATAAAATCATTCTATTCAAAAACATTTGATAAGAAACAAGTATGCGTTTTTATGATGTAACACATCAAGAAGGACATGTGAAAATCGGATTTGAATTATACAACGTTTAGGAAACAGAGTTGAATGTGGAGAGAGTATGGCAAAACATGGAGAAGATTAAAGAAGAGTTAGCAGCAGTCTAAAAATTGGGAGGATCGCGCATTGCTTCGAGCGCCAGACCGGAAATTCAAATACAACGGTTATATATGAAAACGATCTTCTAATGTTTAACCTTGTCATAACTTGTGCTCTCATTTTTTTTCTGAATTCCTCTCTGATTTTCAAAAAGAAGTTGCTCCTTTCATAGATTAACGACAATAAACTTCGAACTTCACATGGCAGCAGAACCAGCAGAAGGAAAGCGTGAATGGCAGCGCACTCCTTCCAATGTACATAAAGAGAATGCAACTAAAGTTTGTAAATGTTCCAGATACCAGTCGGATATATTATATTATGTACACTATGTATGACATCCTTATATTCAACTATCTTATCATTCCACATGACTGTTAATATGGTTCACTCTTATGGAAATGGTTCAGAGAGTGACTGTAATTTGAGATGAAATAAAACAGCCAAGATTTCTTCATTACAGTTTACAACGTATCTGATTATATAAGACATCAGGATGGCGAACGAAACGTTACGGTTCGGAGACACAAATTCTTATCCAATCCTCAAAAAGTTATTTACTGCTTTAACTATTTTCAATATTAACTATAGGAATCTTTGATCACCGTTGTCCCTATAGGTGGAATATTATTTTATGTTCCAGCCGCTCTTCTTTATAATCATCTCGGTTTCAGGTTGTGTTACTAATCTTCCAAGCCAGACAGTAAAAAAACATATTTTAGGAGAACATTCGTTATAATGGCAGCAATAGGCATAATCCCTGATATATTACTACCGGCTGTTACACGAGCTCAAACATATGTCCTAGCTATTATGATTCGTATTATACAAGGTGAACCCAAAAACTTAAAGACTTTTGTGGAACACGGCTAATCCGTTTCTTGGCGCAAAATTCAAATCTGAGAAAAGCTGAAGTTCAGAAGGCTATAAGTCTTCACATAGTCATTTTCAGAGTCTCTAGTTTTCACCATTCGAATTAGCATGTTTCAATCATCTTGTATACCTGAAATGGTTTTCGTATCTCAAAAATGATTTTTCCTCATCCGCCAGAGCCCGGAGAAATGTCAATTTTGACCCCCGAAAATGGTTTTTTCCTTGTAACTCATATGTAAGCTATCAGATGGCTGTCAAATATGTTCTATCTGTTTGATATCCTTAAACACAACTTTCCCGCAACATGTTATTACCAGCTAAACCCATTTTCATCCAGATATGATTTTTTTTCATTTTCGCTCTGTACAAAAAAAGTTAAGCGGTCTTACCAGAAACTCCAGATGAACACAATCCAAGATATTTTGTGATATCTCATACACCTATCATGTGATGATTATCTTAAGCCAAAAAAATCATTCTTATTATGCTAGAAACAGTCGTTCACCCTATATGGCTTGTTGATCTTGCCATGCTCCTGATTACCGCCAATATCTTGGAACACGGCTAATCCGTTTCTTGGCGCAAAATTCAAATCTGAGAAAAGCTGAACTTCAGAAGGCTATAAGTCTTCACACAGTCATTTTCAGAATTACTAGAGTCCACTATTAGAATAAGCAGTTATGAAAAAAATTTATTTACTGCGCTTTTCAGGGTTCGCTCTTGCATCTTTCATTCCGTATGTGTGTAAGTTATCCGTTTTCCTGCCTTTCCAGCATATGGCAATTCCTTCCATCGCTTTCGCTTTCATCCAGGTTCGCTTAGGTTAGATGGTATTCAAATTTTTCTTTAGTTAGCAGGGTTTTTCACTTTCCCTTTATCTGCAATTATGTCGTGGTCGTCATTGGGCTGGCATTCCGTACATTACGGATCTGCTATTATGACGTTTTGTCTTGTGATCCTCTGTTTGATCTCAACATCAGGTGAATCATTCAAGAAGAAGTCATCTGAAATGGGATTTTTGAGAGTAAGTGTTAAACTGAAAACACTGAAAGTATTCTTAGGCGTTGTTCCGATACGATAGATCCCGCTCAAAACAAATTTCGTTGCAACTACCATACCTATCCATTTATCAAGTGAGTCAGTTGGCGGTTATTATCGATGTGTAGAAGAGTATAAGTTCTATGAACTAAAGGATTTCAATACGTGAACATCTACCATATATTCCAGGATGTGCGCGTATGGTCATGCTTGATTGCAGGGTTGGGTTACTTCACTACAATCCAATTATATCTACAATGGGGACCAACTTTCCTCAATAAAGTTGTTGATTTCTTCATGTCTGAATTTATCCATATTAAGGTTGCTGATTTGAATATCATCACTACGGGATTAGTGTCTATGGTTCCACCGTTTGTGAACTTATTTGTTGGCTTTCTTGTTTATATCATATTCCCTCAAATGGCGTATGTTTCTGTTGCGGTCAATTCAGAACAACTTTTAAAAAACTCAGAAATGAAACGACTACGAAGCTACGGTTATTCAACAGCTTAGGAACTGTAGTTCCAGGAATTATATACATAATCATCGGGTGCTTGGATGCTAAAAATCACTATGGAGTTGCAGCGGTGAGAGGAGAGTAGTGTTATGACAATTATCTTCCATAGACTTTGTATGTCGTTGGCTCTTCGTTCCTAGGATTCTGCTCCTGTGGTTTCCTTCATATGCTTCAACTACGATCTGTTCAATACCATTTATTCATTCTCATAAATCTCTTCAGTGTCAATTTGGGCTCGATGTTTTTGTGTTCTTTATTGAATGTTCTCATTGCGAAGAACAACGAATATAGTATGTTTTATCCTTCGTATACCAATACTCTCAAATTTGTTCATTTCAGCTTCATGGGCTGTGGTGTTCATTGTTCAAGGAGTAATATTGATCGTTACCAATTTGATCTTTTGCTTGTTCGCCTCAGATGAAAAAGCACACTGGGCAGCTGAAGGTTTCGAAGATACCTCCATTCAACCAAGACGTGAAGATCCTCTTCCACAACGCCCGCTATAACGTGTGCAGAAAAATATTTTTTTTCAAAAAATAGATTAAGGCATATTCTGTATTTCAATATAATTGACTGTCTTTGTTATTTCCCGTATGTTGTTGTAAAAGTACTTGTGTTTTAAATAAAACATTGAAATTAAGTTGAAGAACATTAAGTAAATGAGAAAATGATGAAATGATGATATCTAAATCAACAGATTTACAGTATTTTAAATGTGATTAGACTGTAGACAAACAGAGAATGATTCAGTGGAAAACAAGCATATCTCCATCATTCTTTGCTTTTTTCCCTCAAAGTCTATTCATATACAAAATCACGTGATATAAGAAGCTGTCTTGCTAATTATTCCCATCTGGAAAGTTAAGCAAACTGAAAACTAGGCGAACGAGCTAGTCCAGAGGACGTACGATAAATGTAAATGTAACTGACAATTCTAGGAAAGACTATTTTCCATAATAGGATTATCATCGATATGAATATGAAGTCAAGTAACGTTTCATCCAAACACGGAAAAAAAGTACACAAATACCCCATTGCTTAGAGTTCAGAACTTCAAGTTGAAGAAAGAAAAACCAACTATTGAATTGCGAATAATGTGAAGATAACGAGAGAAAGTATCAAAATATATCCGGGAAATCCGTCATACTGAGATGACGATCTATGGAGGGGTTAAGCCTGAAGATGATGGTTGTAATAGAAGTACCGCCCAAGAGTCAAGTCTTTGGTTCTCTGCTTCTGTCTCGAACATAATATCTTTCGGGGTTCATCTTCTATATTTTTCTTTCACTCTCTCTCATCCTGTATATCTAATAGGCAGTTCTTAAACATTTCTCTCATCTCTTTATCTCTCTGCGTCTATGACAGTTCGACCACATTGCTCACCTTGTCGGACAGCAACGACGACGACGACACGGACAAGTGTGTGCGTCTGTGGCTTTATATTTGTAGCTTCTTCTGTCTCTTCTAGCTATCAACCGTTCTTCTCTATCTCTATACCCTCATTTTCTCTCTATCCACGTTTTACTTGGTTTTATCTCATTGCCTCTTTCTCTTTTTCTCTCTCCCTCTTTATTAATTCTAAATCTGCAGTTGGTAGTTCTTGCAGCCAACTCCGACGGCTAACAATCCCAAGTGAACTGATCATCTTCTTTTTCAATATGACCATCTCTTATCGTGGTCTCTTAGATTTTGCCGAATCATAGCTACTATCTCTTTCTGATTTCTGTTGTCCGGCTCTTCGTTTTCTTATGTTCCTTTGTTTACACTACTTCACTTTGACAACGACGTCCACGACCACCAAGGCGGCGGCTTCGGAGACGTTAACGGTGATGCTGACGAGCACCTAGATCACTCTTCATTTTTATCACATACCTTATTGTTGTTTATTTTCATTTGTTCACCAACTATACAATGCAGCCTCCGTTCTTTTTCGTCATCTTTCACTGAAATTCAGAGGATTAAACGTTGGACTGTTCCTCTGTGTGCCTCTCAATCTTTCTCTCATACATTTTTTATCGTGAATAATAGTTGTTACCTTTTTTAAACTTTTCAATTTCCGAACGACGACAACGAAGACGATCGACCTCCTCATCATCGTCATTTCACTTCTGCACCTTCACTATTAGATTCAATATCAACATCAGCTCACTCACTCTCTCACTCTCAATCACATACGCACCTGTATTCAATTCCATTCTGTATTCTGACGAAAACGATTAGCACGACGACGAGGAGACGACAGCATTATCTATTACTAGCGGCTTCTTAATCAGTTTCTGATTCTCAACTCTATAAACGGCGGTTTTATAGAATATTAATAAACTGTAAAAAAATCAACCAATTTCAATACAAACTTAGAGTCAATTCTATACTCGAAAGATGATTAATATGACGTCTCAAAACCAGCAGCAGCTTTTTCTCGGATCAGCTATGAATGATTCCGATAACTCCTTGCTTCGTTCTCATCCTAATTCTGCATCACTGTCACAGAGATCAAATCCATTGCCAACAGGTTAGTAATTTCATATATTTGTAAATTGACTAATTATTTACATTAAACTGATAACTTTTTTCATTTCGCTTGTTCTGTCATATGATAGGCAATTCATCTTGATCAATCACCTTGCTCTTTTAAATTTTGATGACATTTATCTTCTTGATTTAATTCAATTTGAAACCTAAGATAAAACATTATAATGGACATCCGGTTGGAAAATTGTCCAACGATTTTTGATTTCCCTAACCTCAAATTTGAAAGTAGAACAAATATTTTAATCCTATTTCACTCGAAAACGAGGCATCAGTTACATGTTGATAAATTGATTTATGTAACTGAAATGATTAAAAGTGAGAGAGGAATGTTAACGAAGACAAAAGAAGAAAGTTCAAATTTGAGGTCGGCAAACAAGCTATTAACTGCAACGGATTAATGTTTTGCGGAGAGAACGAAAAGAAAACGAAAAATAGTAGTCAAGTACCCTTTACAAGATATTCATCTTGTGCTCGATTATTAATCCTTATTATTTTCCCCCAACACCTCTACATTTAGAGAGCTATGTTTCGATTTTCACTATGCGTTCTCAACTTTTAGTCGCTCATTCCATCTTTTCCCATCAAAACGTCTTCACGGTCGATACCCGAACAGCTGACCACAGGAATGAGAAACAGAGAAAGAAAACATGAAAGAGTGATGAAAATAATAAAATACTTCGAAAAAGAAGAAGTCTAAGAAAGAGAAAAAAATCTCCCATCACTTATTATCTCATTTTCGCCAGAAAGTCAAAAATTGAAGAAAAATTGAAAATCCAACCTCGAACGTAAATTATGAAACAATTGTCAGTTTAAAAAAAAAAGATCAAAAAAAAAATTAACTGAAGCGTCATATATATTCAACCGCTTCCTACGACCGTAACCAAAGAAATGATTTTTAGCACATACCGATCAAATTGCGAAATTGGAATTTTTTGTATTGTGACTAAATTTAAATACCGACGTTTCAGATCATGTTCTGGATTTGATGAACACGGTGAATTCTATGGTCAAAAATGGTCAATTTACATCATTATTGGCCAGCACCGTTTTCCAACTATGTGCTCAACTCAAACTTAGTGGACAAATGCTGGAACAAACACATAAAAGTATCTTAATCATAACATAAACCATTCGTAAAAATGTCGATCTTGCAGATGAGTTGAACAAGGTATTTGTTTCTCTCAGACAAGCATGTTGTCGGGATAATGGACAACTCGGAACACCATGCCGGTAGCAATATCTTCGTGACAATCTTTACAAGCTTTTAATTTTTATAGTTTGAAAATCATGGAGTTAGTAGAGCTACGTGCAATGTACTGGCGAAGCAATTTGGCACACAGTCAGTATTACGTGAATAGACCCGAAAACAGTAAGATAAATTACTTTCCTTATAAAAACGAATTTGATTCAGGCAATGAGAATAATAGCACCCCTGTTCAATCTCAATCTTCCCAGGCCAATACGGTATCGACCGCTGCGGCTGCGTCTACTCCTCAATTCATTCCTCAGCCAATGTATCTACCTCAGGAAATGCCAACTCCAGGTATTTCTCAAGTTTCATTCTGAAGGTAAATTTTCTTAATTCAGCTGCGAATCCTGGCTTCTTCTTGATTCCAGCTGGTGGAGCATGGATGCCTCCGATCATGCCATCAGGAACAATGATTCAGCAGAACCCGTTTATGCCTCAAACAATGATTAATCCTGAGAACTTGTTGATGAGGCAACGTAGTATTAAAAAGGTGTTTGTTTGTAATCATTTCTAATCGTTGTTTTTGTGTTTCAGCAAAACTCAAACCCACGCTCATTACAACTACGACATGAAATGATAATCCGCAATAGTGACAGCGGTAAAATCATGGGGGTAAAAGGCCGAAGAGTCGCCTTAGTTGAGCAGCTAACAAATACAGTTATCAGTTTCCAGAAGGTTTGAAGGAAGAACGTTAAGTGTTCTTAACTTTTAACACATTTTACAGGTTGATCCTAAGAACAAGGAGCGAACGTTAACCATAACAGCCAGTAGTGCCGAGGATATTGAAAAAGCCAAAGAACTTATTAATGAAACTATTCGCAGAAATATGAGCCCGTCTAGGGTAGAATACACTTTTCTCCTCTTTTATGATTATCAATTGTAGGCTGATATCTCATCTGAATCGTCCAACTCTGGTCAAGTTAATGGAAACGAAGATGACTATGATGATAATGACATTTCTATTGAAACTACTCAAGACGGAATGCTGAAGCTTTGCTGTTCCGATCCAGAGGTTTTGCAGGTATGCAATAAGATAAACTGCTCAGAAGTTTTGATATCATGATCAGGCTGCACAAGAAGCTCTCTCTGAATACCTCCGAGTACGCGCACGCCCATCAGCTGAAGAAAGAGAAAAGCGTAAAGAGCGTCGTAAAAGTTTGCCTTTGCAACAAACTAATAATCAAACCACTTCAACATTGAAAGTAAGTTCGTGTTGAATATATATAAACAAACATATTCTGTCAGCCGTCGAGAAACTTCCATGGTTCTACTCCTAATTTGGCTGATGCGATCGTGCCTCCCAACAAAGGCAGAACCAACCACAATCATCAAACAGCCAGCTCGAACGGTAGCAAGTGGTCGGTTAGTGTGCCGTGACTTTATCTTTTTGAAAAAGTTGCTTTAATTTCGAAGCTTAAGAAATAACAACTATCTGTGATTATTGATTTCACTCTGCTTCTAATCGTACGCTTTATGTCTGGAGCTTGGTTTTCAACGAAAATTCTTCATAACTGTATCAGGAATTCTGAACTTCCGTTTCAGATGACTTATGATCGTAATGCAATTCTGAACTTACGTTCGGCTTCCCGTTCTTCAGTTGGTATTCGTGATAGAGTCGTTGCTGTAGCCCCTGAGTTGCTACGAGAAAGCTGAGTATTCGTCATTGGTTCAAAAAAATTTTCAAACGGTATGGAAACCCTTTGTTACTTCTCATTGTTTTAAATTATTTTTCTTTGTAAAATTGAATTGTGCTCAATCTTACACTTATCAAACATGACTGGTATCCAATTACCAAATCTAGTCATTTTCTAAGTGTTTTTTCTTCCATTACGTAGAGAGCTTATGCTAGCTTTTGTACATTTGATATTTCTATAGAGATCTTGTTTATTGACTAGAATATCTTGGAATAAATATTTATTTCAAAATCCCTATGAGCATAGAATCTATATTCGGTAGTACTAATACAGGAATGTTTAATTTCTTAAATGGACTTTTCTTCCATTGAAAGATTTAACTATCATTGGCTTGCACTGGAGATCATTCACAAGTGTCAGTCTCAGTTTCAAATCTCAACCTCTGTAAGCCGGATAGTTCCATCGTCCGAACAAGAAGCAAGCAAGTTCACAAAAATAGGGTTCCACGAAACGCAATTAACTTCTCCTGTACAAGGTAGTTCGTAATTATGTCGAATATTTCGGTTACCTGTGTGTTTCTCAATCACGTGCTCTTCTGTCAGTTGAATATCATCTCCAGTTTCGTGATAGGAAAATATTCTAAGAGAGATAATCAGGTGATAAAGAAATAAGAAGAAATACCTGATAGTTGCGTCACCACCAGCGACAGCGATTAAGTTTGTTGCCTGAAGTAAGAAAGTGATATCACAATTGGAGCTTTGCTACCTTATTCCATGAGACACTGTATAATGGCCAACGAGAATTTGAGATTTCATGTTTACAAGCAACTTTCCAAGAATCTTTTACAACTTGATCATTACTGTACTCTCTTTTAAAAATCTATAAGCTGTTATATGTATGTTTTTATGTGCAGACAAAACTACCTGCACAATACGATCTTCACCAACAGTGACTAATCTATCTCCTGAGCCATCAAAATCTGCGCACCAAACAGTTCCATCATGTATCTAAGAGCTTTCAAGTAAATATTTAAAATCTTTTCCTTTACATTCTCAAGTTTCTGCTGTGTAACCCAATCCTCATCATCATACACGTAGAATCTAATAGAGGAGTCATAACTACAGGATACTAGAAGCTGAAAGTATTATGCGTACATATATTCGAATACGAAAAACTCGAACGTTTTCAGTTGGATGCCAGACTACGAACTTAACATCCTGAGTATGAGCTTGTAGTACCGAAACTACTTGATAGTCATCATCTTCGTCTACTAAAAAATTGCGTTTCTTTGATAAGTGAGAATTCAACATACGTTGCCAGAACCAAACAGTTTTATCCCTACTGCACGAAGCCAAAAACTCATCACTTGCATTGTAGGCAACACATTTCACCTGGAACACAGTTTCAGTACTCTATTTCATAGCCAACTCACTTCACTCTCGTGACCCTCCAAGGTATTGGTTTCAGTAAACTCTCCACTTAAAAACAAAACTATTCGAGCTACGTAAGAAAATCTTACTCTTCTTTGGCATAAACGATCATAGAAGCATCGAAACTGCCTGACATGAGGAATTTCCCACAATGTGAGAACGCCAAAGTTCGTACCGCTTTATTATGTCCATCATCGATAGTTGTCATGTTTTCCAGTTTTTTCTCAGCGTCTAATCTTTGATAAGCAGATCGAATCACACAAAATATACCTGGGATATGCTTCCAAATTCTAACAGTTTTATCGTCACCTCCACTAGCTAGCAAAAGTCCATCGAAATTCCAAGTAATAGTCCAAATCCTGGAAGCCTTCCCCCTGAATGGAAGACTCGGGGTATAGGCCCCCAGATCACGAACAAGACCCATAGAAACTGAAACGAACAAGGGATCATTTGTTTCGTAAGACTGAAAAACAATAGAAGTAAACGAGAGTTTAGTAAGAAAAGCTTGAATATAAAACTAAAGACACAGCAATCACGTCAAGGCAGTTGCATCACGCAATATGAGCAATTAGAAATAAGTTGTAACACAGACTTCTTTGTACGTTGTCTTTGACTATGTTTCCTATTCAGAGAATCTTACATTACATTTGTCATTTTCGAAAAAGCACCAAAAACTTTCTGTTTTCTTTTAAAGGATTAGCACTGGAAGTAAAAAGGAACATTAACCATATTTAATGGCACACTTTATCGTTCTATTCAATAGTTTCTATTATAACATAGAATACTAGCATATAATTATAGATGAGATTATTCAATAACTGTTAGATTGAGCAATAGCCGGCAGGATCATAACCGAACACTGTAACATTTCTAAATCCACCACAGCAATTAACAGCTCCAGCTATGGTTCTCTCAAAACTGATTCCTTCCCGGAACCAAGTGATATAACATGGGGTCGCCACCTCACTTGATGTTAATAGCTTAAAAGTGGATTCAAATATGTTTAAAAAGCATGTACATACAGTTGTCAATGCGGCAACAGTTCCGGCCAAACCCCCAATAATTCCAAATGCTGTAAAAATTAAAGGTATATGTATTCGGAGTCATTAAAATCAAAAAAAGGATGAAGGGCGCTCGATTTCAATCATTATTCGTTTTCTCATGCAAAAATGAGAAGTTCTACTTACCTAACGATATCACAGATAGAATAAGGAGTGACTTTGGGATATACTTCATTATGCTGTAGGTATGTTTATTAAATGATAAAAAATATGATCTCACTCTTTAATTGTTGCTCTACAGTCATCAGGAGCATCTAAAGAAAGTTTCTTTTCTTTCAACAAAGCTTCTCTTTTTATTTGAGAAGCCTTCAGATATAAGAAGAAAATGCTAGGCAGAATCATACTCATAAGAGACATGGTTGTTGCTCCGACCTAGAAGCTTTACTTACAAAAGTAGTAGTTGAACACATACCAAATCCAGAAACACTCCAAAGTCTGGGATTGATAGACCTACAAACACCACCATGCAGAGGATGAAAGATCTTGCAAGAACTCTTTTGTAGGAGAAGTCTAGTTTAGAAAATGTTCTCAGAATGTCCGACGTGAAGTATTGGCATTACCATGTGGGACTCTAGTCCAGTCTTCAAATTGCTGAGCAATAGGCGAGAAAATGATGATTATTGTAGGGAGAACATGAAGAGTGATCATAATGTTAACAGCTTGGGACATCCATGTTACCTTACGCGAAAATCATTTAAGAAAAGGATTATAATCAGCTTACTTGTAGAGATGGGACAATAGTATCTCTCATGCTGTTTCCGTACACGAAGTATCCAGAAATGCCAACCAATAGATAAACAACGGTCAGAACTGAGTTATTATATGAAATTATGCAATAATATATAAGTACATACTAGCATAACTGAAGATCATTGAGCGGTTGAACCGGAACGGCTTTATCATATCGTGTTGGATTGTTGGAAATGCTGCGTGCCCCCCTAAATATGATTTGCTTCACGTAACTCAATCACGATCTCTTATACCATAAGCGAAGACAATAGTTCCGTATCCGAGTAACATATTCTTGAGATTGAAGCTCTCATGCTCAGCGTGAGATGAACAAGCTGGAGAATCATGAAAAGATCCAACAACTATTATGGTTGCAGCCGTGATACTTGAAATGGCTGAGCAAAACGCTGCGAGCCTGCAAGTAGATGATCACAGTAAGACAAAACAGCATTGAAAGTACCAAAAGTCTTTCGGACTTCTGAGCATGCAGAATGGAGAGATGAATATCCCAAGAAAGACAACAATGAAACAGAAATGCAAATGTACATCGAAAATAGCCAATAAGAAATTTGATAAGTTCTTAGCTGCCAAGATAGTCAGTACAGTGATCAACCCGAACTGTGTGACACACACAATTATAGATACAAATGTTCTAAATTGTCATGTTTTTTGTCTGACTGTGATTTGTGGTACCTAGCTGATCTTCCTAAGGCTCGATAAGCGATCTCTGGATATGGCCTGCGGCAATGTTCTTGGTATTGAGGCCATCGAACCTATACATAATAGATCAATAAATTTCTTCTATGAACTTTGTATTTTACAGTATCTTTGGACTGATCAATGATTGTGAATCATTCTTTTCTTTCTTTTTTTCTTTTCAATTCATGTTCAAAATGTTCCGAAACGATGAAAATACTGATCTAGCTAGCACGAATGCAACCGCTCATAGCTAGCTGAGGAAAAAATGTTTTTTCCTGCTCATCTGTTTAACTGTTGAATATCTATGACTTTGGGATATCCTTTGGATACAAGCGATGGAAAGAAAACACATGAAAAAACGATACACAGCCAGTTCAGTTGACATCAATCAGAAGAAAAAGTGTTTTTGTCATAAGGATGGAAAGGTCACCTGCATCATAGCCCATGAGTAACCAAGTTGAAGACCAGTAACTCCGGAGAAGAGGGAAGCTAACAGAATCAGTGAGATACCCATGTACAAGCCTTTCAATTCAATTTTGTTCTTGACCCGATGAAAATATAACTTTACCAGTATGGCCTAAAGCCACAGGTAAAGCGATCATTCCAGCTCCTAACATATCGCCGACAATGAAGATGGCTGCGACAAACCAATGCATTCCATCAGCATTTCGATGCTTGATCTTGGTTGTTTGAGCAATCTTAATTATGCAAATGTACATTATAATGAAAGGCTAAACATACTTCTAAAGGATGTATCTTATTTGATTGAGATGATTCAGCGGTCATGGCTGCAAATTTTAAAGATGATCTCTCAAAATATTATCGTTGTTATATAGGAGAAATCTATTTTGACAACAAATGACTTGGGCCAGCATTGGAGAAACGTCAACGAAAAGAAAACTTTGAAACAAGACAGAGGCTATCATGAAATGAACGTTTAAAAGGGAAGTTATCTTCAGTTATTTGTTGTTTTAAACATCATTTATTATTTCATATGAATTGTTCATTATTGATAATAGAGATGAAGAGAAGAGAGAGATGAGAAGAAAATGATAAGTTGGTGAGAGAATATGAGACAGAAAAAAGGTTGGAAGAATCTCTCTATAACTATGAAATGATCGAAAACCTGATTGACTAAACTGTATGAAAGCATTGATCACAAAGAGAGAGAGAGGGGGAGAGAGAACGAAAGAGAAGAATATAGAGAAAGACTGACAGACCGAGTGCCTTAGCATGTGCGTCAGAAGAAGCATGTGCTGAAAGTGAAACAAATCTGAAGTCTACGTGAACGATAGGGGAGAAAGAGTTACATCTTGTAAAAAAAACTTTCAAAATATTCATGGATTACAGATTATCCGCTTTTTTTGTTGAATAATTTGACAAACCAGTTTTGAATATTTTTATAAACTTTTTTATTTGTCATCCAAAGCCCTCCAATTGGAACATCAAACAGAAAATAAGAATGTTTGGATTGAAGTCATCCATGTTGTTTTTAACTTTATTATGTTCACAAACTTATTCTCAGACCATCTTAGCTAATTATTATTGTGGAGCTGATGGCTTTTCTCGTTTAATGTCATATTTGAGTACTGCTGTATGTGATCAACAAGGAAGTCCGTACTATCTTTTTTGAATTTAGTAATAATAGATTTATTATAGTTAACTTATGTTGTCAAGAACATGATCTATGCTATTCTTCATGCCAATTTCCCCAAATGATGTGTGATAATTTATTTTGTGAATGTTTAGCAACTCTTCCAGCCAGTCTCTATTGCCGAAATGTTGTTCATTCATCTCACTGTTCTTTAGTTCATTGGTTTGGACAGCCATACCTTTGTAACATTTTTTAAATTTTATTTATATTAAATGGTAATTCTATATGGCACTGATGAATATTGATTAGATTTTGCCATGGCTTACATCTGTCACAGTCGCATGGATGATAAATGCTTCGCCCTAAGTTGTGTCCGGTTAATTTCAAATATTTTTCTATTTGATACCTTTTCGATGAAGATAATCGTTGAAAATGTTACTTGAAATGTTCTTATATCCAAATCGTCCAATCCGTGCCCGAATCGACACTTTCAGGCTCCTGGAAAATGGAAAATATTGTACTTCTTAGACTCTCTTATCCATTCGTTCTCTGTTTATCATATTCTTGTTTTTACCTCAAATGAAGGTCGTTGATATTTTGACTTTTTATGCTCTCTTTCCAGTTCACGTATGTTTCTGAAGTTGTCGCTGTTACTTCGTGACGTTGCCCACGATTGTCCACTGTTAATAATCTCCGTTCGTTGAAGTAATACTTGCTTAAATTTAGAAAATTCCATTTAGTCCCTTTTTTGGGTGTTCAACTTACATCTGGAGACATATTGGAGTATGATAGAGGATATCCGGTAGAATTGCTGGCCATTTGATAGTCTGAAGGCAAACTGTTAGATGGCCTAAGCCTCGCTCTCGATCTATCAATTGAAAAGATAGTTGAAGGCTCAGGAGTATTCGATAAGACTTTGGGCTGGAATCGATCCGAAACTAAAAAAGTATTAGTATGAAACAACGTTCATCTCTCTCATTATATGAAAAGAGCGTATGAGACAACACAAAAGCACCTACCAACCGCCTTTGCTTCGATCGGGTACCAAAGAGATTGAATACTTTTCCAATCATAGCTATTTAAGGCGATTATAGTCTGAAAATCTGTTTTCAAGATCTAAAGTTCTGAGAAAAAGCACTTCGCCAATAGGAGAATTATGTCCTAAGGCGTCATGATGCCAAACTCCAACTAACAGTCGATGATTATTCAGATGATTTCTATTGACATTCGGAATCTAAGTTAAAGTCAGTTAAAAGTAGGATAAGCAGTTATCAAAACTTTGATTATTTCATTGAATAATGGATCCACCGCCGACTTCTTCGGTGCAGTTTTATATTTCTGTGACATATCTGTTGTATATTCTCCAATGAGGAAGATCTGCAAGTACATCCTATGTGAACAACTAACTATATTAATTTTACTTTCACGTATGGATTCGGTCGATGTTGTCCATAATGGGGTAATGAGCGACACTGCATTACATGCACATTCAAGGAAGAGTTTGAAGAGTTATATGTTAGACGTAATTGAATTTCACCTATGAATCTTGGTGAATTGTCAATTTGTGACTAAAATAAATATATAAAAGAGAGCGGAAAAGGAAATAGTTACGGAAGCATCCACTGATGATGTATAAGATGTTGCATCTCTACTTATTGACTTGTACATCGATCTTTTCCTCATTGTAGAAGCTGGTTCAGAACATGACCATGCTTGACTCGTACGACTCGGACTCACAGGTATATTGTTATTTGAAACACTGTTGTTATTTATATTATCCAGTCGATCTAATGTCGACTGGAACTTTGAATGTTTCAATTTCTTTTTCTTCCCTTCTTATTACCTGTGAGACACTCCTCTTGGTTGAATATGTTCGTACGCGTTGCCACTCCTCGAACGGATCCTTCAAAATTAAAATTTTCTTTTTGCCTCTTGATATATTTCAAAACCTCTTCAACAGGCGATGGAATTTGCGTGATTGACTCAAGTTGATTATCTAAAACATTTGAAATGAGAAGAATACTCTAGAATACAACCGAACGTGTCAAAAAGCATTCAAATGAATGAATTTGTACCACGTTTGATCTCACGTAGTGTTCACGTGATGGTTAATAAACATTCATAATTAACATACATTTGTCATTTTGACGACGATGATAGGAGAAGTTAGGTTGAAGATAGTTTCTGTTGATCGGATCACTAAGATGTTCAGTTTGTAAAATAAAAATAAGCAAAAGAGAAAAATAAAAAGAAAGCGAAGCCAGTCTATTTTGAATAATTTCATTTTGAAAACAAAAACTCTTTTCAAATGAAATGAAACGAATGATTATCATTCACCATTGCATGTTTAATGAATGGTTATGTACAGTTGTTCCTTAAGCAATCACACAGACATACACTGATTAAAAATAATATTAAAACACATAGAAAAGCGGAAGCGAAAGCATAATTAACACATTGACAAGCTGAACGTAGGAACAGGAAGCTCACTCTGACGTCGTTGCCCAGGATACCTTTTAGTTGTGAAAACGTGACGTCTATGTTCGGCTATGGGTGAGTGTGTGATGTTTGTTGGTGTTGGTGGAGCAATCTGAAAACAGAAGAGTCAATCAACTAATAAGAAAATAATTAGAGAATATACCTCAGCTGTTGGTAAAGGCGATATTGATGGAGAATTGAATGGGTTGCGACCGAAAGCATTTGCTGATGATGAACGAGGTGAAGGGCTTCCAATAATTTCTCTTAAAGTTTTCATGATTCTTGTGATCTTCATAGTTACCCGTTACCTTGGATGCAGTTCCGCCAGTAAGGAATTAGCTGAATGTGGAGGTGATGAAGCAATTGTTGATAAGCCAGTAGATCCAGGACGAGGTGATGGACTACGAGGAGATGGACTTCCACCCCAAAAACGTTTTGTGATGTCTCCGCGTAGCTGACGTCCAATAGCCTTGAAAGAAAGAATATATTCAGGGAAGAAGGATTGACTGATACTTCATCTTCAGATGGAACTGCGAGAGTAGTCATTGTTTCCAAACTCGGCAACGTCATATTCCGTCGAGATATTGGTGGTGCATGATCTACAAAAGGAGACATAAGCCTAAATCTCATGAGATTATGAGCTTACGAGAATTTCTCAAAGGAGCTGGCCCAGGTTTAGCTGAATTACTTCGTTCTCGATTGGCCCTTTTCATTTGAAAAAGCAAATGTTGCGAGACATCATCACCTGTATTTTGAAGCCATTCGCGCGAGGCGGCTTGTAGTTCTCTGAAAAGCAAGTGTGTTGAGGGAGGTGAAGAAAGGTAGGGGAAAACCTTTCTTTGAAACATAAAGAACAATAAACGGCTTTTTTCGATTCTAAAGGAACAACACGACAACTGTCGCAAACAAGCTGCTGACATTTTCTGATAAGATAATAAGAAAAATAGTTCTGTAAACATAATTCTTCTCACTTGCATTTCGATCCAGCATTAAGAATGAAGCCAAGCTTCGCAGAGCATCGACAGCAAGCTCTAGATGGAGATGATGGACTTAAAAAGGAAATATTTGTATTTATGAAATAAGCAAATGCTCACCTTGCAGAAGATGAAATATTGCTGGAAGCCATACTTTCTTGTGATTCACTTGTTGTAATGCTATAAGCACTTCCATGACAATTCGATATCGTCGACTTCTCCAAATCCAAGTTTGTTCGTAACTTTCTTCAAAGCACATTATTTGAAGAAAATGAATGTTATAGAAGTATTACTGTAATCGTTCTTTTTCTCGACGTTGAAATTCTAAGTCTCTCTCCAGTACAGGTCGAATAATGGCTTGTTCTTCACATGATAGGCCTTTTAGAATCTCAACGAGCTCAGGCTCGTCAACCGGCAAGTTGGTCATAACTCTGATGTTTGAGTTTTTCGCTTTTCTGTAAGCATTTGATTTCATTAAATTAAGCTCATAAAGAGCCTAAAGAAGGAAGTTTACTGTACTTTAGTGAAAATTATGTATGAAAGAAACAGAAAAGACAAGTATAAATAGAATAAACAATCATTTCCTTCCGCAGCTTTCGCTCAAAAAGTTTCTTTATGAGCTTTTACCAAAAACTTAGCCTCAGGCTAGATGACTGCTTTATCCGAAAAGCACAAATTGAGTTGGAAATGGAGAGAGATTGAGAATGTATAAAAAAAGAAGGAAAAATACAAAGAATGTGATGAAGACGAACATGAAATATATGCTAAGTAGATTGGAAGCCATATCAGAAGATTAACAGATATTCAAATATAAAGATTATTATAAAAAATCTTCAGCATATTATCTTTTATCTTATAGTTAAGAACTTGAAGCTAACTATACCATGAAATCAGCTAATTCATAATTGAGCATCTTCTTCTTGTTCGAATGAATTCATACACGTAACAAGCAGATTATGGAGGATTATGCAAATCTCTCTTATGCTCACTTTCTTTCTATCTTTCCCAACGTTTACCTCTTCAATCCAATATTCTTTTTCGTCTCTCTACCTGTGCACAACAGACAAAACCTTTTCAGCTTACAACTCCTAGCTTGGGATATTTGTCAATAAGCCGAAGCTACTGAGCCAATTCTCATTCTTCGAGAAGAAACTCTAGAAGAAGAGATTTTTAGGAAGAATCCACCCTTGTTAAGATGTTAAAGTGTAAAAAAAACAGAAATTTCATTGCACAAAAGGTCAAAAAGCCGCAGTAAAATCATAGAAGCTATTGGTCTGAAGCTTAAATGAGCAGAACGCTCAGTGTTTCAAGATCTCTTAAGATATCTATTTATGTGGAAATATGAATATTTCAAGAGATTTGTGAGCAATGGAAAGAGAAAGTGTTATGCAAATTACACGTGTTTCACGTGAAATAGGCGCTTGATCATTTCATTTGGACATAACAGACATAAGGGAACGGTCGCTTTTTGAATGAAAATCAATAATTTTTTTTTTATGAATATAGAAGAATTGAATGATATCAATTCACATAAATGTGGGAAATTTCAGTATGTAAAAAGAGAAAAAGAAAATTTTTGAAAATAAAATTAGTTAAAAGCTTATTCTGCATAAAGCTTAATAGCTTTTGAAGATAAAAACGGAAGTTTGATTTATCTAATCCTTACTATACATATAGTTAGGTGCTGGCTCTACTATTTTGAGAAAGTAGTTTCATTCAGCTGAATTCTCTGATTCAGAATATCCATTTGCAATAGGTTTGGAATATTATAAAAATAGAAAGATAACAAAGTAAATCATAGGAATAACATTATGGAAGCAAATGATGATATGCGAGATGTCAGGAGAGAATTGGAGAATCCTTTGAAGCTTCACATGAAAAGATTTGAGAGTCAGTGTTCTTTTAGTGAAATGAGATAAAGCTTAAAGAAGAGAAAGAGAGAGAGAAGGGGAGGGAGGGAGGGAGGGAGGGAGATATAGATAGAGAGAGAGGGGGATATAGAGAATAGAGAATAAGAGGGGGGGGGGAGATATCGAAAGTGTTCAAAAATCAAATTTTCTAACAATTATCTTATAAGAAAAGATTCATAAAGCTTTTTATTTCCAACGATAGTTCTGTAAATCAAAGAATGATCTGGAACGTCGATATTCGACAGTTTTGTGAATTGAGCGAAGTATGAATTCAATATTTTCTTTGGATGAGAGCAATCTTTCGTCATAGACATAAGAACAATCTGAAAGGAGTGAAAGATTGAACGAATTAAGTGAGAGAGAGCTGAAGCGGACCTTCATTATTCAAATTATTGAGCAGGAAAGGATACCAGTCAAACTGCGAATTGAAGAATGTTCTAAATATTCATTATAAGAACAAATCAAATAATCTCCTTATATAACCTGAAATGATCGAATATTGACGTCGGATAAGTTCTGCGGTCTTTGGTTTTCGTGCCGTGCACCATAAAATCTCTTTCTAAATTAATTTTTGAAGATGTGAGCCAAATGTCTCGAACCCATCCTCTGCCCTTAAAAGAGATTCATAAAATGTGAGAGAGAATATGTGGGGGATAAAGAGACTTTCGGTATTATCCTTATATGTTCATTAAGATTATATTCCATTGCGTTTCGAACGCATAATTCAAATAGGAATAACGTATAGAAATTGACTGATTCCGACCAAACTCTCAGACATTTCTGCCTTTTCTCATTGGAAACATTTGATTTCGTCATAAGAAATGCCTTAAATATATTCTAATTAAAGATTTCTGTCTCAGAATACTACATGAATGGCTCCGTTATCAGTGCCGTGAAAGCTGTTTGGTAGTTGGGACTCGAAATCAGCAAACTCGGACAGAAATCGCCGAGACCATGGTGTATTTCTGATCAAATATGATCCCATTGCTATTTCCCATGAGATAAAACGATCATAAAAGGTTAAATCGTAGTTTTCATCTATATATTCTTCTATTAATCTTAATAAATTAAATCAAATAGTTGTGTTGATATCATTACCTGCTGGGATTAGCAATGGCTATGTCTGCGTCCAAAAAGAGCAACCATTGAGTGGTTGGAAGAACTTCTGCCGAGATACAGTGTCGGCGAAACATAGGCTTCAAACACACTTTTGCTTATCCAAAGTTCAAAACTTACGTCTTTCTGTTGGCAGCTGGAGTATTCATCGTCTCTCACAATTAAAAGGTTATATTTATGTAAATTAGCATAGCACTTAATGGTCTTGAGTGGAAAACTGAAAAAAAAAGAAGAAAAATATTGAAAGGGAAAGGATGAGAACCTGTATTGATTGATGTCAGTTGAATGATCCAACACGACTAATAAGGTAATATTTTCTGATATTTTGTGTATGTTTTCAGAAACAAAAGGATTCAAATTGATTTCTTCCGTTATTTTCTGAAATCTCATTGGATTAGCGAGCTCTATGAGGAAGTTAATGACTCACATAGTCGGTTGTTCTATTTTTATATAAACAGTATATGAAAACTATAACAACGAAAGATAAAAATGAAAATTCATTGAAAACCGTTCGCAAACGACATATACGAAACATCTGAAGACGTCTCGACTCCAATGGCAACGAAATTTCACAAACACAGAATAAGTTAAAGAATTCTCTGTTGGAGTTTCTTATTGTTGAAAGAGAAGAATCACATTGAACTTCAATGAGATCTTCATCTTCCGATTCTTATCGTAACTCTCAGATCAACCCGGGAAAAGTTACCTGAAATAAGGATGAGAGAGAGATATAGAGAGAGAGGATGAAAGTGAGATTGAAAGAGAACAACACATGAGATGAAGAAGATATTGAAAAACAGAGAGAGAGAGAGAGAGAAAGAGAAAGGAATCTGAAGAGAGAGGAAGTAGTTTTTGTTAATTGCATGCATATGTAATTAATGATTTTTCTTCAATTAGTTCATCCTCCGTAATCTCGTTTGTTTAACTTGTGGCAGCTTCTTCTTCTCGTCAAAATTTTTATCTTTTTGTCTTTTTTGCCCACCCTCTTTTTCTGTTTCACTGCTCACCTCTTGAAATGAGTCAATCTCTCTTCTTCTTTCTTTGTTCAGACGTATTCCCTTCACTCTCTCTCACTCTCTCCCTCCCTCTCTTTCGATGATGAGATAGTTTTGCTCACTTTAGGACTTTTCATTTCAAAACCTGAGTTATCAGGAAGTAAATACATCACTTCATCTGATTATTAAGTTCAACAACTATGCTTTGCAATTCTTCTTATCATACATCATCACTTGTGTTGATTTTGACGACAAAAATTGAAAATTTCCTTATAAGATAACGCAAAATTTCTATGATCCTCTCCATTCGCATATGCTGAAGACATGTCTCTAACTCTCTGTATGTCAGTTCTTTTTCCCTTCTATTGATTTTTCCGTCTTCTACGAACTCTGCTCCCTTATATTCCCAGAGTAATGTTTTATTTTTTTTAAAATATAGATATTTTTCATTTACAAAATACAATTCTATCGTTTAATTCCCTGTGAAGTGATGAGAAAGAGAGATGAAAGTCCTTTTCGTTTCAATTATGAAAACTATCGATTTGAGTGCGTTTCGGTTGTCTCGAGTAAGCTTTTACTCAAAGCATATGTTTATCAATCGGCTCTAAGCCGTTTATGTAAATTTAAATATAAAAAACACATTTTTTTCTGTATAATTCATGATTTTAGCAAATAAGAAGCTTCGATAGTGATGAACAATCGTGTGCATGTAAAGTAAACAGAAAATTCCCATTTTCACCTTCATTGTTGCTGAAGAAAATTGATTTTCATTCTCATAGCCAATTCGTTATCCCTTCAAAAATTAAAATAATTATTATTTATACATATAGTTGAGTTGTCAAGACGACCATCATATTCAAACATGTGTTTGATGACGTCATCCATCTTATATAAACTTGTTTCGACAACCGTTCACTCTGAATATTTTTATATCAAATGAACAAACACACACACACACATTTCTACATTAAAATCATTTTTTTTCCACGTAAAACACGTCGTTCAACTGTTTTTCTGTGTTTCAGATGAGATTAGATTTTCTATTTCAATGATAAGTTTTTGGCGTCAATTACGTTTTCTTCTATGGAAAGGAGTTCTCATAAAGAAAAGACAAAAAGTTCATATTTATCTTCTTTTTGTACTCTTAAGAGCAGATTATCGTTTCAGTTCTGGTTGGCCATTGAGATTATTGTGCCCATTATACTATTTGCCATATTAGCTTTGGTACGAACTAAAGACTTTACGGATTCTCGTCTACAATGTAAATTCGCTGTCATTATCCTGCATTGCTTATATACTTCAGGTCATTATGATTCAAAGGGTTTACCTTCATCTGGCATTTTGCCATTTCTTCATTCATTCTTATGCTCATTCTCAAATGCCTGTTCTCAATCACCCACAACTGGAGATGAACTGTTATATATAAACAATGGAACAACTAAACATGAATCAATGTAAACTGAGCTGCACCATATAAGGAGATATCATTATCATCGTTATAGACTGGTTGACTTCCTGTACTATTCGTCTTTACAATTCAATGAAATTGGCTCAAACCCTGCACATTTCCAACTTGTTCTCAAGAAAATCACCAAAATCATTCAAATTATAGCAAACATCGATGGTACTAGTATGAGTCCTTTAACTATATCCAATGTATGTCGTTAACTATACTAACAGCCATGTTGAATTTTACTTTCAGTTCTACGATCCAACTTTCAATGTAACTCGAGCTTTTACCGATATGGGGGTGACACCAACAGCTGCTTTAGCCATCACTCAGGCTACTCTAACTTCTCAATTTTTCTTGGAAACCTTTCAATTTGTAATAATAGTTTTCTATACTTACATAATTAATTCTTCAATGGTTTCAGACAACATATATTAAAACCCAATCTCTGTTGAGCTTATTAGTCAATGATCCGGAAATTCCGTTTTTGTGTGATAAGGAAAGGTTTTCGGCAAGCTTTCATCTTCAGAATGGGTAATCATAGAACTAAAAATGAAATTGATAAGTAACTAATCACATTCAAGGACATCCCTTACTTCTGATGATATGGACTCGTTATGCAAATTAACAGTCACCACGTTTGCAGCACATTCAGAATTCAGAGATAATCTCAAACCAAATTTTCAACAGGTTAGCCTCATTTGCATAACAGTGCCACTCGTCGTTGCGATAACAACAGCTAATTTGCATAATTTCAAATTGAGAAAAAAGACGCTTCAATTTAGCTTTATTTCCATCTGAATGCAGTTGAACGAGTTGCTTCCAACCAACTTTCATCTTCTCTCTTAGTCGAACTAATTCATTCCAGAAGTTAAAAACAAGAGATGGAAGCTCAATAGAATTACAAGAAATTATTAATTTATCAAACGAAGTTTATGGTTTAGTTGGAAATGAGCCAATTGTTAAGTTGTTTTCCAAGTATTCAAACGTTTCAACAGATGTTGTTAATTGGCTATTTTGTGGAAATAATCCATATGGTTAGTCTGAAATATTTTTTTTTCGTATCATTTTATGTAAATTATTCAGCTACATCTGCTGCGGGCTTAACACCACCGAATGTTGGACCTGAAACAGCTTTTGATAGAATGAGAAAATCGCTTATAAAGTAATATATGAATATATATGATATATCACGCGCAACTCTTTTAGATTCATAGAACAAGTTGTACCAGGCCAGGATAAGAAGCATGACAAACAGTTCTGTAAGAATGTACCTGTGCATGAGGGTATGTGAATGATATACTGAAGGTTGTCTTTGAACTTCTTGTTCAGACTTGAACTGCTCATCACTAGAGAATGCTGTATTGCGGAGGTTGCGACCCATCTTTCAAGGATATATTTTGGTTTCTCCTCGTTCGTCTCTGACAGAAGAGCTGGTTGATATGGTAAAACGAAAATGTAAAATGATTTTTAAGTAATTCAATGGTTGTAGCTGAATATCCCGCTTCAACAGCTGGATTTTCTGAGAAGAGCTTTTTATATATTTCCTTCAATAGCTGATGAATTTCAAGATTCATTGTATAAAAGTGATCTGCATAATGCATCTCAGGTATGCAATTTATTAACTCGTGCAACTGATTATATGATATAAATTACAGAATATTCTTGATTGGTTAAAGAAAATTCATCCACCTACCACTTATCCAACACCATGGTTAGATAGCATAGAATTCGTATTGCAACATATATTCAATGATTCTACTGATCCAGACTCATTAGGTGAAATTCTTAAACATTACATCGGCGAGATGAACAAGTATACATCGGTATGTCGGAAAATCTATAATTAAAGTAATTGTCTTCGTCATCTTCTAGTGTTTCCTTATGGATCGATTTGTGTTTGTGGATTCTGATAAAGACATGGAAGAGGTATGTGATTGAGCCATTTCAAATTGGAATGTTTAACTGAGATCATTAATAACCTGATTTCTTAAGGCTGCTGTGTGCCTTATGGAATATGACCAGTACTTCTCTGGAATAGTTTTTCCGAATATGACCTCCAACTCATCTTCTTTTGGTCCATTCAATACTTACAAGATTAGACATCATCCACAACTTGTAGATAGTAAGTTTACCTATATGAAACCAATCTAAGTTTTTCATTACAGGCACAGATGCTTTAGCAGACAGCTCAAAACGACCTTTCAGTCGGGATCAGCCTTTCCAAGATTTAAAATACATAACATACGGTTTTGTATTTTTGCAAGGTAATCCTCATAACGTATCTTCAATGTCTTAATTTAATTGCAGAAGCTGTTAATAGAGCGATTATTAAAATATCAACAAACAAAAGTGTAAATATTGGAATCTATGCTCAGCAAGAGCCATATCCATGTGCTCAAAAGGATAAGTAAGTTTCATTCCTTTCAAGTTCAATACGTTAACGAGATATTTGAAGCTTCAACGTGTCTAACTTTCTGGGATTATTTGTTATTTTGTCATTTCTTATACCTGCCTCCCTTCTAGTTAAAAATATTGTGTTTGAGAAGGAACATCGTCTTAAGGTATATGAAGCTCATCTAGTTTATTGATTGATGACTCTCTCTCTATTAGGAACAAATGAGAATTATGGGATTAGGAGATACAGTTCATTTCGTCTCATGGGCTATAGTTTCTTTAGTTCTCAATATGATTAGTGTTATTATAATTTCAATTATATTGAAGGTATTATTAAGAAATTTGTTTCAAATATCTATTGATTCATTCAGTATGGACGAATTTTCGATCACAGTGATTTCACGTTGCTATTCCTATTCTTGAGCTTATTCGCTTTATCATCCATTGCATTAGCTCTCTTCCTCTCAACGTTTTTCACAAATGCCAACATCTCTACAGCGGCTACTTGTATTGTGTACTTCTTGTTCTTTTTCCCGTTTCAATTATCGGTCAAATCGAAAAATCGAGTATTCAGTCAGTTCACTGTAAGTTTCATATGATAATCCCAATACGTCAAGATTGCATTGCAGCTCATGTTTCCTCAAACTACGTTGGGATACGGAGCACTCATGTTGGCTTCAGCCAACGAGGCCCAACAAGCTAGCTGGCACTATATTCACAAGATATACTTACCAGGTTCTTTCTATTTCTTCTCTTATAATATATTTCAACATGTTTTTTAAGCTTATGATGTGTCGTTGATACAATGTATGATTGCTTTCGCTATTCAAACAGTGGTCTTCTGTGTGCTAGCATGGTACATTAGCGCGATAGCTCCAGGAGTTTATGGAGTTTCTCAGCCGTTGTATTTTCCCTTCACTCGTCGTTATTGGTTTCCGAATTCATGCACTGAATGTGAAGAAGAAAATGTTATTGAAACATTTGATCAAATACAAGGTATGAGAAAACATTTGTAAAACTGAACATGTTGTATTCTTTCAGCTGGGGACTGTTTTGAATCAGATCCACATGATCTGAAAATGACTGTCAGAGTGAAATCTATGAGTAAAATATATAAAAGTGGAACAAAAGCTGTTAGTTTGCAAGAATAATAACATCATTCTAATTAAATATTTTTTTAGCTGAATCAATTGAATCTACGATTGTATGAAAATCATGTAACGGCTTTGCTTGGTCATAATGGGGCAGGAAAAACAACAACTATGTTAGTAATCATATCTAATTTTTGTAGGGGCTAATTAAAATATTTATATTTGAAGGTCAATTTTATGTGGATTATATTCTCCTACTGCGGGTACAGCTTCCATATATGGTTATGATATCAGACAGAATATGCGTAAAGTTCGAGATGTTCTTGGCATTTGTCCACAATATAATGTCATTTTTACCTTGTAAGATATAATCATTGCTTACTAGTAATTGACTTATCAATTCAGGTTAACTGTTAGAGAACAATTGAGATTTTTCGCTGCCTTAAAAGGATGTGCTGATTCAAAACTAGAGGAGGTTTTAGCTTTTGAGGTTTTCTTTTCATTGGAAATTTCTTTTTAGGAAGTCAACAGTATTCTTCAAAGTGTAAAGTTATCGGAGAAAGCTGATTGTTTAGCAGGAACGTTATCTGGTATATCTATTTTGAAACTTTTTCAGTTACACTTCCTTACTTAGGTGGAATGAAAAGACGCTTGTGTATTGGTATCGCATTTATTGGAAATTCGAAGTTTGTCATCCTGGACGAGCCCACAGCGGGTGTTGATGTGAACAGTCGTAAAGATATTTGGAGGTTACTACAAGAAAACAAAATTGGTACAATCACAACTGAAAGCAGATATTACAAACTTCATTCAGGTCGTACTATACTCCTATCAACTCACCATATGGATGAAGCTGATGTTCTGTCGGATAGAATAGCTGTTTTATCTGAAGGAGAACTTGTTACTTTGGGATCACCTGTTTTCCTCAAGAACCGATTTGGGGAAAACTTAGAACTAGTTGCTTGCAAAGCTGTAAGTGAAACTTCAAAATCAAACACTTTCTCCTATTTTCAGAGAAAGCAATTCAACTATGCTGATATAATTAAAAGCATTATTAGTCTTCATGATGTCGGCTTATTCGTAAAAGATGAGAATGAAGAGGAAATAACATTCAGGTAGCAAGCTCAAGTCTTACTAATAGTCTAATGGTTTCCTTAGAATTCCTTTGACAACTGACTCTTGTGATCTAGCCATATTTTTCGACTCGCTTGATAGAAATTTATCGAAATTCCAAATATCTGGCTACGGTATATCTGCCCCTACTCTACAACAGGTATTTATTGAATTGTGAATGCTGTTGTAGTTTTGCTCAGATTTTCATCAAACTGGCACCGCAAAGAGAATATAATGTTCCGAAAGTTCATCGAAGTGTTTGGGCAACGATTAAATCGTTAGTTTGCTGACGTTTTCTTGAGAAATCTTTTTGTTCAGTTGGTGGTGTTGTCGATCTTCCACTATTGACACTGAAAACACCGTTCTCTTGCGAGATGTTGTCGGTGGTAGCCAGAACATAGCTGCTGCCATACCCACCAACGAGCCTCAGAATAATCCCATCTTCGAGGAGGATTGTGGTATTTTTCTTTAGATTTTTCATTGAAAGCGTTAACCAATTACAGACCTCAATATACCCTCATTCGTTTCCGGTGGTATTGCGAAATTACATGGACAATGCAAAGCTCTATTTGCTTGCAGATGGCAATACACATGGAGAAGTCGTAAGACAACTTTCTTCGAGGTATCTCCTGTATCTCACGTACTTTTGATATACTATTCTGTTTAGGTTATTCTACCGATTCTCCTTTTGATGGCTTGTGAACTCTATACTAAAATAGCAATGGGAAATCCATCGAGCTCTTTCATGATTTCTCAGTTCCCTCTTCCTCTGGTGAATGGGTTATTTGGAAACTTCTCAGACACTTATATAAAGTAACAGCTTGACCAGAGCAGATAATAAGCCTTTGTTTTCAGTGTTCTGGATCGAAACTCAACAACTTATAGTTATGGAATAACCAAAAGCTTGTCGAATAGTCCCGGGATGGGAACACGGTGCTCTACAAACCAGCCAAAGCTGTAAGTGGTAACTAACTCTATGAAGCCTGCGTTAACCTATGTTGCTTTTGTATCACCTCTATTGTTTTGTGTTGTCAATTGTGTTTGTTTCCTTCAGTGAAAGCATGATGAGCAAATTGGCAAAGCATGTTGATCCTCAGAACGCGAGGCCATATCACAGGTAAACCAGTGTTTTCATTCCCTTTATGCTCCTATCCATTATTGCTTTTGTTCTACTATTGTGACGTTTCTGTATCATTGAATATTTTTTTCACAAATCATTCAAGCTATGTTTCTTTACTTTCAAGTTTCGATGGAATAAGTTGTGCCAAAGGAGTAGCTTCCGGTTCATTCAATTGGACGAATGATGGATCTTCTTATAACTACAACGAGGATGTGATATGCGAATGTACAGCTAATATCGGTTGGAACTGTACAATGGTTAGTGTCACCCACTGAAGATGAACCCTGTTTGTTATTGTTCAATTACAGGAAGACTATCCACTATGGTCTTTAGATCATTTGGAATTAAACACAACCGATCGGATGTGGGACTTGTCCTTCAGAAACCTCTCCCAACTGAGGATGGATACACGTTGGTCAAATAATGACTCCATAGATTCTCCTTACTTGTAAACAGTTGATCTTTCAAATTTATTATAAACTCCTTGTTTAAGCTTGGGAGGGTTTTCATTAGGACACTTGAGTCTGCGGGCCCGAAATACGGACCAAGTTCAAACAGAACAGAATGGCTGGAGAGTTTTCATCAATGGTTTCATGAATTTTTTACAATATATCTTAACAACCGGTAATTCAGGCATAAGCGAATCTGCAAAAGAGCTTTCTTGGAACATATCTTCGATAAAGCCATCAAGCCCACTGATTGAGGATCCTTTCGTTGAAAATATAACGACAGCCTCTTTTGTGGACAACGTTTTAGCCAATATGGACGTTCGACAGAATGCGAAAGTTTGGTTTAATAACAAAGCCTGGCCTTCATTACCCATCTACCTCAGTAATATCTATAATGCCATTCTCAGATATGAAGATAACAAACACGGTAAAAATTGAAATTATATTATTGCAAGCAAGCTATCTTCAGATCCAAATGACTTAGGAATATTGACTATAAATCATCCTATGAATGAAACTGTTCGGAACTCTTTTGATAACACAGCAATGTAAGTGTTTTATCTAGAAAATATTGTTCAATAGAATCTTTCAGTCAAAAAATTATTGTATTCCGCATTGTTATAATTGTTTTGGTTCTCAGCATCATCCCTGCAGGATTTACAGTGTTTTTGGTTCAAGATCGCATAACTGATAGTTATCACCTGCAAATTGTCTCCGGCTTATCTCGGAAAACATATTGGGTGACCAGCTACGTTTTTGACATGGTAAATCAAGAAAAAAGAAAACAATTCGAATTATTTATCAGGCAATATACATCGTAGCAATTGTGGTAATTATACTGGCTTACGCTGCATTTGGAGTTAAGGAGTTTACATACGATAGTTCAACTGCTGCTTCATTCTTCTTACTATTTTTCATTTATGGGTAAGCATTATTATGATAAAAATATGATCTCGGGCGGGCTCGAACCGCCGGCCTTCTGTGTGTTAGACAGATGTGATAACCACTACACCACGAGATCTTGTAATGTGCGGCTTATATTCACCCCAAATTTTTGTTTTTGAAAACATTTTTTGTAGATTATGTGCTGTTCTGTGGGCTTACGTGCTGCAAAGATGGTTCGTTGTTCCGGCTTTGTCGTTTGTCCTCATAGCAGTCGGAACTTTCTTCGTCGGAATTGTTGGCTCCATGACAGTAATAATGATTGAACAAATGATGAAAACGGTATACTGGAAAACTATATAGATTTACTTTTCACTCTTTGCAGGATCCAACACTACAACCCTACCATACAGCTTTTTCAGTAGCTTTCCTAATAGTACCACAATACAACTTAGGAATGGCTGTTTTTAGAGGATCGTATGTATATCAGTTGGTTCAGATGGGCGAGAGGTATTTAAGTAAGTTTATATTCACTTTTAATAATTTTGATGCCAAAAACATGTAAAAACTTGATCTCGGGCGGGCTCGAACCGCCGACCTTCTGTGTGTTAGACAGATGTGATAACCACTACACCACGAGACCTATATCTACGGCATTTCAGTTGACCTTAACAGGCCTGATCTTATCAGCTCTCTTCCTTTACCATATATTATCGAATGGAATCTTATGGGAATGCATTGTGTGGTTTTATTACTACACATTTGCATTGCAGCCAGCTTACTGATAGTGTTAGAAGGTGGATCCTTTGGTTTTCTCAGGTAGTGTATTGTTTCTCAAGACCCTAGCTCATAGTTGGTTCTAGGAGGAAAGAACGAATATACACAGAGAAACTGTTGAACAAAGAAGAAAAAACTGAAGAAAACGATATAGAGTCAGAGAAAGAGCGAGCTCTAGTCGCAGCAGCAAACAAAACAGAAACATATCCACTTGTAGTCTCTGAGTTAGCGAAGGTAATAAATTGTGGTGGGATTATTCAATTAGCTTGAGTTCATCTTCAGGCCTACTCTTCATCCACCTTAGCTGTCAAAGGAGTTTCGTTCATTGTTGAAAAGGGAGAATGCTTTGGCTTGTTAGGTTTGAATGGCGCAGGAAAGACTACAACATTCGGTAATTTACAAGACTGCTCCGTTATGTTATCACTGTAACTTCAGGAATGTTAACGGGCAAAATTTTCCCAGGAGCTGGCTATATCTCTTTGAACGGATCCGAGTATGTTGTACAAGAGAAATTATCTTTCAAAATCAAATTAAGGGTTTCTGGAGGCAACTCAAAAGACTTTACACACATTGGGTACTGTCCGCAATTTGATGCCTTGAATACGCAGTTAACAACCAGAGAAAATCTTATTTTCTTTGCTAGAATTCGAGGAATTCCAGAACAGTATATACCAAAGGTTTGAAAAGTAAGCCAGAAGTATTGTAGTTTGGCTATTTTTAGCTTGCTTCACGTCTTCTTCGTTCACTGCACCTTAGACCATATTCACATACGTTAACCGGAAGCCTTTCCGGAGGAAATAAAAGAAAACTATCTGTTGCTATTGCTTTGATAAGCCAGCCGTCTCTGATTCTCCTGGTACGATGTCAGACTTCCGACTTGTTTAAATTAGATTCTAGGATGAACCTTCTGCTGGTATGGACCCTGGTTCTCAACAATTCCTTTGGAAAGTCATTGACAAACTGAGAAGAAGTGGGAAAGCTGTCGTAAGTGAAAAAAAAAGTTTGCGAAAAAAAAATGAATTCAGGTCATGACTTCTCACTCAATGGAGGAATGTGAAGCTCTTTGTACACGTATAGCTATTATGGATAGAGGTAGAATAAGATGTTTAGGAAGCAAACAACATTTGAAAAACAAGTATTTTTGTTTCTAATTGTTGCTTGCATAGCAGAATATTGTAGGTTTGGGCAGGGGTATTCATTGACATTGAAACTGTGTAACTCCTCTGATACTTCTGCTGTGGTTAAGCTTTTCAAAAGCTTTGTGTCCGAGGCTCATCTGGAAGCAGTACACTGCTCAACAATATTTTTCCAAATCCCTCGTGAATGCATAACCATAGCTAATATTCTGCATAATGTTAATCGGGTAAATCAAAACATATTTGCATCTCTCTATTAAAATAAATGTTTTCAGGTAAAATCCGAGTATAAGCTGGAAGACTTCTCATTATCTCAATCAACACTCGACGAAATTTTCCAATCATTGGCTTCTCGGTCATGGGAAACATCTCAGAATCCATCTCGTGCTACTCAATCATCAATCCTATCAGCTATTGATTGAGATTTGAATAGATTATAATTAAGGATGTTAATAATAATAATCATAATAATAATCCCTAATAACATATCGAATCAAACCTCTTGTGATATAGAAATCGGGTTTTCTATTTTATTTTGTTAAATAAATATTTTTATTTCAATTGACTTGAAACTTTTCCATAAAAGTCCATAGTTAATCCATTTGATGTGTTTGTCCTTTGTGAATAAATTCTAAACAGTTACCAACTGTGATCTGATTTAGATCAAGGACTTCAGCCATTTTATAATCCTTTTCAAAAAGTTTCGGAAAAATTCAAAAGTTTCTTTTGAGTCAAACCTGATTGTCAATTTAGTACAGAAGTTTAAGAAAATGTTATGAGAGGAGATGGTTTTCTTGTCCAACACTTTCTTGCAATCAACATGTGGTCGGTGAGTCTACTCTTCTTACTATACTTTAGTTTCATAAATATGCTTTCAATGATAAGAAGTAACAGATAACATATCAATACAATCTGCATTCTCTAAACAAAATTATTTTTTCAACTCTCAACAGACCTTCTTCATGGATGTCATCTTCCTTCTCTCATCCTTCCTGTTATTTTCAATTACTTACTTCTTCTTACGATTCATTTGGGAGAAAATACAAATCAGAAACTTGACCAGAAAGCCAGTTTTCATTACTGGATGTGATTCAGGTTGGATAAAGTCTATATCTTATATGAATAGACTCTTTGTAGGATTTGGATATCACTTGGCCATCAAATGTTTATCCCGGGGGATGCCAGTTTTTGCCGGATGTTTCTCTCAACAGGTTTAGAGTGAGAGGTTTTGTGAACTATTGTATCTTCAGGGAGTTGATAAACTCATCAATGACTCGAAGAACTATAATGGAAGTCTGAATGTGTTCCTGCTGGATGTGACAAACGATGTGAGCGTAAACAATGTCCGAAACTATCTGGAATCTGCCACAGCTGAATATGGAGGTTAGGGAAGAGAACCAATTTTCACTAACAATTTATCCGAAATCCAACGGTTCAGGACTACACGCTGTTGTAAACAACGCCGGCATAGTAGGAAATTCATTTTTTTCTGATTTTCTAACTATAAAAGATTACAAAGAGGTAGATGGATGATATGAGAATGTTCAACTCATTATGTGCTTAGGTCTGTGAAGTTAACCTATTCGGAGTCATAAGAGTTACTGAGGCTTTCAAATCACTTGTGAAACGCACCAAGTCTGTTGAAACCTAGCCCTATAATTACCTTGGGTTGTTTTAGAGGACGTATTGTGACAGTGTCCAGCATTTGCTCTCGCGTTGGGATTATGGGAATTGGACCATATACGGTTTCTAAGTTTGGAGTTTCTGGCTATTGCGACGTGATTCGGTTTGATTCGTAACTTTTTAATTTTGAATGAAAATTAACTTTCAGGCAAGAGCTCAGGATGTGGGGAGTCTCTGTACATGTTCTCGAGCCCGGCTTCTTCCGAACGCCCCTGATTGACAAAACAAACATTGAGGTTCCAAAAATGACATCTCTGAGATAAATAACTTTTAAAGAGACAACTGGATCAAGTTTGGCTTAAATGTCCTCAGCAAGTGCAAGAAGAGTATGGAGAACAATTTTTCCGAGAAGGTTTTCTATAATCAAGTTCAATAATTGCGTCATGTTTTAGGGCGTGAAAAAACAAACGATCTTCTTCAAGGGATTTCATCCCCACACATCGAATGGGTAGTCGACGCATACTTCCATGCTATCACTGCGTACTTCCCCCGTTTACGGTACCAGATTGGTTGGGATGCGAATTTCTTGTGAGTTTTCTCAACAAACAATTGAAACAAACAAAATAATACAGATTTATTCCACTGTCTTTCATACCGTCCCGCATTCAAGATGTTATCTTCAGTTTTACGGAAAAAGCAATAAGGTTGCCGCAACCGAAAATGCTACAGAAAATTTAAGAAAAGAATAAGTTATTATAATATATATCACATCATTGATTACCCAAATTATGTATAAATCTCAAATTAATTTTTGTTCAGTAATAAGTGAACTTGCTGTATATTAGGAAGTCCAGCTATGCTCTTACTCTCTTCGTCGTAACATTTGTTCGAAAATGCAATAGCTCTTGAAAATACTTCTGAGATCCTCTTCCTAACAGGCGAAAGTAGAATTCCCTCTGTTTCCATAACCCCTATGTACAAGTTATACAGCATCCGGATCTTCAAAAAAGTTTCTTCAGCATCAATGAGCACTTTTAACACACCTCTGGCCATTTATTACTCAATGCTTTGAAGCCAAGGTTCACAGCTTCTCCGAACTTCTCAGGAGACAAATGCGATCGGGTTTTGAGATCGAAACCAGGTTGAAGAGACTGGAAATAAGAAAGAATTACAAAAATTAACAATCTGAACTCACTTCATCTTCAGCTCTATCAACCAGTGTGGTGAGGTCTCCGAGTACGAACTGTGTTGAAGTTTGAACAAGTTGATTACAAGACGATCTTAATCGAGAATCAATGACTAAACGGCTATCATTTGACTGCTCGCTTAAATGAACAGGTACCTAAAAAATAACTCTTCTACGTTGCAGTTCAAGTTTACTTACCGAAAACAACAGCTCGAGGAAAGCATTGTTAGAACTTAGCTGGAATAAGCGACTGGGATCATCAAAAATGCTGTTTTTCATCTTAGTGAAGTCAAAAGTGACTTCGCGAGTTGGCAATGTAGCGTCAGCCCTGAATTAAGATACCACAATCACTGTGATGAGAGAATCCAACTGCACCTGTGAGAAGCAGCCTGACGATAGGGAGTCGTTTGTTCACGTAAAATCAACAAATGTTTCACAACAAATAATTCAGCATCTATTCGTTTAGATCGACCACTCTGTAATATAGATTTCACTCATGCTAGTTCCCTGATCACGTGTTCACACGAACACAATTCATTTTCATAAAAAGCAAACGAGTGAAGCGGTTGTTCTTCTGTTAAGGTGTCAGCTAAACGAACCTTTTTCACAGTGGACGAACAAATTTGCTCAGCAGCACTCTGTAGAGAATCACAGCACATGATCAAGAGCTCTCGAGCAAGAGATTGGAACACACCCATCTTGAAACAGAGATTTAAAAGGAAATGAGACTACCTTCTTACATCTAAGCACTTGAATAACTTAGCCAAGCACATTACCGTTCTCCGGACCGTCGGATACCATAAGCAATGAAGATCAACAGCAGAAATAGGAGCCGACGACGAAAGTACATCTGTATCATTGGTTGCAGTACCAGCTTCTTCTGAAGTTGAAATTGGCTTGAAAAAACTTATGGAGAAAACGGGACTAACGTTCAGGTATTGTTTCTATGCTCTCGTTTGCTTTATTTTTTAAGTTATCTTTCTCGATCGTTTTCATCATTTCCAACTTCTCGGGATAAGCCAAATCACCCGCAGCAGGTTTGTAGTTCACAATATCTGATATTCCATACGACTCGGCTCTAAAAAAAATCATTGAATATTACTTTTCTATGTGCATCTACCTATAGACGATGCGTTCAGCAACATCGCCAACCAGCTCATTCATAACCTGTATGAAACCTGCACGAGGATCGAAGCTACCGTCTTCTACAACAGAAGTGAGTAAAGAGCAACGCTCTTCAATCATTTCCACCTAAACATCGTGTGCATTTAAAAGAACATACTGACTGTTCTCTCACTTTTAGGATAGCACAAATTTCTGCCAATGTCTCCAAGTGGGGATTATGAACAACAAGTGGGCGAAGCATGTCATATAGTATCCGTGAAATTCCTTCTACGAACTCTTCGAACGGATGGACAGTTAGACTTGCATTCGCAGAGTATACAGAAGGCGCTCTAATTTGGAGAGTTAGTATATTAAGAAATTTTGGGCTCACTTCATCCTCTCAATTTCTGATTCTTCAACTCCTTCAGTATTGAAAAACTGCTTATATAAACGATACTCATCATCGCATACTCGTAGTATGAACAGGCATCCTGATCTAGCTAAGCCGCAGGATGACTCACCGCGTATGCTAAAGTAAAGCTACAATAGAATCACTACTATATAACTTACTTGGCTAAATGATTCAAAGTAGCTTGAATGATAGGACCTAACAGTTGCACTCTTGTTTGGAAGTAAGCTTGTTGGCATTCTGCTAACATAGCCTGAAACTCCGGAACGGCAGAAAAGCGTTGCTCAGCTACAGACAAGGCAGTTCTAGAAACAATATCAATAGAAAAAATATCTAGCTAAGAACATACTTTACAGAACTAGCTTTTGATGCGAACACACCATAAAGTAAGGCGAAAGTGTCATCATCAGCTCTTCCTTTTCCTAACTTTTCATAATCTACTTGTAGCTGAGCCTGTTTTTCACGAACATCTGTGACTGATACTTCAATGTCAGATAGGACTCCCATCCTTATCGATGTCATAGCTCTTTAATGAGTTGAAGTAATAACAGTATGAGAATAACAGACTTACCGACTGAGGCATTGCTCATACTTTCCTATGTAAACAGCAGATTCTTTGTACTCCGGATGCTGCTTCAGGAAAGTGATGCATTCATCGATTGTAGCCAACATGGCCGTGAAAGTCTGGCCAGTTACCGATAGCTTAGAAGTGTTATTGAGCTTCTAAAAAAAGACTGAGTACTTTGAACGAGCAGTTCTCCGACCTTCATAATGATATCAGCCTGCTTGAAGAAATATAAATTAGTTTTAATTTGCTCTGAGCCTGCGGCTAAAGCAGTCTGTTGAGCTAAAGCTCTATCACAAGCGTCATGTAACGATGAGGTTCGGGCTGTTACTCCATCATAAGCTGATCTCAGCTCTTTCATAGTCTACAAGAACGTGAGGCTCAACGTTTAAGGAGTAAACATACTGTTGTATAAGCATCTATTCTTTCTTTGAGAACTCTAAGTCGTTTCATGTTCGATCTTAAGGCCATAACTTCAGGAGCATCTTGTTTTTCAGAAATCGTCAACTCTTTATCGTAAGCCTCTTTCAGGGCGGCCGACAAAGCATTTGCGAAAACTGTGTCATTAGTGTAGTTTTTGATACTTTCTTCTATGAATTTCGAATATACAGAGAAAGGAACTTGGTTACAAACCCTCAGTTGCGTTATCATCATGATGAGGAGGAAGACCAAACTCACAAGCTTTAGAGGCTAATAACTCCACAGTTCTGTACTGAAGTTGTTCAAACTCCATCTATATGTAATATGTGTTTAAATGTTAGTCTTTGTGAAAGTTATCAGTATGTATGTGTAGGATTTGGAACCTTTCGTATAACAACGCGTTTTCAGTTTAAATATATCATTAAGTACACGTATGAGCATGGTATGTAACAAACAAACAACAAAAACAAAGATATCTCAAAGCAACATAACAAATCACTTCAATCGCAATATCGGAAACGATTACTCTTTATCTGAAAGAAAAACAAGAATTGAAAAGAGAACAAAGACTCAAAATATTCGTACCTTGTGCTTTCCTCCTTCTTTACTCAAAGTGAATGTTTGAGTGAATGCATGTACTTCTCCTCCGACCGTAACTGATCCTCCTACATGTGTTATCAGACAGCAATCCATACCAGAATGAGAGTCAGGAATCCGTTGAACATCAATTGATTGAACAACATGTTGAGTTTCAGGAATAGTAGTGGTAAATCTGAAAAAAAAAGCGTTGGAATATTCAAACGCATCAGTCACCAACCTCAAAATATCGTCGATTCCTTCACAAGTGTTACCATTCCATACAAAAGAAGGGCTTTCATCTACATAGAACAAGCCCAGAGTCTCTCTTTTACGATCCATTCCTCCATAGAAGAGATTGGTGAATTGCTGCACAATACTACAATTCTCTTCATCTATTCTGTTGAAATCTTGAACAGACACCATCTGTAATTAAATTGAAATGTGTAAGAAATCATCATCTGAGTTAAAAATATATGAATAGAAATTGAGGAACAACTGAGTAAAGCTATTCGTATACCACGTCGAATGCTACGGTTCGCGATGCTAATATTTCGCTCGCGACGAAATTTTGAGTTACGAAAAAGGAACAATTTTGTATTGCGTACCGTATTTATGTGCCGACGCCACGACTAATTGGTACATGAAACAAGATGTGTGTACAGCGGGATGCCTGTATTAGAACAATGTTTGAAATGAAAAATATATTCATATAAGGTATGTCAGGAGGGATTGCTTTCTTTTGTTTGTTTGCTATCAAAGATCAGAACTCCATTTGTCAGGTAAACGAGGTTATTCTGAAGCATCTCATTCTATTATGCATGAAAAGTAAAAATTGAATTTATTGGGGGATGAAACTTATGCATAAGGCAATTTTTAAGTTTCGAAAGAGTCCAAGCATTGTCAAAATAGTTTTCATTACCCAAGCCTATGTATTTCGCGCAATCGAAAATGCATATGGTCAATTGCGCTCGGTCTTAATGAATTATATAATTATAAAGCTGATATTAAGGTCTTTTGCGGAAGATTGAGTGAGAGCTAAAGGATCATTCATCCATAATAACTCAACGATTTCCTTTTCAACCGTGTTTAAGTCATAGTGTGGCCTCTCTATAGAATATAATATCTCTTCACATTATTATTAGCTTTCTCTTTTAATTAGACGGGTCATTTGAGAATTGAGTAATGTACCTTTATGGTTGTGGTTTGATCGAATTTTATTTCTTCTCTCTTTCTCTCTTCGTCATAGAAACATATGTTGTGCTTTTATAAGCTCAGCTTTGTTGTTGTCGATAGGAAATCTTCAAACCTTTGCAAGTTTTCATGTTCGTTTCTCTTTTAAAACCCACGTAACTCGGGACAGCTTTTCCTTTTCTCTATCTCTTCTCGTCTTCTCATTTTTTATATTTTTCCCTACTTCACTTACATATCGCTGTATTATCTAATAAACTTTTAACTATATAGATTCTATGAGGAAATATACATTTGCATATGTCACATCTCTCAAGCACTCTTACCAATGTCATCTTTCTTCCTCCGATTCCTTAGCTTCTTCTTCTTCTTCTTCTACTCCTCCTACACTCCTTCTTCTGCTTCTTCTGATTTACAAAGATCCCGAAGATTTGGGCATTTGTGTTGAAGTAAACTTTGTACTCGCAAAAAATTTATTTTTTCTCCTAATCTCTCTCTCTCTTTCTCCAGCTTTCTTCCATCGACGAAAAAGAGAATATAGAACATAAGCTCATATGTAAACCAATAAGTTCCTTAAACAGTCGTTGTTTTGTTCGGTGACAGATTGCCTCCGATGATGAATTCTCTTTCCTGCTTCTGCTGTCAAAACTTTACATGAGAACTTGGTCAAAATCTAATTTCAGCCATCTGGTTTACAATCGAAACTTTTTTCTTGAAAATTTCATTATGAGCTAAAGTGGATTTGTGACTTTTGAGAATCTCCGCTTCCCCTCTTTCTCTGTCCCTCTCTCCCCTTCTCCCCTCTTCACTCTCTCTACTAATAACAATACCTTTCTTTAACAAAAGAAAACAAAAAACAACTGTCAGTGAGAAGGAAAACCATCTAGCCATGACCAAAGTGTAATCTCATTAATTTTGCGAACACTTTTTGAGAAATTCATTGAATTCTTCATCCATTTCAGCATCAATTAATCTTTACTTTACAATTATTTTCTTTCATCATTTATTTATTTGTTGTCATTATGGTGGAGGAAAAAAAGAATTTTTTGTTATAAAAATCTAAGAAAATCATTTGATGTTCCAATCGAAATGTTTAATTTACATATAGCTTTCCATATATTGGAATATATAATGTCTTGAGTCAGTTATCTGACGACATATTGCCCCCTGGCAATATTACTTTCAAGCTTTTAACAAATTATTTTCTTTGTCAAAAAGGAGGCTTGGGTTGTCTCAACGACTGCTGCTACAACCCAACACACTCAATCCTCTCCAAACTTTCTTTTTTAACAAAAAAAAATTAATTTCTTGTTCGTTAATCTTAATTAATTTCAAAAATCGCCCTCAAGACGGAATCTTTGAAAGAAAAAATAGTTGAAAAGTTAATTTATTGAAGTTTTGTCATTTGAATGTCTTAATGGTCATTCAAAGACATCGAATGAGATGTTTCCATGAATAATCAAGCAAGCTTTTCATCCATAAAAAAGAATTAATTGTCGGCTATTGATTATGAAGTTGTTGTCTGCATTGTTTTACATTTTAATTTCAGAATATTATGTAGATACGCTATGATTTTATTATTTTATTTATTATTAATACTCTTCCTACAAGCTGAAGCTTCTGTAAGTCATTTTTGAAATCAAGAAATATCATCATAAACTATACAAAACTCATCTCCGATTACACTCACACCATATCTCTATCTGTTACTTCGTAATGATAGAGAAACTTGAGATTTACACATCTGAATATCCGAAAAAAATATATTCATAACAATGCAAATGTTCTCATAAAACTTCATAATCATACATTCAGAATGAATATTCGAATAAGTGCTCACAACGATGCAATCGCATCCACGATCGCAGTTTATCAAAAATTCATTTTGATAATGAGAAAGTTGATTTATTGTTCGAAAAACAGAAACCTCTTGGAACCCTACGAGATGTGTGTTGGTCAGTTTTACTCATTTTTCCATTTTTATGTGTAAACAACCGATTTCTACTTAATGCACTTTGGAAATGAATTTTCGTAGTTTCATGTTATTGATCGTAGGCGTATGTATGATCACCTGGATTGTATGAAGAGATGTCCATCATCCAAAGAACACGAAAAACTTGTAAGACGAGTACGTTTCAAATGCCGGTCGATTTTGAGTGGTAACTTCTATAATTGAGTTTGTATCTTCAATCTTCTTCGTTGACAGATATTGAGGATAAATTAGTTTGCATAAATCGCTATCATTCATTTATTGAAGTTCGTTGTTCGAGTTTCGTGAATGAAGCTATACGTAGGCGAGAAAAACAATCACTCGATTTAACGCCGGATAAGGAGACATGTCGGTAAGAGGTATTCTCATGACAACAAGGTATTTTCCTGTTTCAGCTATCTACACTTAAATTCCTTATGTTTGGAAAATACTGTAAATAACTTTTGTCCAAGGACAAAAAAGATTTTTCGTCGTTTAAACTTCAGGTGAAGTAGCTTCTCGTCCAGTTCACGATTGACTTTTGCAGGGATTACTTCTTGAACTTCATCATTCCTGAAAATGATCTCTTATTCGATGATGAAGACTTGGATAGTTGTCAAATCTACAACTTTGTGAAAACTGCTGGAAAATCTGACGCAGTGCATGTTGATGAGGTTTCTCAGAGAGAGACAAGCGGTTTTTGAAATTATTTTTTAGGAGCTGACAACACTCAGGAGTCGCTTGGAAGTTGAAGATACGATTCCTACGAAAGTAACCTTCTTTGCACCGAGTTCATCTAGAATGACGGAAAAACAGGTAGCTTCAATCCAATCGTTCATACTTTTCTTTCTCAATTTTAGGCGTTCAGTGAACTTCTGAACGATTTACTGAGTACGAATGATCTGAAAACGGATGCAATGACGACTCCAATGACTCTAAGAAAGAAAATCAAAGATAAAGTTTCGAGAAACTCATCAAATTCTGAGACACATGATGAAATGGAAACGACCACCATTTTTTCTCATGAAACGACTGACGTTATTGAAAAGCTTTTGGATAGCATTGAGAAAACAGCCAGAAAAACTTTGGAGTCTTTAGAAGTTTCGGAAAAGCCTAAAAACATCAGTGAAAAAGAAGATGATATGATCGATAATCAACTAAGCTTCATGGACGTACTGGATGATGACGAAGATGAAGCTAAAGAGCAAGTCGAAGATCAGGTGGAAGATGAGAACGATGAAACTCCTGAAACCCAAATAACTGCCTCGGCTGATTCAATCTACTCCACAGCGGTCGAATTTTCTACAGGTACTGTGTGCTTGCCACGAGTTGGAATTCAATGCTTTCAGTCCCGACCATGCAGACGACTACGTCGAACAAGAAACTGTTTTCGGATGACTCTATGGAGCATACTCCTCCGAATTTTCGATATTCATCAATGAGAGCTCACCGATACACAGTTCCCATGGTATCATAGAGTGCTGTTAAACCCATAATTGGTCATTCAGAATACTGGTCGAGCAGAGGATGTTGTGACACCTATAAATCTCGATACTTCAACCATGTTTGGAGAAGAGTTTACTTCCGCAGAAGAGAAGAAGCCACAGAATTATGTGTATAATAAGAATAATGATGAAGATAATATCGAAATCACAACTATAAGGTTAGTTAACACTTCTTAACCAATTTTATCTTTCACCTTTCCAGTTTAAAACCTTCGTCGGAAGGGAGTGCTCCTCTTTTGAACAAAGGTCATGTTATTAGGAAGCCAATTTTAAGCTGGAATGAAGAGGATAAGAGCCAAGGTTTGTATAATATGAAGAAGTTTTCCATTCTACTGACTTCAGATAACGATAGAGTCAATGTTGTCAAGTCTACAAATGTGGGAGAAAGAATAATTGATGTAAGATTAAAGTTTAAAAAAACGAGAAAAAAACAAAAAACGCAGGATTATGAAGAGGAAGCTGAAGATGATGATAACGACGATGTTTATGAAAACAATGATTATGAAGAAGAAGATGAAGTAGAAGATGTGGCAGAAGAAATGAAAGCAAAGGAGATGCCAGCAGTAGGAGTGGAAGAAATAGTTGGAGATGTTACACTTCCTAATATGGAAATGACCGAAAAATCAGAAAAACCAATCAATTGGAGTGAGAAGATCTTCAACGGCAAGAAGCTCCTTATGCTCATTTATCTTATTTTACTAGCAATTTTAATAATTTCTTTAGTCTTTGGTTTTTTCTTTTGTTTTTCGTGCCGACGTCGTTCATGTCCAACGCCAAAGTATTGAGAAATAAAAATTATTTTTCAAGTTCTTTTCTTGAATGAAACGTTTCTCGAATGATAAGCTCTAAAGCCGGCTAATCAAGCTTCTTTATCACCTTGTCATCAACCCGGATATAGCCGAATCTCGTTTCATTCTCCTCAAGATCCTGCAATCAGTTGAACATTTGGCCCAGACAATAGACTCCCTTCTTTATGAAGTCTATATTTTTAGCAGTTAATATACTGCTAATTATACTAACCATAGGTAGGTTTTTGCATGTGTTATGAGATTTAAATGATTTCAGAATCAAAACGTTTGAGACGCCAAGCTTATCCTCCCAACCCTGCACCATTCCAAGCTCGCAAAGAAGACTATAACTTACCTCCTTTTTATCAAGTTTCTTTTCATTTTCATAAGTTCTTCATAAAATAGATTTCAGCCGCATCCTGGCCGAGATGCTTCTTCACTTTCACCCGTTTTCCCTTTTCATAGTGAATTTAACAACGGACTTGATATCAATCCAGGCACACGTGTGACTGTTGATGGAAACGTCAATGTTCCCATACTTGGATGGGGTATATGGGATTACAAAGGTTTTGCGAGTAACATACTATTCATATTCATATTTAATTAAGGAGGAATAAAGGTAGGAAGACCTAACACCCGTGTAGGATTCGGCTCCTTATATGGTCCAACAAATGTTCTCGGAATAAGTGCTGATACTATAGCTACTCTTGCCAAAGATGGCAATTTCAATCAAGCAAGAGGTTAGGAAAAAAATTAAGTTAAAAGTAGAAAAAATACTTTCAGAAAGTGTCCCCTCGGTTCCAGTGTCAGTTCTACCCGGTAACTTCGTTCCTTTGCGTTGCAAACCTCCCTTCTGTAATCCATTTGTTCACAACACCGCATTCGGTGTTGATGTTGAACCAGGAGATGATTATCTATTTGATGGAGGAATTGATTTCCCTATCCCACTTGCTCCTTCTGGAGTTGGTGTTCGTTTCCCTCTCAGCGGTATTGCATAATTGAATTGACTATCTATTAACTTGTAAATTATAGGAGCTGTCAATGTTGGTACCGATCCATTCCTTATTACGTATGGACATGGTATGGGCCCAGTTGAACCACCAGGATTCAGTACGAAGAAGTCTTCTCGTACAAGAAATTAATAATATAATAATAATAAAGTATTCTTCGATCACTTTCTTGAGAAACAAAAAGGGGATTAATCTTCAAACCGGATTCATGACACCACAATTGACCCCAAATGAAATCTTTTTCGTTATCATATGTAGTATTCGAATGTTTCATCCATTTAAATTAATTCTTCTCTGTAAGTTTCTAATCTGAAATCACATTTGTTCAACTCATTCAGACATACCCTTTGTAACAAACCAAAAATATGGTAATGATGAGCCACTAGTCGTTCCTATTCAGGGGCCACAAGCCCAATTTCCTGCTTTAATCACCGCAGACAACTTCCCCTTATTTCCTTTCACCGATCAATTCTCTACAGGATTTGAAATTAACCCAGCAAATAAAGTTGTAAGTATTTTTGTGCTAACGTCTCTATCATTTTTTCAAGTCGCTAGCAGGGGATTTGAATGTACCTGTCCCAGGCTGGGGTAACTTTGATTTAGATGGAAATGTTTATTTTGGTAATATTAACATTGATACCAAAGTTGGTTATCAAATTCGTCCATCGAATAAACTTGGGATCAAGCCTGAAACATTGGCACTGTTAGGACAAAACCCAGCGTTCCGAGAAGCCAGAAGTACGATTCCATTTCCAAAATAATAATATTTTTGCCTTACTATCAGAGAAAGCAAAAGAAATAGTTGTTGGACGGATTCCGTACGGTTATGAACCAATCAAGTGTAAGCCTCCGTATTGTAATCCATTCGTACATTCTGCTGGAGTTGCTGTTGAGGTAGAACAAGGTACGTTCTCGCTTACAAGTAATCTTATCATTATGCTATCAAATTGTTTTAGGAGATGATAGCTTCTTCATTGGAGGAATCGATTTCCCTATGCCATTAGGTCCAGGAGGTGCTGGTGTTCGCTTCCCTCTTTCCGGTGCAGTTGAACAGGTGATTATAATAGAATTCGATAAAATGAAGTTTGGTATAGGGAACGTCTCCATATGCTTATGCACATGGTAATGCCTTCAACCCAGTGTCTCCGTTCGATTTGGCAGCCATGGATGATGAGACTGTATCAAATTTGAGAAGGAAACCAGCCAAAACTGTGAACAAAAAAGAATTTTATAAGAAGTTCTACGACAAGTTGCCTGTTTGATTTAAAACTACAATTATACATAGTACAATAATAATAATAATAATAATAATAATAATAATAACTTTATTCTCCATCTTTGTTATTCGCTGTTATGAATTCTGCTTTAGGAAAGACGTCATCCGTCAGAATATTTACTAAATCTGAGTCCTAATAGATTATATATAGTAGACGTGGAGTTTGTCATGTATTTATGACCACTTACGTCTAATGATATCAGACTTGAGAGAGCACTGTCGTTTTTTGAACTTTCGTCGTTCCCTGTGAAGGATGTAGGCGCTTGAGATTCCTGTTGAAGAATATCTTCCATTCAGTTCGACCAGTTCTTCTTCAACTTCGAAAGCAAATGAAAATTTCATACACTTGTACGTGATTCACGTCATGCTAATTAGGTGAGTCATCATTTAATACCTTTCAGTTGATCAGCTTTGTGCAGTCATCTTGTGACATTGTTATAGAGCAAAAGGACCATGGGCAATCATTATAAGGTAGAAGATCCGTAGTAACTTCAAACAATTGTCATTTAAGAGATCTTATGTATGATTTGGCTAGGTTTCTTGTTATTTTATTATTGTTTGTCGCCGGGTTCA